TTCTGCCCACTGTTTCTGCCCACTGCTCTGCCCACTGCCCAATTTTTTTAAAATTATTTTTTTGCTAAAATTTAATATTTTTTTTATTAATTTTTATATTTTATTATATTTTTAGAAATTTTGCCTATTTTCCTAGGAATTTATACGGGAATTTATGGGAACATTATGAAATTTACATAGGTATATTCGAGAATTTCTCTTGACCCCTTGATTTTGGATTTTTTCTGAAAAAATTGTTTAAAATGTAATAAGTCTATACCCCCTATACACCCCAAAAACAGAGCAGTGGGCAGAAACAGTGGGCAAAAACAGTTAGCAGAAACAGTGGGCAAAAACAGTGGGCAAAAACAGTGGGCAAAAACAGTGGGCAAAAACAGGGCAAAAACAGTGGGCAGAAACAGTGGGCAGTGGGCAGAGCAGTGGGCAATTCAGTCACCACCGTTTTTTGACTTTCGTTTGGCAATTGTGGAATCATGTGGTTAATCGATGAACAATGAAAATCACCAATTGATGGCACTGTATGTACAAATGGTTTTACTATAGAAGTCATATTTCCAATGGTGTTATAGTAGTAATGCTTTAATTAAAAAAGATTATTTATTTCATGTATTATTTTCTTTTTTTATTTATTTAATGTCAATTATTTATAAATATTGTTAGTAATTTACATTATTAATGCATCGTTATATATTTAATTTTATTAATATGTGTACTAATTTTATTATAATTATAATAAAATCAGCAACTATAAAATTTATTATTATAATATACAGTTATTATTAAGTTAAAATTAATGTATTTTTTTTATTTTATTATTTAAAGTAAGTTTAAAAATATTTAAGTAACTGTAAGTTATATAGTAAAATAGTTAATTTAAAAAATTAAGCAATAAATTAAATGTCTTAAAATTTTTATTTATATTATCTATTAATTTAAATTAATTATTTTGTTTTTTCACTTTTAGATTATAACTATTAGATAAAAATATAATTATAATATATTTTATATAAAATAATAAATTAATATAATAATAACAAGTTACAACGATTTTTATAAAATCGTTTGTTTATTATTTTATTTTTTATAAGGCTTTAATGACGTTTACAGCAGTAAATTAAAGTTTAAAAACAATTATAATAACCATAACAATTGATATCTATTAATATAGATATATGAATTTATATTAATAATAATCTCGAACTCCTGAAAGGAGTACGTATATGTATTTTAAAAGTCTGTCTGTCCCACGAGGACATAGGTTCGAATCCACTTTCTGCAAAAATTTTTTAATTTTTTTGATTTTTTTTCTTTTTTAAGTTTATTTTTCTAGAAATTGGAGAAATGGTAGTTTATTTTGTAATACTGAATCATTTGATACCATACATAACTATAGTTGATTTTATATTATCATATTGAATTTAATTATGATTAGGAGTTTGTATGAAAATGCTTTCTAACATTCTTAACTGTTTTTTTTTATTAAAATGCAAATATTATTTTCAATTTTTATGTATCTGTAATACTAATATATTCTCATGACATTCATAATTATGAATTTATTACTATTAATATATAATTTTATAATAGATAAATTCATTTCAATTTTTGTTTTTATTGCATTTATTGGCTTACATTTTAATTAATTAATTAAAATAAATATTACAAATATAAAATTTTAAAATATGTAATTAGTTATTATAGTTAATATTTTTAATATTGAAATGTAAGTGTGTGTGTGTCTGTTGATTTTCATATTATGAATTTAGAAATTTTGTTTTCAAATTCGGTTATAACATAAAAATAATGTATAAGAGATCAGCATTAAAATTTTGTTATAACTTCGGGAACAATAAATAAAGATTTAAGTAAAAAAAAGTTGAGAATGCTAGAAAGATTACCATATAAACTGACGTCATAAAATTCTATGTTCTCACCTTAATATTTATTTATACCTTATTTATAAAAAAATAAAAAAATTAAATTTTATTTTCAAAATCAAATGTTAAATACAAAATTAATTATAATATAAATATTATAAATGTAATATGGTATATATGGTTTACAATACTTATTAAATATTTTGATTTAATTTAATACATTTTGTGCAAATATTTTTGTGTGATATCAAATGATTCAGTATAACAAAATTTACTTAACTTTAGTCATGTAGAGTATCAAAATATTGACTGACAAAATAAACAACTATAAGGATGTTGGTATCAAATGTTTCAGTATAACAAAATTTACACAACATTAATCATGAGAGGTATCAAATGATTCATTATAATAAAATAAACAACTTTATATATGTAGGGTATCAAATGACTCAGTATGACTAGATAAACTCAACAAATCATTTCTAATGATTGTGATATTCATGTTTAAATTTATTTTAATATTTATTATTTTGGCTACAATTTACTATTTGGGCCACACGGGAGGTGAGGAGGGTTATATAGGTAGATAGTACTTGATGTCTAGTATAAGCAACTAAAGCTTAAACTAATGTTTAAATTATTATTTTATAACAATGTGGGAATATATTTTATTCCATCAAAGATTGTTACTGGCAATGCTTTATAACATTTTCATTTTTTTTTGTTTATAAGTTTATATATATATATATTCTGTTAATAAAAATATTTAATTTCATTGTGTATTTCATTATTTAATCGTGTTTTGTTAATTACCATAACAATTATATAACATTATCATATATTTCTATAATAAATAATTTTTTAATATTTATTATAATGTAATATTTAATGTTATTGATATGCATGTAATGTTCAATATAATTAAATTTAYAAAATWATTTAAATATGCGATTTCTTTGTCAACTTTTAATGGGTAATTATTTTAAATACATTAATTTTATAAAAAATTAAAGTATAAAAAAAATACTTTAATTTTTTATAAAAATTTATAAAGTTTATCATTTTGTTATAGTATTTTACTAATATATTTGAAAAGTCCTCTAAATATTATATTAAACAATTATAGATAACAATTATTTTGTTTTTCTCTAAAGACAAATATATTAGTAGATTATGTATAAAATTTCATACAGATATCTGAAAAATTGTAAAAACTACGATCATTTAAAAATAACATCGATTTATTTTTCAAAAGTTAGGTCACTTAATAATTATATTATAATTAACAATTTGTTTGAGAAATTTATGACCGAAACTGGTCACCAATTAGATCAATCAAATTTTTAATTCATTATGTTTTATAAGACAATTTGTTCAATACATTTGAGAAGTATAGACTCATATTAGTGTTAAATATAGAGTATATATAGAGTATCTTGGTTAATTTTATTTTTTTCAAATGCTCTGCATAAATCAACTAAACTGTAGTAATGTGTTTAAAATACAGTATTAATTCAAACCATATTTAAGAGTATTATATTTGTATTAAAATTTTTAATTTTTTTTGCATTTATTATCCAATAATTTGTTTTTCAGTTAATTTATATACAGTACAAAGTTTTGAACATTTTTGTCAAAATTTTATGGATAATTCATATCAAATAGATTTCAGTTTCCGCAGACTTATGTCAGACAGAGAAGCTATCAATGCATTGGTTATCGGAAATATCTATTGGATTATTAATAGTGATTATAATATAGAGTTTATTGAAGATAAATATATATTGAGTGATACACTTAACAAACAATATCGGACAGCATTTTCTATTGGATATACAGATCACATCAAATATAATCAAATTGAAAATCATTTTATATGCGGCTTTGTTAAGGTATAGCTATAAATAATTATAATTTATTAAAATATAGATATATTAAATAAAATATTAAATAATATAAACACAAATATATAAATAATACAAAAAAAGTTTATATTTAATTCAATGTTGATACTCCAGGGTAAACAACAATGTCAAATTGATTGGTTAATATTCAATAGTAATGAAACATCAGATATGACAAGTGTTGATAATATTGGTTGYAATCAAACAAAATTGAATTTTGAAACCAATTTATATACAATCGTTAGTTTTATGGTCTATTACGACGATGTCATCTGTTTTCTGAGTCAAACACCAAAATCCAATGGATATCTTCGACAATACGATTGTTATAATTTTGAAGACATAGAAACACCMAAAGACTGCACTAAYGATATTAAAGATAGTCTGAGAAAACATACGGAAAGAGATTTACAACTTATGTCTGATATTTATAGCGATAGTCTTGTAATCGCCATATTTGGTCCGTTTGACTACTCATACGGTAARTATCTGTTCCTATATCTRGACGACGGAAACATCACATATTGCTGGTCAAAGTCMGATGACTTTACTAATGAAGTATTACTTTATACTTTAAATAAAATATTGTAATTAATTGTAATTTTTAAAATATTATTATTAGTGTGAAGATAATAATAAAAAACAATTGATAAGTTGTGGTCCAATACCCGTTCAGATTAAAGGTATATCAGAAATGTCTTCAAATGGGTTTCTTTGGTCTATTATTGCGTTATTAAACATAACATTAATCGCAATAGTTGTTCATTATTTTATAAAAAATAAAAACTATGAAAGCTTTTTGAATAATAAGTTCACACTATTTTATAATAAATGTTAAATAAATATTACAATAATATTTGGTTCACAGAATACAGAATCAACTAAATATGGAAATCAATTATTAATTCACAATATATACAGTAATTAACTTTAATAAAATAATGACTATTTTATATATAAACAAGTTAACTATAATTTAATATAAATTAAATTTAAATAAAACTAGATAATTATTGTAATTGTATTGTAATTAATAATTGTAAATTATTGTAGTTATTAAACTACTAAATTTATGTATATCGTATTTAAAAATAATTTTATAATTATAAACTTTATTTATAAAAAGATTTTTTTATTAATAAAATTAAAATAAATTAAATAATTAAGTTATGAACAATATTATAAAACAAATTGATATTGATATAAAATAAAACCCATAATAATAAATAGATTGATAATTAGTGTAAAGTAGGGTTCATTAGTATTTGAAAAATTATAAATTAAATTAAAATGAATATTTGTGTAAACATTTGGTTCATAAGGTGTCAAACATTTCCATAAGTGCGGGAAACATAGTCCTGAACCGCGTTGTCGTCGGTTTTCTCTCAATTTTATCCATAATTTTATCGCATTTATCGGAGTCATCGTAATCGGCGCACAACATATTCAACGGGTCAAGTGATCCACGGCTTATGTGTGAACTGAAACCTTCAATGTCTTGCTGTGAACATACCGGTGCTCCCATCTTATTAAACTCATTCAATGTACAATCACGCCATTCAAAAAATGAACTTGGTTAATCAGGATATTAAAAATATTAACATTAATTAATTGTTTCATTATATATGCTAATCAAATATAACTGAAATTGTTTATCATTTAATTAAGAGTATATAATAATTTTTATCATAAACTTAATGCATTGATATATCAAGAAAATAAAACAAACCAACAAAATGACGGTATCTTAGCTGACGATACATTCAAGTGTTTAATATTAGTCATAACATTAATGATATTATTCCAGCATTTAGTAGTTCCCGGTTTGGCTTTATTACCACATTTTCCGCGTGACATATATGCATCCCTTTCCTGTGGGTTATTACAGTAGCCTCGGGCCACTTTTTCGGCCCCGTATATCGTGACCGACATTATAGTTCCTGACATTCCGTGCAAACATTTCTTAACATAATTTTTAGCTGCCTTTCCATCTTTAGGTATGGCTCTTAGTAAACAAATTAAAAATATATTTTAATAAAATTTAAAATTATAAATTTAATAATAATTATAAATTTTTAATAAATATAGACAATACTTGCACCAGCTTTGCATTTCGTCCTCTTTTTCTGGCCATTTGTGGTCACTGAAGCCGTACTGTCCAATCAGTGACCGCATACGAGACTCTAATTGACTATATTTTATTATAACAAATATAATTTTTAACAAATTAAATATAATAATCATTTACATCAAACCTTAATCGACATTTTTTATCAGTATTTTGATTTARTATATTGGAAATAATGGATAATAAAACAAATATTRTAWAAACAGTAATAATATTAGACATTTWTAAAAAATATTTWAATGAATGTATAATATATTAGACTAAAATTTAACTAAAATTTTATATTAAATAGTTGACTTATTAACTATCAATTTCTTTATGTTTGTATGCACTGTATATACAGTAAATGTTAATAAAAAATTTTGATACATAAAACAAGTAGAAGTTGTAGTAATTTTTATGCAAAAAACTAGTTTTCAGAGATCATTAATTATCACATTTATGACATACCATATCATTCATATTATAAATTATTAAACTAATATTTATTTGTTAATATTTTAAAATTATTATAATATTCAATACATAATATACTACAAAATATTAAATAAAGATTTACCAGATATAACAAACTAATACTTTGTATATATTATTATAATTATATACTAGAAAATATATGTTTAATATTTTTWAAAATATGTTTCTAAAAATATCTTTACTCAAGGATAATATTCTATATATTATTAGTAAAAAATTGTAAATAAATTTTCTGTAATCATATTTACAAACAATTTAATACTTGCGAAAAAAGTTATAATATTTATCAAGATTGCAATCACAAAAATCTTCAATTAATTTTTAAAAATATATTCTAAATAATACTATTGTAGAATATATTTATTAAATTTTATAATTATAAAAGTCAAATTTATAATAATAATAATAATAATATTTATCATACCTATGTCGACATCCTTTTGATAATTTTGAATCAGAATTTGTCGCAATAATAATTAGAATAAATATCGAACAAAGTAACTTGAACATTTTTTAATTTAATTAAAACTACTAATAGTATAAATTTATAAAAAAAATTATATCTTTTTCTTTTATAATAAAGATGTTGATTATTATTGAAGTCCAGTATTTATACTTTTATTTCAGTCTCTAAATAGGACCACCCCTTCTATAAAATATATTTATTATTATTATTATAAATGTTATCCTTAATAATATTTAATCAAATGAATACAATGACAAATTACTTTTTAAATATACCGAATTATTTTGTTAACTATATATATATATATTTATCATTTAACATAAAATGTGTGTAAATTGTGGTTTTATTTAATTTATTATTATATATGTCTTAATACACTTACATTCATTGAATCTTATGATTTGTTTGGACAACATTGAGGTAATACTACATTATAATAATAATTTCCGCTAATATTTTATGTTTTTAAATCTGTAAATATATGTAACATTTCAAGGGTTTAAAACTTTTTAAAAATTCAATAAAAACTAATAATTGAGATAATATTAGATAATAGCTAACACTAAAAAACTCTATTATCTCCCAGGTCTATGACGTTAATACTATTAATTAATTTATTATAATTATCTTCAATACAAATATTAATGAAAATATTAATACATTATTTAATATTTCTAGAAATATCATTATGTTGTGTGTATTATTATGTTGTAATTACTAATACTATTAACACATATGATTATATAATTTTATGTAATTACTTATAGACATTCAATAACTTTTACGAACAATACATATTTTTAAACAATTATAATAAAAAATATATTACAAATATTTATTTAATATGAATGCCACAGATTTGTTGAAATATGAAATTATATAAAAAAATAATGCATGAAATAAATGGGTCATCAATTCACTATCAATGACAACAAGTGAGAGGTGTTTTCCATTAGACGGTTCAATATCTACAAGAAATACCATACCTTTTAGTTAACTACGATTAGATAACACAGTCAGTTGGCATTGGGATTGGGATATACAATATGACCTTATTTTTGATGGACTTTCACTTTATATCTGTAGATTGTATTCCTTAATGTTAAGACATTGAGGAAATCATATTAAGTTTTTTGTGTAATTTTAACAATGACTTTCTAAATCATAAAATTATTAAACTTAAAATAAATTTCTTATTTAATGCTGTCTATAATAATATAAAATTCATATAATAAAATTAAAAATAAAAACAAAATTTTAGATTATGCTAAATTATAATAAAGTATGTTGAGATTGTAAATATAAGCAATAATTAATTGTAAAATAATATTACACTTGATTAACTAAAAAATATATTATAGCATTATTTAATTAATATTGAATAGTTTTATTATTATATTTATATGAAATATTTTCAAAATATTTGATTAAATAAATATAGTATTCATATTTTTAAGTGAAATGTGAAAATAATAAAACAAACTGTTTTTTKACAATTAAATTCGTATTAATTTCATTTAGAGTTATTAAAACATTTCTACAATACTTGTAATAAAAATTGAAAAAAATATCTTTTAATTATTTAATAAAAAATGCAAAATACTTTACAACAAATACGAGCAAATTATAATTAATCAATTGACATCATAGAAACTAATTTTTATTTAAAGTTTACCGAAATATTGCTATATTGTTTAAGTTWGTTATTTATAACATGATTTATTAGTTGTTTATTGATTGCAATTACCAAATAATACGACAATAATATTGCATTTGCATTGAAATACTATAAATGACAGTAATATTGCAGACTATTATCTCAGGAAATCATATTAAGACTTTTGTCACATGAGTTCATAAAATATTACCAAAATATAGTTAAAATAGTATTATAGTAAAGACATTAATTGATAACAATTATCACATTGAGTACAACTTTCAGTAAAATATCATATTTATCAAACAAACGTATCATTTTATTGGTCACATTATCATTAGATAATACTTTTTAGACACTATTGACGTAATAATTACTTCACATTAAGTTTTTTTCGTATGAATTAGTTTAGTAGACAAACAATAAATCTTTAAATTATATTCTATTAATTTAATGCAATCACTTATTTTTCACAATATTTTTATGTATTATATTTTATATAATTAATTTAAATAAATTGCTTAACTAATATTTTTTTCAATAATATTTTTAAAATTACAAAGCATTTCAAAGTTTTAATTAGATTTAATAAATAGTTACGAAATTAGATTTGTTCAATATATATATTTAATAAGCTTATTTCCTACTTAATTATCTATACAAAAAAAACAAAAATAATTTACAAAATAAAACATAGATTTTTTACGTTAAAGGATACAATATATGCAATAACTAAATAAATATTTAAACATTATCACAATAATCACATATCCTATTGAAAATATGAAAACTTAGTGAAGAAACTACAAAACCAATTACAATAAACTGCCAAAAATAACTGTAATTGAAATATATAAATATTGCAAATTATTTATTTTATTTGAACAAATATATATAATTATTAAAAATATAAGATAAACCTTTTAAAACACATATGTATGTTGCAAATAAATATCATTATTTCATACTTTTATCAATTCAATTTTAGATTTTATAATTAATATAAACATTTTGAAAGGTATTATTGCTATTGAAAAATAAAATTAGCTGTAATTATTAGATGTTTAATTACAATTGATTATCATTATATAAATAGTATATAACATAATATTATGCATATACTATAATAATGCTATTATTGTTACAATAGTTTGATTTGTGAATAATATAGCACCGGTTTTTGATAAATAAATGTGATTACATTTAAAGTATATATGCTATTGTATAAATTAACAGTGTTGTATAACATTAGATAATAATAACTTATAAAAGCATTGGTTGTCTTGCTTTAACTTTTTTGTCAAATGCTTATTAAAAATGATTAATGTTTTGAACAAACTTATAATTATTCAATTGATAACTTGTCCAAAACATTAGTCATTATTTTATTAGCACAAATCATCATTAATAYAGAAAAAAATATTTTAAAAATTAAATATCAATTAAAATAAAMTACATTATTTATAATTTTATGAATCAAATATTWTAAATTTTATATCACATTTGCCAAAAACGTTAATTTATATCATAATTTTAATAAATAATGGTCATTGTTTAATTATGTTTTACAACTACAAGGTAAAGTAAGTAATTTTAATTTATTTATTTATATTAGTGTAAATTATTTATAATATTGTCAATTATCTATTTTAATCAAATCAATTATTATACTAAAAACAATATTTTCTAAATAAAATTTTTATTAATATAAAGTTTACATAACATAATATAATAATCTATTTATAATTATCTTATTATTTCATCATTCATTTCAAAATTTAAATATAAATATTGTTATTATTAAATACACAATTTACTTAATAGATAACATCGAAAAAGTAGCAATATAATAAGTATCAATTTTTATATTTTATAACAATGTATTGCATTTATAAATGATAAGTAAAGCAGATTATAAAATATAAAATTTAATTAACTAACTATTTACTAATAAATAATATATATAAATGTAAATTTATTTTGAAATTATAAAAGATGAGTATTTTATAGAATTATTTTTTTAAAATCGTGTTATTTTTTCTTAGGAATATACAGTTAACTATCTATTGATAAATATTATATTTTTTAACAATAATAAATAAATCTTATTTGAATATAWATCTAAGCATTTGTGAAAATTAATAGGAAAAACATAATTACTTTGATTAGATAAACTGTATAAATTGAAATTAAGAGGAAATAATATCATGAAATGCCAATTATTTAAAATCAATCTTTTAATTCAAATATATTTTTTTATATTTTGAAAAAATTTCTTTTATTTATTACAAATATTTATTTGCAAATTTCTAATTATATTATAATTAAAGTATTTTGATATTTGACATAAAAAACATGTCTCAGGCTTTAGGTATGGATTGAAAGACATCAATGGCTGGCAATGCAAATGATTTTGTTCTTCGCTGAGACTTAAGCTTCTTTGGCGGCGCCTCTGAGATATGTTATCATTAATATATGTAAGTATTTTTATATATATAAATACTTTATATAAAAACTTTTGATTTAACAAAAATATTTACCTAAATATTGACATTTATCTGATCCATCCGTATTATATTCACCGCAAAACAAATTGAGAGCATTACCACCAATTGAATTGACAAAATCAATGATTGTCTGCAATATCTTTGGTAAGCAGACATCTATGCGTTTTAGTCTTTCAGGCATACATTCATTCAATAAATTATGATAAGAGCTATTTATTAAATTTATTATTATTTATTAATCATTAAAAATTATAATTTTGTTATTAAAATTGCTTAATAAATATATATACATTACCAGCAAACTTGTGGTATTTTTTTCTTGTGATCCTTTGTGTTTTGAATGCCTAATAATTTATCAATCAATTGTGTATAGCATTTGTTTATCTGTGAATTTGATTACATTTTCAGCAATTATTTTTAAAAAATTGAAATTTTATCCAAACCTCTGCCGATCCTTTATTAGCACATTTGGAAGCCCTTAGGAGTTCCGCGACCTTAGAGTTGGATTTTCGGCAAAACTGTTTGATAGCGTTTTTACCCGAATATATCAAAACACTGGTCACTTGTTTTGATAAACCATCCATACATTTATTTTTATAGATATCGATATCCACCAAATAGACTTCATTTTCACTTTTTTTTAATTCAAACATTATWTACATATTTAAATTAAGTATATACAGTATATATGTTATTACATACAGTATATGTATAAAAATATGTAATAAAATTATTTATTTTTTTCTAAGAACTTACTCACAAAACTTTTTCAATTCATCGTTATTTTCTGGAAATTTTCGGCCAGAATTTCCTAAACCCATAAGTTTTGCCACATTTGTGTCAAACCTTCGCAGACCATCACTATTACATTCAATCTTAGTTTTCGCACAATGTATTTGCAATACATTAGTAATCAAAAATAATAATATTAATAAATTATTTTTATTTAATAATAATATTATTATTTCTAAATTACAATACATTATTGAATTTTATTTTATTCAAAAATTTWTAGAATCAGAAAGTATGTGTCACTAAAAATCAAAATATTTTGTATTTTTAAAAAAATAAACTTAGAATTAAGTATTTCTAGTATTTTCAACTATAAAATACCAAACAGAAAAATAAATGAAAATGATAAAAAAGCAATTATTTAATTCAAATAATATTTTATTCCTAAAACTTTCCATTAATGTTGATAAAGTTGCTGAAAGTTATTTAAATAATGTATAAATATAGTAAAAAACAAGTAATAAATATCAAGTCTAAAGCATYAGATTAATATTTATAAATTAACTTAATTATAATTGTTATAATACAGTATATGTCATTAATTGATAAGCAATTGCCTATAAGTATATATTTACAGGGGTAATTTTTGCAAAATAATTTTTTGTGAACCGGTTTTTAGTTAAAAAAACATATAAATATAACATGATGCTTTAGTATTACTAACAAGTTAATGAGCTTAAAATAATAATAAAATATTTTTATAATATAACAAGATTGATATGTTGTTTTAACATATTATAATAATTAATATTATTATAGAAAATAGCCAAGGACACATCGTTTATTATATTATAATTATTTTACCAAAATTATAATTAACATAAAATTTGTATAAAACAATAATTAAAATTTAGTATTAAATAAAATTTTGCCATAAAATATGATGCAAGAATTTTTTCATCAATACATAAATTATTATATTATACTCTATTAACTGTTATTAATATTATATTTTTTGTTACATTAATACAATAGTACATAAATATTAGTATAAATCAATATTTATATCTATAATATAATTATTTTTATGATATTTTACGATATTATTAAATGAATATTTTAAGTACATTATATAAATTAGTAATAAAAGTTTAATTATAACTATTAAATGTTATTTTTTAATTATTTAGTTATTAGTGTAAACTGTTGGGTTGAGTATAAATATAATATAGTATCAAAAAATGTTATACAATAATATTTAATAAATAATACTAATATAGTATTTTGAGCAGATTTACAATTCACAATAATATTTATGATATAATCATAATATATAAAAAACAGGAATTGATACAAATCATCAAAAATAAAAAGCATGTTTTCAATAATATTTGTTTAAACATTTTATCATTTTAAAATCAGCAAGGACAATAAATAAACTTATAAATATTATTTACTGWRCATCAAATTTAATTTTGAGTATCAAATTTTTAGAATTAAATATTTTAAAACTATTAATATATATATATATTTATAAATATCATAACTTATAACTTAGAAATAATTTTAAGTTATAATATATGTGAATTAGTCATTATTAGTTTATTTGAAAGAAAAACTTTACAAATTTACTTAAAATATTTTTTAATAAATTAGTTAAACACACATTTCTAACGTTTTGTTTTCAATATTTTATTAATTTATTTTTTATTTTATTTTTTATTTATGAATACATGAATTTATTGAATGATGTAAAGCTATAACAATGATATTAATAAATACAATAAAAATTTAAATTAAATTTCTGGAAATGAACTCAATATTTCAATTAATGGTATCGCAAAAGATTTGGTCCGCTTATCGTTTTTTGGCTTTTTTGGCGGCAATTCTTTAAAATATAAAAATAAATATAAATATTACAAAATAATAAATAAATTTATTATCAATTACCTAAATGATCGCATTTATCGGAATTTTCAGTATAATCACCACAAATAAGTCCTACCATATTATCAAATATGTTTCTCACAAAATCGGAAACTGTGTCCACCTTTTTGGTCGAACATATAGGGAATCGTTTGGTGCGTTCATAAAAACACGGATACATCTTATAGTACTCACTATTATTTAAAATTATAATTAAAAAAACTGAATATAGCTATTGTTAAATAATAAAACTTATATTTATTTACTTACCAACACAAATGTGGTATACGTTTGGATTCATTGGCATATTTTGCGCCCTGAAGTGAATCAATCACTTGAGTGTAACATTTTGTAAACTAAAAATTWTAAAATTAATATTTTTAAAAATTTAGTAATAAATATTAAAATATTTGAAWACTATTAAAATGTTAATTTACTTCAGCGTTAGCTTTATTAACACATGGAGTACTATTGATAATTTCAGTCAACCGTTTTGAGTCCTTTTTGCACAACTGTTTGACAACATTTTTGACGGCAAAMGTCAAGACACCGGTCACTTGTCGCGAGAGATTTATTAGACATTTATTTTTATATTTATCAATCTCTATAATATATTCAAATGATTGACTGTTCATAAAAAAAGAAATCATTAATTTATTGAACAAATAATTTTTAATAAAATATTTTTTTTTTTTTTTTGAAAACTACAAAATAATAGTTTAGAATTAAAATTACAGATAACTTACTCGCAAAACAATTTTAGTTCATTGCCTTTAGTTTCGGGGAATTTGCGACCAGAGTTGCCGATAGTCAACAGTCGGGCCACTGTAGCGTCAAATCGACGAAAACCTTTTACACCGCAATCGCCGATTGTTGTTATATTATTTGATTGGGAAATAATATTATTTGGTAAATAACTTAAACAAACAACAAAAACAATGAAAAACATTTTTWTTAAAAAGGAGTGTTTTATTAATAAATGAAAGTATTTTTTAAAATATTTTTTTGTGTGAATACCTCCAGAATTTCTGAGTTTTGCTCAAAACATGTCCTGAATTTATATACGAAATTTTGTGGTATATAACAAAATATTTGATAAATTTATTTTTAGCATTTATTTCTAGCTCTTTGATAGCTAGAAACTTGTATTTTTAGTAAATACTAATTTTATATAGATAAAAAAAAGTTTTTTTGGATCAGTAATTTTAGTATAATATTTTTATTTTTGGATTAAAATATTGCATTATTGCTATCTCGCTTAAGCCAAGGTTATACAAATTACTTTATAAATAAAAAATAAATAAATAAAGTAATGCAATTGATAATACTGAACTTTATAAATGTTAAGGTTTAAGCTATACATATGACTACTTACATATGATTTAAGCAATAAATCTTATTAATTGTTAAAAATACGTAATCAATAAAAGTTATTATAATAATTATAATTATTTGAAAATATATACAAGAAATTTTAATTTATTAGTTTAATATATGTAATTAAAAAATAAAATTGTTTTTTAAATATTAAATTGAGATAATTTTTAATAAAATTCTGGTGCAATAAATGTTGAATTATTATATTATTAATATCACAAAATTCTATCTAAAATATAATGTCATTTACAATCATATTAAAACAATTTATTATATGTATATCTCTAAACTACTTTTACTTAAAAAGTAGACAATAATATTAAATTATATAGTAATTAGTTATATAAAGCGTTGCACAAAACTACTTATAAAATATGCAAATAGATATCCATCTGATTATGACATGTGTTACGKATGTTCATTGAAGTCAAATAATAGCAATTAATAAAAAATTTATTATTTATAAATTACTCAATTATACAAAATAAATAACTTAATAAAGTATTAAATACATATATGTATCAAAAGGTAATTTTATCTCAATATTATTTTATAATATTGAAGTAATTAAATTTACTTACTATATTTTACCATTTATATTATATTATATTAACTTAAATTATAATTTAAATTAATGTTAGTATAATATAAATTTTCTAGGAGTTTCTTATAAAAATTATCTATTCTATTGATATTTGTAAATAATTTTTTTAATATATAATTTAAAAATATAAGATAAATATTTCTAGACTTTAAAAAAAATCATTATMAAGTCTATGTCAGTAATATAAGTATTTTTACATTAAATATAACCCAAAAATAACATGTCTCAAGTATTTTATATAATGACTTTCATCATTGAACATTAATGTGTTATTCATTAATATTACATATAATTATAATAAATTTATAATGTTTGTGTTTACATAATATTTAATATATTAATAGATACAGTATGTATATTTTTCAAATATGATAATTTTAATATTTATATCTGAAATTACAATAAAATTAAAATGTGTATGCATTACATATTAAAATATACTGTAATTATTAATTAAATAATAATATTAATTACATGTATGTATTAGACTTGAGAAAATGACGCCAAAGTCTCAATCATTGGTATTGCAAAAGATTTGGTCCTTTTATCGGATTTCAGTTTATTTGGTGGCGATTCTGAATACAGTTTTATTTTAAACTTAATATATAAGTATGTTTGATAATATCGTGGCTTTTACACGAAATCATTAAATAAAATTCAAAAATTCGAAATATTAATAAAATATAATGTTTTATGTGTCATATGACACGTTTTAATATTTTCATCTACTTGTCATAACGCGGTGACATTCTTTTGTTTTTATGCACCAATTTACCTGTAAATCACTATTTTCATTTTGTTATATCTTTGAACTTATGAAATATTTTTTAAATTTTTAAAGTGCAAGAAGTAGCAAGGTAACAGATGTATATTGCACTAAAATCCTTAAAATAAATCAACATCATTATCATAAAAAAAAATTCATTAAATACTGTATTTAATGTCTGGAATTTAACAATCCTAGGTTGACTTCTCGACATTGAAAGCCTATCATAATTAACAGCAAAGAGTTTGAACAAATTTTTTTTTATATATAAGTAAGCTAGATCCTTGTCTTAAATCTTGGAAAGATCCAGCACTCACTACCCAATAACATAATAAATATGACATAGATTATGTTTCCAGATTTAAAGATTATTTATAATTTTTTTGATATTGTTGTCTTTGAAACCCCATATCTCGCTATCACATGTAGTTAGAATTTCTAAAAAAATTTATACAAGAAACCTCATATGTATAGTGTCTATATATGAAAAGAGAAAAGTTATTTTTAACATCTTTAGCACTTATAGGTATAAAGTAAATCGGGTGTCCATTTGTTTCAAGGATTGTATAAACAGTATTTACTTGATGCAAACATGTCTAGCATTAAAAGTAATATGCATAATGATATGTATATTCTAGTATGAAATCTTGATTAATTTAGCTATTTCTTGGACAAGCTTCCGCAGATTTTTCTTGATTAATTTAAAAATTAAAGACATTTTATTCTGTAGTTATTTCATTTGGGGAACTCGAAGTTCAACCCTGGTTAAAAAACAAAACTAGTTTTAAAATTTTGGTATCCTAGCTTAATTATACTCTATAATATTGTCTTTAATTTTATCACTTTACTGATTTTATTGATGATTGCTTTCTTTTATTTTTATTTTTAGCAATAGCCTTTAATGGTTTGTATTTCATGATTATTAAAATTCATTGATATTTATCGGAGTTTCTAACTTTGGAACCGAATAAAATTTTTGTTTGTTTTTTAATTTTAATGAAATTTTATTTAAAGCTTCATGAAATAATATATTTTTAAAATATATAATAAAAATTTACTATATATAATGATATCACTATAAAGTCACGATACAGTCAAACATACTTATATTTAACAAATTGATTAAAAATAACACAATTACTAACTAATAAAAAGTTAAACATTTATACCTAAAGTCTGGCATTTATCTGACTGATCGGTATAATCGCCGCAAAGCAATGAAATAATGTTTTCAAATATATTTCTGACAAAATCTGAAGCGATGTCCATCTTCTTTGTCGTGCATTTTGTGAAACGTTTGGTCCTTTCATACAAACACGGAAACAACGTGTAATACTCACTATATTTATATAATAATAATTTTGTTAATATTATTTAAATATTTTTATAAATTATAATGACTTTAATGAATAAATGTAAGATTTTGTTTGTTTTAATATTATAAATATTAATATCATTACCAACACAAGTGTGGTATACGTTTGTTTTCTTCAGCATATTTTATTCCTTGAATTATATCCACTAAACTAGTGTAACATTTTGTAATCTGTAAATGAGCAATGTTAATTATTTTTAATTAAAAAAGTAATTACATTTTATACTGTATTTATTACAATAATTACAATAAACTCTAAGTCAATGTTATTATTATTTAAATTATAATTAAATTACAGAAAAAATTTTATCACTGATCAACAACATTGTCAAACATWGTATTSACAAAAAATTAAATTTCTAAAATAATAAAGAAATTTCTAAAAAATATTCTGTCTATGAAATGCCCATGTTAATTTTGCTATTTCCATATTTGTTATCTTGTAAYAATAAATAATAATTACAAATATTAACTAAATATTAATATTAGTGTTAATTAATTTTCATAATAATAATAATAATAATAATAATAATAAATCTATTAAATTAAACTTAATTCAATGATGAATAAAATTTTATAAAAACTAATTATAATTAGATAATTATATTATTTTATATATAAGAATCTTATTTGTATAGTAATGTAGTTTTAAAATACCTAATATTATAATATTTATAACTATAGATATGGGATCCCATACTATAATAATTAAGTATTTTCATAGAAATTTATTTATGAGAAATTTACTAGAAATTTTCTCATTGAAATTTATTATAAATTTGTATTTTCATCTAATTGTCATACCTCAGCATTTGCCTGATTAACACAAGGAGTGGCACTTATCAATTCAAACGCTCGTTTTGAGCCCTTTTTGCACAAATGTTTAAAAGCATTTTTGAGGGCAAACGTCAAAATACTGGCCACTTGTTTACTAAGTTTCATAAGACATTTATTTTTATAATTTTCAATTTCAATGATGTAACCATTTGATTGGCTGAAAAAAAACAATAGTATAATTAAGATAATTTATTTCATTTGATATTTTTAATATCGGATATATTTATTAATAAAAATATCAACAAAAAAAACATTTACTTGCAATAGAGTTTAAAGTCTTTTCCTGTAGTTTCGGGAAACTTTCGACCCGAAGTGCCAATCGTTAATAACTTGGCCACTGTAGCATCAAATCGCCGCAAACCATTGACATCGCAACCAGATTTGAGTATTACTGATGAGGAGGAGGTTTGTGCATATGTTTCATATATATAACACAAACAAATTAAATAAATATATACAAATAACATATTTTTAGAAAATGTTTTGTCAAATAACATGTTGTTTAAGATTTATAAAATTATCAAATAATATTAATAGAAATTAAAGTTATGATTTTAAAGACAAGTATTGAATTAAATAGTAATAAATATTGATAATTTATAACAATAATAATTACATTGACTAAAATTAACCAATATAAATTGTTATTTTTACATAGTATTTATTTTTACATAATTGTTAAAAAAATTAATTATTTAAAATATGTAAACAAATTTGACATTAGCTTATAATTTACTTTTGCAGACAAGGTTAAAAATAGATTTAACTTAATGTATAAAATAATATAAGCAAAATATCTTACTGTATATATAAATATACTATATTACAATATAGAATTAAAATAAAGTATTTAATCTAAAAATTATATTACAATTATCTATTAGTTTAGTATTAGTCATAAACATTTATTAAAATCTAGATTATTTAATTTATATTATTTGGTCTAATAAATTCAATTAAAAAATGTTGAGATTGAAAAATTGTAATATTGTTATTTAAAACCAATTTTCAACTTTAAAAGTATTTATTGACAGATTTTTGTTATTGAATATAAGATGTTATTAATCACATTTAATTGTTTAACAATATAAATATCATTTATTTATCAATTTGTAATTTTAAATTATAATTATAAAATTATAGCCGATGTTCAAAGCTATAATATATAAATAAACAATTTTTTTATTATATTTATTGTAATTAATAAATATGATTATATTAATAAAAATAATAATTAAACATAATGTTAAATTGTTTGTTATATTAATTATCTATTAAAAAAATAATTTTACTTAATATACAATAATTTTCTATTATTGTATAAAAAATGATTAAGAATTATTTATATTTAATAATCAAACATTAAAAAACTAATTTATTTTAACTACTATTAAATTATTTTTTAAAATTATCTTTAAAAATCCCTGTTTGCGAAATGTGTTTTGACTTTTAGGAAATATCAATATTAAAAAAACAAGTTTTCACATGTAGTTCAAGTGATGGTTTGTTGTTTTTGTACAAAATATTTTTATTAAACAAATATAATAAATTTAAACGCAACAAATATTTTTTATAATAATAATAAAATTTTTAAGATGTATGTATTAGTGAAATATTATATTTTTGTTAATTTTTGTATTTATTAAATTTAAGTTATTAATAATAAAGTATTTTTAAAGTTAAGACATTTAAATTAAGCTAACATTTTTAAAAAAAATAATTAAGTCTTTAATTAAAAAATATATTTATTTGTTTTAGTTTGTAATTTAATTATGGTAAGTTTGATATTATTTATTTTATTACTTAAGCTTTAATTAATTTAAGCTATAAAATAAAATAAAATAATAATAATAATAATAATAAACATATTTCTTAGTAAAAAAATATTAAATATGATTTACTAATATTTCTGATTATAGTTATTATATTTTTATTAATTTATAATATAGAATATGTTATCGATTCTGATGTCAATGAATACAGTGTGCAAAATGATAATTATAATAATTATCATATATTACATAAATTGTACACCAGTTTTACATAAATCAAATAACAAGTTTCATCAAATGACAACAAAATTAATTAATAAAACTAATAATGATATTACTATTACTACTATAAGTAATTTGAAGGATAAACAACATAAACATTACGATCGTTACAACAAAATCAATGATTCAACTATTATTGACAAACATAATCAACAAACAATTGCAAGATATAAATTAGTTAATGTAAATCAAAATAATATATTAACAATACAATTACCAAAAACAATTATTCAATTACCTGAATTTGTTAATCAAGGTATTAATCCTATTGATTAATATATTAAATATTATTATATTTTTCTGTTATAAATTATTATAATTTATTTCATTTTATTATATTTTATAGTTAAACTTTTATTTATTGTAAAAAATTTTTATTATAATAATTATTTAAAAATATATATAGTACAAAAATATTGTTTCTAATTATTTATCATACAGTKTATTGTATATATAAAATCATTATAATAAAAATAAATTATTTTTAAGATCATTTATAAATATGTTTTTATTATTTAATATGACATTGAACAGACAAAAAAACAAAATTACAAATATGTCGCAATTGAAAAGGTAAATCACAAAATAAGATAATTATTTATTATATGTATAATATGTTATTTAAATTATTAAATTAATCAAATTATTATATATTATTAGGTTTACGTCAATAGTCAAACAAAAACATGTGTTTTAACAACAAAAATCGAGAAAAAATCAATTAATTATTAAATTATAACAATAATTGTATATTTAAAAAACTATAATAGTTATTAAAAACTAACAGTTAGTTTATACAACATTATTAGTCAAGTACTATAAACTGAAACAATGATTAAATTTTGTTTGGCATTAGGACTGGTATGTGTGATGGTGTCTGACTGTATGGCCGACACAATAGTCACACGAGAGACGGATAACAGTGGCTTTGTTTCAAATTTAGTCGATAATGTGGTTAACTTAGCGACAGAAGGTGTCGGCAATTTGGTCGGAAATCTGGGCCGAAGAAGTCTAATCGGAGAAGTCGAGGACATTATCGGCGATGCTGTCGATGTGATCGGTAAGAGAGATGCCGACTATAATCAAGTAAGCAATGATTACGACTCATCGGTTGGCAAAAGAGATTATCTCCAGGATATTGTTGACGGAGATTATGGTAATCTTGTCGGATAAGAGAAAGAGAGACTCAATTCCCAATACAATCGATGACATCATTTAAATGTGACAATTATTATGAGTCACATAAGAGTAAAATTTTTTATTTATTTAAATATTGAAAATAAAATAAAAAATTATACATAATTTATCTAAATAATTAATTTTTAGTCAATTTCATTTTATTTAAAACATTAAAATTATTTTATAAAAGTTTTAATTAAATTTGTTTTTAAGTATATCTAATATATTGATACTCTATATTTTAAAATAAAAGTAATACTAAAAAGTATTACTAATTATGATAGTAAAATGATAAGTATAACCTACAGGTAGTACTGTATGTGTTAGAGATTGGCAAATAGAAATTTCTTATAACTTTCTGTAAGAAAATTTCTCAGTAATAAATTTCTATAGATTTTATTATTATACAATGTTATCCTTATATATGTTAAATAAAATTATTAAATTATACTTAAAATTTTTGTAGAATTTTATTTATAATCTGAGTATACTTTTAATATAATAATTTAAATCATTAATTTTTTATTTTAAACATTAATTAAAATACTAATAATAGTAGTTTGTTATTATTTATAATTATAACGTATTCTTATGTGATAAAAAAACATTGAGAAACAAAATTAAATGATGATCTTATAAGCAGAAATTTATTTTAGAAACTTTCTAGAAATTTTTCTATTATTTAAAAAATTTCACTTTTTCCCTACACTAGTAGTATGTASAAAAATTGAAAACAAACTTAACATAAATTAATATAAGATTTGACTATAATTTTTATTAATTATATATTTATTCTAATTCAAAGTATTTCTAATTTCTATTTGAAATGTAATTAATAGGGTTGCAAAAATACAAGCTTTTGAATTTTAACTTTGTATAATACAATGTACTGCATGTATTATACAATTTTCAAAATTAATATACTATATTAAAAAAATTAGTAAACATATTTGGTAAATATATAATATAATAGCTAGAATATTCATTATCGTTATTTTTAAATATTAAAAATAGAAATCAAATATAAGATTAATATAAAAACTATATTTATTATAATGTATAACATTTTCATTTTTGCTTATATAATGCTTTTGACACTATGTGGCGCTAAATTTTTTTAGGATAATAGAAAATTGATAATCTATTCAATTTGTATTATACAAACATTTTTTCTGTGCCAATACTGGTAATTAATAAGTCGTATATAATTTTTAGACAAATAATGTTTAGATATTTTAAATTTATATTAAGTATGGTATGATATTAAACTTGTACATTTTTTTGAAAATATTTAAATCAATAATAATGATTCAATATTGAACATAAAATATTGTAAATTTTTTATGTTCATGAATTGGTACAATCAAATAATTGTAAAAAATGATTGTAAACTTCAATTATTTTAAATAAAAATTAGTAAAAATGTAATATTTGTTTTAAATGTCATGTTTTTACAAATTTAAGCAAATCTACTATGATACTATAGCAGCTATAGTATAGMTAATACAATATAATAATGATAAATAGTCATTAGATATTTATAGATAATTTTTAAAAATATTTTTAATATATAATTAGATTTTTAGAGATTGTTTCATTAAATAAACAATTTAATAAAGTGATAAATTTTTAACATTTTTAGTATAACTTATAAATCAATATATTTATTTATATGTGATCTATATTTTACACTAAATATTATACCAATTATTGTTTTAATAATTTTAATTAGTTAATTATTAATAATTGTTAATTAGTTTAATAGTTAAAAAATCAATAAAAAATATATAATACATTTTCTTACATTGCATAAAAACATTTATATAATCTTAATAAATTTATATATTTAATATTTATGTAAAAGTTCATTACAGTGAATAAATTGAATACTTTTTATGTACTAATTTTTTGAGTACACTTAAAAAACAATAAATTTAGTTAAGTCTAAAGATGAGAATTTTATAATATAACAATATTTTTATTAAATCATTTTATTTTTTGTTAACAATTTTTGAATATTTCAAAAAAAAATTTTTTGTAATTCTTTTTGTAGCGGAGCTAAACATATAATTTTCATGTTATACAACAATTTAAAATCAATCAAACAAAATGATTGACACATATCTATTGTTATATGACAGCACCACATGATTGTCATTAATATACTGTATTATAGTCTAAGACTGTATTTATGTTAATATTCTTCTAATTGTTATTTAATATGATATTACTATAACTTTTTATAAAAAGGTGAATACCTTTAGGCTAAATGGGCCATCACTTTCTAATTGAACATGATAGTTTTTATAAACATAGTAAATTTACAATATAAATAGTTTTAATAATAAACTATAATTTTTAGTAGTTATACATCTACTTGGTCAAAATGATTTAACAATTTATAAATCTTACATAAAATATACTATAAATCATTATAGTATATATAGATTTATTAAGTTCATATAAAAAGAGTGAATTGTTTTTAAAAATATATTTTAAACTAAAATTTAGATAATAATTTGATAAAATATGATGTCTTTGAATTTTGCATTTTCTATAATCGCTATATTAAGCTGTATTCATACGGCTTATGGAGTTGATTGCAATGCCGATGGTATGCGTCGTTTTGATCAACAGGTATCCCAATTGATATCTATTGCCAATTCCGGACGCAAACTACCAGATAATAAAGGAAAGGATCTCAAAAAGTGGTGCGAGTAAGTCAAACCAATTTTTATTACTAATTTTTTAATTATACATATTATACAATATATATGGTATGAACTTATAATAATAATTTAATAAACTATTTAAATTAATAAATATTTTTAACTAAAACACTACAAAAAATAGTGAAACCGATGTTATCATTAAGGAGTTGGAAGGCTATAAACAAAAGTGTTTTAAAGATTTAAGTAAACAAGTGTTCGGTGTATTAGTATATGCCGTCAAAAATACATTAAAACAGTATTGCAAACGAGACTCTAAAAAGTTGGACCAACTGATTGCTGCCGTTCCCTGTATTAATACTAATGACGCCATTGTCACCAAATGTTACACAGAACTCGTTGATGGCTTATTGGGTTCAAAAAATGCTATCGACACCAAAAAGATACCGCACTTGTGCTGGTGTGTAGACATTTAATAATATTTTTTAAAAAATAATTTATATATTGAGTAATATTTTTATTATTTTGTAAATTAAATTTGTTAGTGTTTACGCCGATGTATACGATTGTTTTGAAACAAAGTTAACACCGGCTAAAAAATGTAACGAAAAACACGTGCAAACACTGTCCGATTTGATGCGAAATATTGCCGGTAATGTTGTAAACCTTATATGCGGTGATTATGTCGAAGGATCCGACAAATGCACTCAATTAGGTTTGTATTAAAATATATTCATTAATTTAATTGCAAATTAAATATTTTGATACTCAATTTGTATGCCATCCCCCACAGGACCCGCACCTAAAAAACGCAAGACTCAAAAGCGGACCAAATCATTTGCATTACCACTACTAGACCTATTGGCATCATTTCCTGAAGTCTAATATATTTTCAATTTATTAATAACTTTAAATATCATTCAATTTCTATATATTTTTAAAGTTATTTTTATTTCTTGGCTATGTTTTGTTAATTTACTTAATTTGGTTTTATTTCATTTTTTTTTGTTTGAATTAAAACTTTATTACATAAACAATGATATTATTTTAAATTAAAAAAATTATTTACGGTATTTACTATTACTTGTACTTTTACTATTACATGTAATTAGTATTCCCGGAGATTGAATGTTAAATTGTGAAAATAATTATTTTGTGTATTATTTAACATTCATATTATTAAAAAAATAAATAATTTTTTTGATGATTATAGTATGTATGTATGATTCCAACAATTTGTATATAAAAATTATATGATTATTATGTATAATCACTTAACAAATAGACATATTTTAAAAAGTTACCTTGAACTTGAACATAACTAATGATACAAAAACAAAAATAGTAAATATATTTTCAAAATATCTAAAATTGACAGTAAGTTAATTATGTGTTATTAATATTTCAAAAAGATTTAAATTGAATAAAATTTGATGCCTTTTAGCAACATTGACATTGATATTGAATATATAATATAATACATGTATAATAATTATTTGTTAATATTATTAAGAATAATATTTCGAAAATCAAAATAATAAAAAAGAAATTTTAATGATATTAAATAAATAACTTGAATGATATTTCAAGGTCTATCGATATAATCAAAATCCATATTTATTTTTTCAATTACCTTGGCTAATTATGTAAATATCTTTTTCTATTTATTATGAAATTTTATTATTTTATTTCAATTAATATTGTAAAATTATAAATATCTACTTACTTATTAATTACTACATACAATATAAACTATAATTTAAAAATGRAAATTAATTACATTTTATCAATWTTMTTATCATTAGCTGCAGTATCTCAACAGCAAAAATGTACCAAGGATGGTTTCAATAACTTTGACATCAAAATGGCTTCATTGGCCACCATTGGTGACGATGTCCGCAAGTTTCCTGAAAATGTCGCTCAAATGAACRTCTGGTGCGAGTAAGTAGTTTAAGAAAAATTTTCAAAAATCATATTAAATCAAAATTGCATATTAAAAATAATTAGACATAAAATCGGTTTCAAAAATGTTTGACACGGTTTTTTGGCTATAACTTTTAAAATAATATAAAAATTTTTAGTACTATGAAATCATGTAACTGATGTTTTAAATTTCAGCTCCGGGATGCGGAGACAGGGATGTATCATATCTCAAAAACTATAAGGGATAATGAAATTCAATAAAATGCATAATATAGTAGATATAAAATTATTAGATACGTGTTTTGGGAATTTTCTCAAAAATAAGATTTATAAGTATTTTTTATATAATGGAAAAAATGTTTTCTTAAATATCTTACAAAATAAATATAGTAATTAAATGTTGTAAATAGAATAATTAAGACTTATAAAATATAGAATAAAATTCTATTAGTTACATATCAATATACCAAGACACTTTTAATTTATGCCAWATTGAAATATTACAATTTTAACTTTTATTAATTTTTACTCCAATACAACACATTTTTGAGAAATTGAGAATTTGAGAAAATTAMTGATTTTATATCTAGTATATTATGCTTTTTATAGAATTACAATATCTCTTATAGTTTTTGAGATATAATACATCCCTGTCCCTCATCCCGGAGCTGTAATAATAAAAAATAAGCTAATGCTTTAACATCCGTTAAATAATTCCATAGTACAAAAAAAATTATATTACTTAAAGGGTATAATTTTGAAAATTATAGCCAAAAAACTGTGTCAATCACTTTTAAAACCGATTTTATAACTCTAATATGATTATTATTATTATTTTAATTAAACAATAGTGAAACTAGAAAACTGTTAAATGAAATAGATGCTTTTAAAAATAAATGCCTAAAAAAGCTAAACAAACAACTGTTAGGTATATTTACGTATGGTTTTAAAAATACAGTCAAATCGTATTGTAAAAGAGGTTCGCGTAARACAAGCAATTGGTTGGATAGTTCACCATGCTACAATCTAAATAAAGCACAGGTAGATAAATGTTATAATAATTTTATTGATCAAATATTGGGATCACAAAATGCTATCGACAAACACAAAATACCACACTTTTGTTGGTTTGTATTATTATTATTTAATTATACATTATTTATCTAATATTATTTATTATAAATTTTTGTAATTTACTAAATAGTTTTTTAAATCAATGATAGTTTAATAAGAATTTTCTAGAAATTTAAAACTTTATTAAAAGTACATAAAAAAAATTTCAGTTCATATTATCGATTGTTTGACTGTTGGGAGCAAACAGTATCGGCACAGAAGGGTTGCAATGAATCAAAAGTCAATGTAATGAATGAATTCATCCGATCGGCGACTGATGTTGTTATGCCCGTCATATGCGGCGGATATCCCGAAGAGTCGGACAAATGTCCAAAATTGGGTATAAGTATTGGTTAAGTATAGTTAACTAAATAAATAATTGATAATTAATTTGTTTGATAGGTTTGCCACCAAAGAAAAAGTCATCACAACAACGGACCAAATCGTTTGGTGTCCCTGTTATCGATTTGTTGGCATCATTTGAAGCGGTCTAACATAGATTTACCACAAATTAATCATTAATAGCATTTAATCGGCTTTTTATTGTTTAGGTATAACCTAAACAAATAAATACATTATAAAATCATATTTACTACAACTGTATAATTAATAATATTATAATACAGTAATAATATCTGTAATTGTATTTACCGTACATTACATAAAAAATAATTGTTATCATTAATATGATTACATTAATAATTCTATTGATTTTACAGATAATTTTGGTATATATATTGTAATTTATATTACAATTAAGCTAATAAAATATATCTACAATTTATAATAAGATTTTATAATAAATAGTAAAATAATAATAAAAATTATTATTATTAWTATTTAATAGTTTAGTAATTTAATATTGGGAAACGAATCTACTTAATAGCAATCGGAGAAATACAACCGATTTTAAACGTATCGGAGTTTTTTTTGTCGTTTTTGTGTTAAACCTAAATATCAAACATCATATTATTATTAATTGATGTTTATTTAAATTAAATAATAATTTAAATGATAGAAATTTTGTGTAATCTTTTAAGCAAAATAACTAAAGTTTTGCATTTATGACTGTCATTCTTGTTTTGACTGCAGAAAAGTTCGGTCTTATTTGAATACATTGTCTAAATACAGTATAATCGACAACTGAATCAATTACCTGTGCCTCGCAGTCATTGTGTAAAACATTATCAAAAAATGTTAAAAATGTACTTTTTATAAATATTCTTTATTAATTATTTTATGTTATAAATAAAGAATATAAAAAATTACTATACTTTTAATAAAATATAAAATATATATTTTGATAAAATATATAAATGACTTGACTAGTTTAATAATTTTCATTATTAATGATCTAGGTCGGCTTAGTTCAAATCATATAATCAACAATAATTATTTCTCTAAAGGCGTTGTTCACATATTACGTTCGCAGTTTTAAAAAAATCTAGACCCCCTCCCCCCTATGTTCGCAATTGTTCGCATGTAATGATATTTAAAAATTACGTTCGCATGTCCTTAACCCCCCCCCACCATTTAAATAAATATTTTATAAAATTATTTTCACTTTTAAAATAATCAAATAAATTAATATTATTCAAAAGTCATATATTTATTCAAAATTAGTTATTAAACCGTTTATCAAAGGATTAAGTTTACTCAAAATTAATCCCTTAAATTCATTCATTATTTAAATGCGAACGTTCTTATAGACTTTACCCCCCTCCCCCTCGTTCGCAAAAGTTCGCTTTGGCCGACCCCCCCTCCCCTCAAGTGCGAACGTAATATGTGAACAACGCCAAAGGCCTATAAACTTATAATTCTTATCAAAAATAGTACCAATCCTTAGACAACTATAAAACTTTCTTAATCTCTATGGCTTTATCACGAAAATTTTGGTCTATTATAAATGAGTCTAAATGATCATTAAATGAGTCATTAAAGCATTAATAAAGTCAATTGTCTAAACATATATCTATGTATAGCAGGATAACCCTAAAATTAATATGTTGAGCCTATTGTAGGTGTAATCGTATATCTTAGATCATTAGTGCTGCCAATTATGAAACTAATAACCATTTTATTAATTATAAATATTTTTAAGTATTTATAATTAAAATTATACTGATTTTTAATATTTTTATTTTATAACATAATTAAATAAATAAAAAACAAAATAAAAATTTTGAGCATTATTTTTTCAATAGTGTATTTAATTAGTGTATCAAATTATTTAAAGATTTAATAGCTTTATATTAATAAATTATTTTCAATTTATTATATGCAAAAATAAAATAAATATTTAAATTTATGATTATAAATATTTAATATATAAAAAACATTATATACTAATTATTATAATAATGATTAGTATAAATATTATGACAATTAATGTATTTTTATTAATTTTACTTATTATTTTTAATTGATAACAATTTCTATAAATTATTTTCTTTTGTATAAATTAATAACAATCATAATTATAGTAAATATCATAAAATATTCAAAATATATAATTTAGATACATATTAGCATCAATATAGTTATAGTTATATTTGATTAATATGTTTAAATTTTTTTAATACTAATGAAATATTAATAAGAATTTTAACGATGAAAAACTATAGTTTAGATAAAAAATAATTTGAAGGTCAGACTGAAAAATCTTATTAATTAATTAAAAACATGTTTGAAGGGCATTGAAGGTAATCTTTATAATAAAATTACAATTAATTAAATACAATATAATCAATATATATCTATTCATTATAATTGAACATTAATTTATTTTATTTGTCACATTTAATAAGCAAATAATAAATCGATCACTAAATAAATAATAAAATGTAAAACATTGTAATATAACAAAAAAAGTTAATAAAATTCTTTCACATTTATTAATTGTCACATAAATATCATTTTTAATAATTTTCAATGTTATATATTTTTAAAATAAGACCTCAAAGTAAAACAAATAATCGCCTGACAGACAAAATGTGAACCAACTGTCCCCGACTGATAGGATCAGAGTATACTTTACATAAAGAAATGACTTATTGGATGCATAAGTAAAACAGTAAAATATTTTTGTGTTAAAATAAATACTTATAAATAAATATAAACTAAAACACAATATTCTAGTATTAAATGAAATAATAAAACTGTAGTTTTGAAAAATTAATAATTATTTGTTTTTTGTAATATTCTTTACAAATAAATTCTATTTTTATTGCTTGAATATATTATACAAATATTTGTATTTTTATTTAATTACTTTATAATGAATGTTACATATAGTTTGTTAATGTTATCGATGTGTTTTTYATGTCAATCAGTAACCAATGCTCTCAACAATACAACTACAGGTGCTTTCAAGTGTGACACTAAAAGTCTACGTAAGATCGACTTGAGTGTCGCCCGTATTATCACAATAGGAAACTCCGGTCGCAAGTTTCCCGAGAATAAGGGCGACAGTCTTAATAGATATTGTGTGTAAGTATTTATAAGATTTTATTAATAAACTAATAAGTTATGAATCAATAATTTTGATTCACATTTTCATATTACAGTCAAAACACTGGTTATATGAAGGAAGTGGAGAAATTCAAAAGTAAATGCATGAAAGGACTATCCAAACAAGTGACCGGTATATTGTTGTACTCATTAAAAGTATATTTGTTTTTTATATAATTGTCTGAATATAAAATAAATTAATTTTTTTGTGTTTATAATTGTATTGTGCATTGATTTTGACTATTTTTAAATTACTATTATTATATATATTGTATTACAGAATTCAATATCGCAGTTATGTCACAAACAGTCTAAAAAATTGGATGATCTCATMGATAGTACAAAATGTATAAACACTGCCACACCTGAGATTAACCGGTGTTATACAGATTTAATTGATAGCGTGTTGGGCGCCGTCAATGCACCCGACAATAAAAAGTTACCTTTTGTTTGTTGGTAAGCTTTCAAGACTACTAAAAAACATTCAATATTTTATTTATAATCATTTTATTATATAATAGTAATTTTTTTTTTGTTAAGTTTGTTAACATAAAATTTTATTATAATATTATAAAAATTTTAATTTATAAAAATATGTTTTATATTGAATTAGCGAATATTATAAGATATTTCCGTGCATTACACAGAAGGCGTCGCGTATATCCATATGTAGTGCTCATCATATCGAGACTGCCCTCGATTTTGTGCGATCAATGTTAGGCAATGCCATAGACCTGGTCTGTGGTGATTACACTGAAGGTAATGTCAATGTCATTGGTTTATCTTACTGTATATCTTATAGAGATTAGGAGAGTCACGTGAAATATTTAAAATGTGTTTTATATATGTTTTTAAACCATACTATTTAAACAACAATATTTTTATTATTGTTATTAGATTACTGAATAATATCAACAACAAAAAATTTATTTGTAAATTTTAATTTTCTGTAAATAAAATATAGGTAGCGATAAATGTGATCAATTGGGTCGACCGCCAAAAAAACTGAAAAACCAAAGACGTACCAAATCTTTTATGATACCATTGCTTCAAATGTTTGAATCGTTTCCCGAAGTTTAGCCTACCTGTGCCCGAGTCATCTGATAATCATTTTTATTAAATATAAATGAGTTACTATGAGCTTCAATATTTTTTATGACTTCTCTATCTAAGACAAAAATTACTGTATAAACACAATAAATGTTTATAATAATCTAATTAGTTTTTATACAATTTTATTAAATAAATATATATATAATTTATAGTACTGTTTTCATATTACTAAAATACATGATTATAATAATTATGTAACAATTAAGTTAAAAGATATTGAAATAGCGAGTTATATAAAAACATTCATTTATATAAACGAAAAACTCTAWAATAAATAAAAATTTCCACAAAAAATGAATAAAATTCAAATTATTAAATAACAAAAACATGGAATTTCCACAATTATATCATTTATAAAACATTAAAACATAATTACTAAATTTTGATAAATATTTTTTAGTATTTTTTTGGTATTTAGTATATTTACAAATATTTCATAGTTTAATATATATACTTTATATACGATTTATTATATAAATTTATATAATAATAAATTTGATGACATTGATAAAATTATTGCATTTGCTATATTAATATTGTATAATTGAAAACTTAATGATTAATTATGTCTAATCTATAAATAAGATTTTAAATAAATTTTTATTAGTTTAAATCATCATTATATTAGCTAAACTTTCAAATATACTAATTAATAAAATCTGCCATTTTATTGGGTAAGACAATAAACTGCCTTAAGTTGTAGTGCAAGTTATATGAATAATAAATTAAATTCAATTTACTATAATTATATTGCTTTATATAAAATACTAGCAAAGGATCTGAAAAAATCATTTCACTTTATACTTAAAGTAGTTAATGAAATGTATTAATAGTTATCAATATATGAAAAATAGAAAATTATTTTTTATTATTATTAGTGTAATAATTTTAAAAATATAACTTACATTTATAGTAATAAAAATAAATTCTCAATAAAAAACTTTTAAAAATGTTTAATTTAATTAAATATTATAGATTATCATTTATTTGTGTGATTTCATTATTTTTATTTAATGATTCACATCAAGAGGATTGCGATGTGAATGAGTCCCGCAAAATGGACGCAGCGATGGCTAAATTGTTGACAATTGGAAATTCCGGTCGAAATTTTCCTGAATCTAAAGGTCAAGAATTGAAAACATATTGCGAGTGAGTAGTCATTAATAATTAATTTTAAAGTAAATTATTATTAAAAATATTATGATTACTAATCATATACTACTTGTCGTACTTAACAAATAATAAAGTGATACAAAATTATTGATAACACAACTTGAAAACTATAAGAATAAGTGTCTCAAAGATTTATCAAAACAAGTGATGGGTGTTATAGTATATTCAGTGAAGAATGCTGTGGGACAGTTGTGTAAACGGGACTCTAAACGTCTAACTGAGCTAATAGGTGTGTCCCCCTGTTTGAACAAAGGATCCAATGAAATCAATAAATGCTATTCAAAATATATCGACGGTTTGTTGGGCGCCAAACATGCCAGCGATAAGAAGAAAATACCCCATAATTGTTGGTTTGTATAACTATTATATCATTTAATATTACTATTATAATAATAAAACAATGCTTGAACTCGAAATTAAATTAGGATATAAAATAAATCTTACAAATTGTATTACAATTTTTAATGTTTAATTTTTTTTTAATTTATAAAAATAATAATAATTATTATTTTGTATATTTATAGTGAATATTTTAAGATATTTCAATGCTCTGAGACTAAACTGCAAAAAGTGAAAACTTGTAATAATCAAAAAATAGATATTGCAATGGATTGGGTTCGGTCTCTATTTGGTAACGTTATTGAACTTATATGTCAGGACTATACTGAGGGTTCGGATAAATGTACAAAATTAGGTGGGTGCCATTCAATTATATTTAGTATCTACAGTAGTTTATATGTTTTATAAATTAAATAAATAATTATTAATAATTTACATGTAATCTAGTACTGATTGTAAATGTTTCGATAAGAAAATTTTAATAATAAAAATAATTCAATTATTTAAAATTTATTCAGAATTGGTACCAAAAAAACGCAAAGATCAACGACGACCCAGATCATTTATGTTGCCTTTAGTCGATTTATTATCAAGTTTTAAAGAAATATAATTTATTAAAAGTTTCATATATGTAATCACTTTTTAAAGTTATCTGTAAAAATTATTGTGTATTTTGTAAAAGTTATTAATAAAAATTTATAAAAATACAAAAATATTTTTTATACTATCAAAAATAAATGTTATTATTAATCGTATTATTTAAATAAAATAAAATATAAATGTCAATTAGTTTTTTTATTATAATTATGCGATAGTCTTCTGATATACGGAAATTTAATAAAAAATTTAAAAGTATTTTAATACAATTAATTCATTGTTGCAAAAGGGTTGAGGAGTTAAATCCTCTTAAATTAGGTTTAAAACAATACATTATTAATTTACTAAACATAATAACGTAAATGTAATCACAATAACTATAGTTTAATTATAAGTCAATGATGTATATATGATAATTCATTTTTAGTATTACATTATCGAAATAATAAAAATTAAATTTATAATGAAAATAAGTTTGTTTATATTATAAATAAGTTTTTAGTTATCAATTTGAAAGTTTCCTATGCATTATGCAATATACTATATCCTGGAGAACATTAAATAAAAAAATTAGTCGTTATTTACTATTTTTTATTAGATATCCTTTGCTTTCAAAAAAGTATAAATAAGTGAAGAATTGTTTATATCAACAAATATTATAGTTTTTGTTTTATTTAATTTAGTTATCATTTTTTATTTAACAAAATAATGAATAAAAAAGTTATGTATATTTTTTTATTTATTACAATTATTGCATTTATGTCGCATCACTGTTTAGGACAGGGATGTAATTCAAATGGTTGGTCGTGTCAGGACAGCGGTTGTTATAGAGCTGGTGGTAGTTGTGGATCAGTTGCTCGTAGACCGGGTGGTAGACCTGTTTGTCGGTGTCAATACTTCGGTGGTGGACGAGGAGGACGTAGAGGTCCCAGACGTGGGCGTTGATACTATACGAATAGATAATAATATTAATTATTTATATTTTTTTCTTAAATAATTTATAAATCAAAATATAAATAAATTATCTTTGTATTATAAATAAAATTTTATTTTATAATATTATTATTATTGTTATTATCAAAATAATAAAATATTATTATTAAATATGTTTATTGCAAAACTATATGTAATATTTTGTTTTTAAATGTTATTAAATATTTATTTAACTTACAAATATTTTAAAAATAGCATAAAAATAAGACTATTAAAAATAAAATCAATCATTTGATAATAATCAAAATTTATGAGTTCACTGCAAAAATAACTTTAATAATAACAATATATTTGTTTAATTGATAAAATCTTTTTTAAAAAATAATATTTAAAAATAAAATATTTTTCGATTATTTTTATAATTAAAATTTATAGTCAATGAATTCTTTATATAATATATTATATTATAAAATTATATTTATCATTATAAGTTTAAGGTGTAAAATTAAAAAAAAACTAATTTATAAAAATGTTTAAATTATTAATATTATTATGGTTTGCATGTCTGATGCCATGTGTTTTATCAGGTGATTGCTATGCATTAGCCGACGGTACGTGTGAAGACAGTACGGGTATGTGYCAGACTCGGGGCGGTTATTGTATTGTTAAGGGCGAGTATGTCGACMGCAGTAACATTTGTCAATGCAATTCTCTAACTCAAGTCAACTCATTTGGTAAAGTAGTGGCTCATAGACCCCGTCCCGATAGAGTCTATGGAAACAATCAGATTTATGGCGGATATGGTTTGGATTATAATGCAAATAGAGTACGAAATAGAGATTGGGATCATCACAGACGTCCGCATAGAAAATAATAATATTTTTATAAAATTCAATTAAATGATATATTTATTTATATATTTATAATTTATATATTCTAATTAATATTGAATTAAAATAAAACTCAAAACATAATCAAATGCTTATATTGTGTTGATTTCAACAGTGCCAGTATTAGCTGTATTAGAGGCACCGGTTCCTGTTGGTCCAGCTGTACCTGTAGTTCCAATAGTATCTGTATTAGTTGGTAAAATAATGGTGCCGGGAGGTAATTTTGCTATCGGTCTAATTCCTGAATATAATATTGTAGGGCCAGTTGGTCCAAACGGGAATGACTGGCTAGTTATCTGCCAGACAGCGTTGGCAACAGGAGTAATAGGTTGAGGGGCACCGGTATTCCATATTCCCATTGGTGTCATAATTGTACGGTTGGCGTAAGTTCGGCCGATCGGCATATTTCCATAGTATAACATAAGAGTTCTATCATTTAACTGCTGTATATTAGTAATGACCGGCAGGTTTGGCATATAGTATTGAGTGTAGACCAGGGCTACAGTTTAACAGTTAGTATACAAATCTCAATAATATTTAATAATAAAAATATTTACCAAACATACCTGAAATGCTAATCAGTAAAAAAATAGATATTAATTGTTTCATTTTTTATGATTATGTATTGGATAGTATACAATATATAGTAATTTATAATTATTGTCTTTTATACTATTAAATTAAAATAATTACGAATCATTTTTATTATATACTTTTTCTATATCCTTATATGTGAGATTTATATAATTAATTATTTATTTTATGTATCGATTGTTCATTTTAAATAGGATATAAAACTTGGATTATTAATTATTTTATTATGAATTTATAATAATAATGAATTGTAATAATAGGACTTTGAGAAAACGTAATGTAATTGTAAAATATTGTAAGTGTAATTCAATAGAATTGTATGTATTATGATATCATTTATTAAAAGTTTTCATTTATTAAAAATATTTTTGAATTAATAAATATATTATAGTTGATGTGTAGTTTAAAATTATCATATTGTGATTTTTAAATGCAATTTAGATTGATTTACAGATTACTTAGTTTTAKTAAACTATTAAATTTTYTAAYTTCATGTTGGACTTGTCTGTTATATAATTTTTCAATATATATATATATATATATAGCWGTATTATAATATCTTAATATAAGTAAAATAATTTTTTAAARACATAAATTATATSATAAAACAGARTTTATTTTGTATTAATACATAATATAGAAATTAAAATAATTAACCCTGGTTAGTGGGAGGAACAATAACATATCCGGTCGGCAGAACAGCAACTGGATTATTGCCAGAATAGAGTACATTTCCACCGTTACTGTTGGGGTATTGCCAAGTAATTCGGGGAAGATTGTCAGCACCTGCCGGAACCGGTTGTGGATTACCAGTATTTACCGGACCGTTGGGTCCTTGTATAACACGTCCCGGTTGGGTTCGGGCAACTGGAGTATTACCGTTCAATAGTAAATATGACCCGTCATTTAACAATTGCATGCCAGTAATGTTGGGAACCGCATTAATGAGGGCTTAATATAAGATAAATAAAATAATAAATTACTTAATAAAATGTGATAATAAATATATTATAAACTCATTGTTTTATTTTTTCGCTATTACCTAAACTTGAGAGCAATAATACAATTATAATTTTTGACATTGTGTTGAATTATGTAGTATACTATACTAACTAAATTATTATAACAATGTTTTATATACCTACATAACTATAACTTATATATATACTAAATAAAGTATATGTATAATTTATAAAAAAAATGTATATATATCAAACAATATTAAAACAAATAAAATAAATTAATGTGTTTTTTGTATTTGATAATGTGTCACATCTAAATCCCAGATATATCTATTATAATTAATAATGAATTTTAAAAAATTGTTTTAAAAATGTTGTGTATTGACGTAAATTGAATATGTGTTCAAAATAAAAATCACAAGATCTTTGTTTTGTAATAATAATTAATATAATTTAAGATTTATTATTTAGTTATTATTATATAAATACATTTTGTAATTATTTGTAATTTGCTTGAAATCTAAATGTCAAAATAAATTAATTAAATTTGAATCATTATGTAATATTCTCTGCTATATTTTTAAAAATTAATTTTTTTGTAAAAAGCATTTTTGCTTATATATATTATATAATAATATAAGTATTTATAAAATCTAAATTTTTACATTTTTATTATCTATTTGAATACCTTATCATAGTATTATAATTATATATAACTTATAAATTTAATAAAAAAATATCTTTCAGTTTAATAATTCTGTTTTTAAAAGCATAATTCAAGATAATTCAGTCAAATGTTTGTATATTTAAATCAACATAAGTGGACAATCCATAGATCTATTGTTTCAAATATTTCCAATTGGCAAACAAAACTGTAGTTTATATTTAAATTTAATTTATTATTGTTGTAGAAATATTTTAATTTTTATTCTAAATTTAATTGATTTAAATATTAAGATATATATATATTAGTAAATAACTAATAAAAATATTTTAATATATCTATATTACCTTAAATTTCTAAAAAATTATAATGATCATACTTGTCTTAAATTCACTTACAATTATTTTGAAATATATTTTCTAATATAAAATTTAGTTTAATCGAAAAATAATTAATATATTAATAGTATTAAATAAGCCATTAATGATGCTATTCAATAAAAGCTAGAGCACCTCCCGAGCCAATAGAGATGGCAAATAGAAAGTTTCTAGAATATTTCTCAGGAATAAATTTCTATAGAATTTAACTTTATTGTTATACTATATTAATACTATACATATAATATTATACCTATGAATATAGTACAGTACTATACAACTATATATAAAATAATTATAATTATTTAATAATAATTAGTTTTGTAAAATTGTATTCATTATTTTATTATATATATCATACTGTAGTTAATTTTTACTTTAATTAATAATTAAAATARTAATAATACTAATATTTACTGTAATGTATTGTTATATGATAGCAAATATCGAGATAACAAAATTAATGCCGGGATCCCATAGATAGAAATTTCTTTAGAAACTTTCTTAAAATTTCTCTATTATTTTTATAAATTTTTCTTTTTTGCCAACAGTACGAGTCACGCGCCACTGGGACAGGGCTAACACAACGCATAGGGCTTCGGGTTTAGTTTCAATCAAGTTATCACTAAAGCTTATAACTTAAAAATGTATTATAAAATAAAAGTTTTTATTTTGACAAAAAAAACATTTAAACAATTTAATTTTTTATCATTATTATTACTAAACATTGCGAAAAATTACTRCTAACAATTTAGCATAATGATTATATGAGTGAATTAAACAATTTGCAATAACCAATGTATTATTCAATTTGCATTTTTAAAATATTTTTCTGGTTTTAAAATGTAAATGTATAATTAATATTTTTTGTAATTTATTATTAAATTTTCTTTTTATTATTTAATAATTYTTGACAAAATAAGTTATGTAAAAATATATATTATTTAAATTGTATTTAAAATATATACAGTATTAATATATTTCTCATAATATAATATATTGTATATAGTATAATTATTATAATTATAATCGTTTAATTATAATCTTTGTAATAGAAATAATTAATTAAAATAAATTATTTAATCATTTTYCTTGTTAATGAACATTAATATGTTATTTATTCAAAAAACATTTAAATTTTAAGTACAACCAATATAAACAATAACAGTCTAATTKCAGGCATTTTGGGAACTGAAATGTACACAAATATTTGATGGGTTACTCACAGTCGTAATATAAATATTATAAGTTTACTTTATTTTTATTAATGAAATAATTTAAACATTTAATAAAATTATTAGAGTAAAAATACAATTTAAATATATATATATATTAATTAATAATAGATGTTTCTAATATCTAATCAAATAATATAAATTTCTAATAATTTTAAAGTAGTGTTAATATTTTATTATTCAAAATATTTTAATTATATTCTAATTTCCAATTAAAACTAATTTAATTACAAGATAAATTTAAAATGCACATTAAATTGTTTTATTTTAAACAAGTGATTTATATTTATAATGCAAATAAAATCAATATTTATTAATTTAGTAACATTAATATACTGTATGAATATATATTCAAATTAATAATATTCATAAATTTAATGACAAAATTACATCATAAGTATTACAAAATGTTAGAGTAATTAATAACATTTTTGAATTTTTTATAATTTTTTATACATTGAGGACAGAAATTTATGCAGGAGCACCTCCACCACCATTACCACCACCACCATTGCCACCACCACCACCGCCACCGCCGCCACCCCAACCACCGCCTCCTCTTCCTCCACCACCTCTACCTCCTCCTCCACCACCACATCTCACTTCTGGCTCATCAACTATAGGCTTTCCATAACATTGGGCTATAATAAGCAAAATAATAGAATAAATAATTAAATATATAATAATATTAATAAAAAGAGTTTAAAATTAAATAACCAATTAATGCGACAACAAGAAGAAAAACTAAAGCTTTCATATTTTTAAAATATAAAATCTATTTTAGTAAATAAATATATATTTTAAATCTAAATTATAAGTTTGACTTTATTTGGTTTTTTATATCAAAAGTTTTATATAAAGTATGTGACAAAGCATGTCATTTATATTTATAATTTATTTCGTGTTATATTTTTTTAGATTAAAAAAATTAATTATCTGTAAAATATGTAATAAGCTGATAGCAATCATAATATTAGTCATATAAATATTTTTTAATTATTTTTTTTAGTGAAAACTTCAAAAATATTTTTATTTGTTCATTTATAATTTATTAGCAATTGTCATATTTTCAATATATTAATATACATGTATTTTACAACTATAAATTAATGATTGATACTATACTGTATTACAGTTATTAAAAATATGTTTAAATATATATATATTATTTTTATAAATCATTTTATTAAGTAATAGTTGAAGGCTTTATGTTGACGTAAGTTTCAAATTCAGTTAAATATTTGTATTAAATAGTAATTATAAATCATAATAAATGCTAACAAATAACAAAATAAATTATTTAAAATTTTTATTAAATGTTAATAAATTTAGTATTTTAGTCTATGTTTTACTGTATTATATTACAAACACTTATAATCCAGTGAAACTTATTGTGATATTAAGCTAAATGTTAAATCATAAAAATTAATACTAAATAATAAATATTTTAACCAACTATTTATAAAATATAATAGCTTAATTTGATCTGATATGAATTTATTGTGTAATTAAAAGATTTATTAAAACAATAATATTTTAATATGCTATGCAATTTATAACCTTATGAGATTACTATTAATATAATGAAATTGATGTACTAAATTTAGTTAATTATTTCAACATTTAGGAAATAACAATTATTTTAATTTAACTTAACTGTTTTATTTGCAGTAATAAAAAATTATTATTAATATTTAATTAATGTTAATTGTTAAATTAATAAAAATAATTAATATTAACATTGATAATATTGTTTGTAATGCTATAAAATTAATAAGTTTAATAAATTGCATTTATACATTAGCTAAATATTAATAATTATAAAAAAACAAAGTTTATAAATTAATATTAAAACTTTATTTACTTGATAAATAATGGCTCAATAAATATTATTAAGTTACATTAATAATCATTTAAAAAAAATAATAATAAAAATTATTGTTTTACAATTAGAATTAGAATTTTATTAATAGATATAAATATTATAATAATTATGTGAAACTRTTAGCTCTCCTTAATGTGAATCCATCCAAACTGTTTGATTCAGTGACAACACTAGCATTTGGACTCTTTGTCAAAAATAATGGCCAACTTTTAAATCCTTTTGTTATTATTTTTATATCAGAATTATTAGATAGTCTATCAATATATGAACCATTAGATTGTGAATAACTCACTATAAAGAAGTTAATAAATTTGTATTTATTCTTTATATAATTATTTTAATATAAATAGATTACTTACATATAATAGTTATAATAAATATTGGCAATAATTGATAATATATTACTGTAATAAACATGTTATAATAATAATCTATTTTGCTTAACTTTAATTAAATTATTTGTTGAAAATAAACATACAGTAATAATACTTATTATAGAAATACTAAATAAAAAATATTGTCTATGTAGTTTTTTGTAAATAAAATAAATTTAAATCCGATTATATTTCCTTTATATACAAAATTTATATATATATATCATATAAAAAACTTGACGGTTAGTAATAAATKCAAAATTTTAGTAATTGTATATTTCTTAGAAATTACATCATTTTGAATTAATTTTCAATGAGTTAACTAAACTTGAACAAAATAAAATATAGTCAAATAAATAAGTTAGTGATAAAACATTTTAGTATCTAATTTGACATAATCTTTAAGTTATTTTTCTATGAGTTAAATAAGTTAAACTTTTTTATAAGAATATAGATTTTGAATATTTAAAATTCAATTGACAGCAAAATATAAAAATATGATTGTTTGATATTTGAGGTAAAAAATTATCATTAAATGGTACACCAGATATATCACTAATAAATAAAGTCAGTTTTAAGTACAATTAGTCAATAATGMTATTTAGTATTAGTAATGTAATAATATTTATGCACCTAATAATAAATAATTGTTGTTGYATTACTAATAGTTATTATTAGTTAATATAAAAAATATCAAGAAAAAATATTGAAAAATGAAATTCAATAAATAAAAAAATTAATTAAATTTACTGTTACATTAATAATAAATAAATATTATTAAAAATTAGTAACAAAACAATATTAATTATAATAATAAATGTGTTTTTTGTTTACAATTATAATCAAAAATTTACTTAATATTGCGAGTCATTTAATTAAAATATATTTTACAAAAATAAAAAAATAATAACAATTTCAATACAATAGCTTATCTTATTTATAATTCCAAAAGTATATAAACTTGATCAATTGCAAAAAATATATCAATTAACTAAAAAACTAATATTTATAATACAATAAAAATTATAATTATTTTAAGCATAAAATGTTTAAATTGCTTTTTGTGTTCACTTTAATTGTTTCTATTGGTAAGTTTTCAATAATGGTTTTAATAATATTTTAATTTAAAATTGTTTTCATTATAGYATTGATTGAATGTCAAGTAACTGAGCCCTGCAATAACGGCACTCATGGCGGTCATCGAGGACACAAAGGTTTTGGTGGACATAGAGGTGGCTTCAATTGGCACAGACATCACGGACACCGACGTCCTAACTCTACTCAACCTGGAAATGGTGGATCAGTTACACCAAAACCTACAGACGTTCCCATTATAAATAATKCTTAGTTTCAAATGATTCAAAACGTTTAAGTGTTGGTGTAATTAATATAAAATTTCAAAATTATATTTAAAGGTTATATATTAATCCTAACATTTTTTATATTTTGTATCTTAAGTAAAATTAAAATTACTAATAATACTAAGTTAATATTACTATAATAAATATTTTTTTTTAATTTGTTTATTTTGTGAAAAAATTATTTAATCTTTTATAAATATTTACATTGAATACATGTTATCTCTCAAACAATAATAGCAGTTACTGTACAGTATTTGTTTTTATAGTATTAAATCTACTGAAATATTACCGATRCTTTTTAAATACTTAATACAAATGTTTTTTATGCATTTTTCAACATAACATTTMAGTAAACWTAATAATTGATTTAATAAAATATTGATGAATAACTACATATAATTGATTTAAATTAAAATAAATAATTTTTGAATTTTTAAAAACTTTTCTGATTATCGAATTTAGTGTTTTTTGTATTATATTTGTGTTTATAATATATTTTGTATTATGTWTTGTTTGTAAAAAATTATTTATTAGCAAAATATAAAAATTTAGCAAATTGTCAATTTTTCTACTGACTATTCAAATAATAAAATGACAAAACTATGTTTAATGTACAGAATTATTCACATTTTTTTAGTTTGTTTGTTACAACTGAGTCCCGGAGCGCACACATACTTTGGTGTAATATCCTTAACAGTTRTTTCCATACAATTGTCACCCTTTTCTGTACAATAGATATTACAAAATATATAATAGACTGAATAACAGTTATTCTTTAAATAAATCCAATTAAATACCTAATTTRATGAAACAAATTGAAAAATACCGGCATATCAGTGGATTATATGGTAAATAAACACTACATTTGCCTAATACTGACAAAAGTCAGTGTTTTCATCTGCCGACAGATAACGGAAAGTATTGGAAWCTATTTGTCAAAAACCTAACACAAAAAGTCTTTGAAATAAAATAATATTTCGTTTAATCTTTTTTTCGGTGATTTTGATGTCTTTGTCATATAATTTTGATAGAAAAACTTGACTCAAAATAAGATGATTATTATAAAATAAAATTAATATACAATTCAATTAAAATTATTAGACACATGTTATTTGTGTAAATATTTAATAATATATATGTAGTGTATATACAAATATTTAATTATTTAATTTAATTTAATTGATAAAATAAATTAGATTTTTTGTTGATCAATTTATTTTTGTAAAAGTAATAAAATTTAATTAATTTTATATTATAGTAATAACTACATTGAAAAAGTATTTAAAACAAAAAATTATTTCTCAATTGTTTACTTCTTTTAAAATAAATTTTGAGTATTTTAAAATAGCTAAAAATATTTATAAAATTATAATAAACATCAGTATTTAATATTATTTAAATGATTGTTTTACATTGACAGAGGAAATCCTCGATAGTTTTATTTAATTTTTAAAAAATATTAAATTTCACTAAAATTTGTCCATCTAAAATTAAAATATAAATTTTGGATTTAAAATTCTAAAATAAAACTAATAATACTTAAAGAATTATTTTTTTTATTAATAATCAAATAATAAAATTTTTAACTAATTTAGTAATATTTAATGATTACTAATGCAATCATATACATTGTATTTTAAGAGTTAAAATTTTACATTACAAATCAATAAATATATTATTGAGAAATATATTTAAAATAGTATAAACATAATAAATATATAAATTAATAGTAGATAATAAATTAAAACAATAATAATACTAAATGTTATTTACAAAACAATATTAATTAATGATAAAATGTGTTTTTGTTGACAATTAAAATGAAAAGTTTACTATTTATTTGTGAGTCATTTAATTAAAATGTATTTCAACAATAATACAACTAAACCCACTTTAAATAATATTTCACAAAATTATAAACACTAATAATTTAGAATAGAGTATCAAAAGTATATAAACATTTTAATTATAGAAAATATATTAATTAAATAACACAAACTAATACTTGTATTTATTATATATTTTATAATATYTGAGTAAAAATGTTTAAATTATTGTTTGTTTTTAGTTTAATTGTTTGTATGGGTAAGTTTATTTAATAAAAGTTTTGAAGTAAATGTCCGTAAATAATATKAAAGTTTTCAATTTTAAAACTATWTTCTTTTAGTATTGATTGAATGTCAAGTGYCTGAGCRCTGCAATAACGGCACTGATGGCGGACATCGAGGACACAGAAATTTCGGTGGACATAGAGGTGGTTTCAATGGTAGACATCATGGACACAGACGTCCTAACTCTACTCAACCTGGAAATGGTGGATCAGGTACACCAACACCAATACCTACCAGTGTTCCCATTATAAATAATGCTTAAATTACAAAACGATTTAAGCATATAAATATCAAAAATAATTTATACAAATACAACTGATATATTGAATTTAAGATTATATCAAAAACTAATGTATTTTTTAGTATATCTAATAATTTTTATATATTATTTATTATATATATATAATTTGAGTAAACAATAAACAACATTATTTTTCAATTATTTTTGTTTTAATTTTAGATTTTTATTGATTAAACTTTTTACTGTTTACTTTTGTTTAAATATGTATCTATTTTCATTACATAGGATTAGATGATATAATAACATATTTTTTGTTTAACAATAATTTTAAAAATATTATTTTCTATTAATAATTAACGAATATATCAAATAATTATTTCGTTAATACAAGACAGCAAAGTAAARTAAATTGATATTTAGATTATAATATTTTATTCACATTTGAGTGATTGTCTGTTACATTTGAGTCCCGGAGCGCACGCATACTTAGGTGTAATATCMGTAACAGTYGTTTCCAGACAATTGTCACCCTTTTCTATACAATAGATATTATTAGATAGAAAACAAAATCATAATTATTTTCTWTAAAAAAGTCAATAAATACCTAATTTTTTGAGACATATTGAACAGCACCGGCAGATATTTGYATTTCKTTCTAAATAAACACCATTTTGTTTGCCCTGACAGTCATCTTTGTCAGCCATAGCACACCTGACTCTATCACATTGATTTGGTTTACACAATATTTTAGTGTCTAATTGCAAAGTAATACTTAAAATAATTGTTATAAAAATTATAATACGAGACCAAAATTTATATTATAATTTTTAAAATATATTTATATTATAATTTTTWAAATATATTTAATTTATAATTTTACTATTATTACTATARTTATTAAATCAAGTAAATGCACAATTTCATATCATTTATAAACACCTGGAATTGAATATATAAATGTTTATATAGTTTATAATACTTTTATTGTTTTAATATATAATATAATAAACTATAATAATAATAATATTAGTCAGCAKTTTTTTTGTTTGTTAGTGCAAATAATTTTTATTAAGTTAAATAAACCTATTTTGCAATATAWTAATTAATATTTGCGATATAAGTTATTWCAATTAAGTTGTTTGATAAAAATTATTGCAAATGTTATATCCTATCCCTATCCCTTTCCTTTTTTATTTGCAACACATATTTTTTGTTTGAAATCGCAATGCAATCCCAGAGCACAGGTTTGGTTCGGATGAAACTCAAGAGATTGGGTGCAATCGTCTCCTAACTCTAAATCAAATAAACAATTTAATCAAATAAATCAATTTTTTAATATAATAAATTTAGAAATATAGTATTATAACATTTTAGTTTATATTTACTTAATTTAGTTAAACACTCGGCACAGCATCGGCAGAGATGGGGTGCATATACGAGAAACACTCCATCGAACTGTTCCTCACAGCTCTCCCTGTTTGCCGACACACACCTCACCCGAGAGCACTCAAAGACACATTGTTGGGGTGATTGTTGAGGTGATTGTTGGGATGATTGTTGGGGTGATCGTTGGGATGATTGTTGGGGTGATCGTTGGGGTGATCGTTGTGATGGTTGTTTAGTGTAGTTGTCATCTATTATATATAAATGTTAGTCAATCTCTTAATTAAACATAAATATTAGTATAAATTAATGCAAATCTTATAATTTACTGCATAAGTACACTTAGATAACTATACAATGTATTTAGTATACATATCTATAATAAGTTACCAATAAAATTTATATTATAATTATTTAAAWTATCTGATGTATACATATTTATTAATATAATGTAATTTTTTATTAAATTATAATTTATAAATTTGCTTACTTTTGACTTTTATATTGAYTTCTTGTTGTGATAAAACACTCAATAATGTCAACAATAATAACTGCATCTTTAAATTAACATTCATTTACTAAACCCATATGTTTAACATATTATTTGCTTATATTAACTAATTTATTGATTTTAAATTAAATATAGAATTTTTATAATGCATACAAAAATAAATTATAATTACTTAAAAAATTAATATATTATCAGGGTTAAGCAAAGTTTTGGATTTTAGGGGGAATAGATGGGGGTCAAATGGCAAAATTCTMAAAAAAAATCTTAKCAAGTACATATGTATATGAATTTTTTAATAAAAATTCGGTCAGTTAGCGAGTCATTTCTTAACATTTTTAAGTAAATTWTTTTAATTTGATCAAAAAGTGTGGGGGTAAAATAAAAAAATCTCAATCTTAGGCTTAGGTATTTTGGTTTTACCCCTTACCCCCTCCCCTTTTTAGTTAAACCTGGTTAATGTATATATAGTTTGACTATTTATTTTATTGAACATTATGGTTATAWTTTAGAATTTTTACAGTACACTCTCATTAATTAATATAATGCAATTGATACTATGTTTTATTTAATTAAAAGCATAATATAGTAAATAAAATTAATTGTAATTGTAAAATATATAAAGTAATTTTTTGATCAATTGKCTTATAAGTTATAAACTGTAGTTTATTAGATTAACTATATATATATATATATATCTTATAGACTATAAAACATTTCTTAACATTTGTTAAATTATATATATATTATAAACTTTATTTAACTGATATTAATTGTAAGAATGYTGATTTATTTTTTTAAAATATTTATTTATGTAAAATGTAGTTTTKATTACAGTTTATTTTTAATTTTTTTTCAATTTTAACTTTTGTATTATATGTAAATAAYAAATTTAATAARAGCAAATAATTAAAATAATAAGTCTAAAATTTATAGTCCTAATTAAAAATTTTGTTTTATKTAAAAAATTATTTTATATTTCAACACATAATATACTAATTCAATTAAAACAACAATTTATGAGAAACAACRATAAGAAATGACAGTTCATTTTTTTTGCATTTAATTAATTTTTATTAAAAGTTGGGTAATAAATGACAATTTTTATTAAAGTATAAAATAATAATATTTTGAAAATAAATTATATAAGTAATCAATTACTTAGGTATTGACCAAATAACATATTTAGTACATTTTCTAGTTTTAAAACTACAGTAAAGTCCCGGTGCACAAACCACTGGAGGAGGTGCGCCACTAATTAATGAAAGACCGCAATTTTTACCCTCAGCTATATATTCAGAGAAAAAAAATTAAAAATTTTGTTAACTATAGACATATTTTTTAGTTATATACCTAATGTAGGGACACATCGCTGACAACAACCACAAAATGTATACCCAATCTTACCGTTACTTTTAAAGCACTCTTCGGCGTTAAATTGATTGCAATCAACTAAATTGCAATAATCTTTTTGACACACAAAACATAATATATAGTCCACACTAACTATTATCAAAATGATAAAAATAAATAACATTTTTAACATTTTTCCAGACAAACAAATATCTATTGATTTTAATGTTGCTATTGTTCTAAGTTTTTATAATTACAATTCAATATATATCGTATATATAATATATTTATAGTTTTATTGTACTTTAAATTATATATATATTTACTGCAAGTCATAATATGTAATTGACAATAGATTATCAAAACAATAAATTTTTAAAAACAAAGTAAAAACAAATTAATTAAATTTGATATTTTTAGAATTTAATAATATTTAGATTAAATGCAAACAAATTAAAATTTGATTCATTAAAAATAATGAAACATTTCAATATGTTTGTCATCAAATTATTTATAGTGTAAATTATAAGGCAGTGGTTTTCCTTGAGATATTATATTTTACACAAAATTTCAGTTTAATGAAATTATATTTATTATTTATTTTTTATAACATTGCTATGATATTTATAATAATATATAGTCATAAAAATATACTTTTTTTTATAAAAATTTAATTTTCGAAATGGTGCTATTTAATATTTGTATAATAAAGTTTTATATTATGTTATTATTGTGTTATTTATATGATATCATATATAAAATAATTAATATATTGTTATTAATTGCAGTCTTATTAGAATTTTTATACACTTTGTTTTTTGTCATCTTTAAATCAAATAAAAATTAATAATTAAATAAAATGGAAACATAGATTGTATTACATACAGTATAGTTAAAAATGTCAACTTTTTATTTTAATAAATCATTTTTTATTAAATTTTTATTATTTATAGATTATAGATTTATAGATTAACTACTATTATGTACACACTGTGTATAGTATATTGATATTTCAAAATATCATGTTTTACCAAATAAATAATACAATTTATCATATTATGAAATATATTAAATTTTATTGTAATAAATATCACAGATTAATGAATAATAACTAATATAATAGAAAATATGCATTTTTCAATTTATAGTTTCAGTATTATTATTAATATTAATAAATTTATAGTTTAATTGAGTTAACAAATGTCCACAAAATTGTTGTACTTGTTGTATATGCGACACATTAAGGGTATGCATCCACTCGTAGGCCACACTCTTTGAATTACGTATAGTATTATATGGATTACGTTTGGACGCCTCCTTCAATGTTGAGTTGGTGTGAGTCCTCAGAAATCTTTTAACAGAACTCGAGAACGGTATGTCTGACTTATTAAACAACTGTTTCGCATAATTTGTCGGATCAGTTGCCAAATCTTCGTATTTAATTAGCATAAACTTTGTTGGATAGGTTTTCTGAAGTTTCTGGAAAGCTGTTAAATCATAGGTCATTTCGCGGCACAGGGAGTCCACATGAGAACAGTTGGATTTTTGCGAACACCACATCATGTTCTGTCTTGACCTGAGTATACCGCGCGGGTCACGAACTAAGTACACAACTTTGATGTTTAGATCATCCAATTTAGGCAACAATTTGTCCAAATGTTTCATCTGAAGTCTGGCCACTTTCATGACCTGAACTTTTGCCCGCAAACACGTTTCACTGATGAACTGTGGGTCAAAACATGTGGTCAAACGGAACCGACAGACACCCCATAAAAATTTATTCCATTTAAATAAAAACTGGTTCTTCTGTTTGTGAACCCATTCAACATAATTGGGAATACTATTGAAGTCGCACCGGTATATCTGTTCAATCAAATTGACGGCTTCATCGACATGTTGGTCATCGATACGGACGCCATCCGACATATAATGCAACGGTTCAAACGTATAGAAAGTTTTCCAGTTTTGTTGCATCAAATCGCCGGCAAATGTCGAACCAGATCTGAAATATGTGAACAATAGGATTCTCTTTACATCTGATTTCGGTATTTTTGGCAATGAATTCAATGGACTGAAAGCACTAGACATTAATGTTTTGAGTTGTTGTCTATGATTGTTATGTTTTTCTTTGATAAGTAGTGTCATATTAGCCATAAACCTATCATAAGACCAGGGAGGGTAAGCATCCAGAYTCTGCATTATTGGCAACTTTTTCAATTGTGACKGTATTTCCACATCTTTGAGCTTTAGGTTAACTTTATTGATTGACTTGTGGTTAACATCATTATGTGATACAATGACTTTAGGATGACTTTCGTGTGAATTATTGTTTATTTTGTCTGTAAATGTGTTGATATTAATTTAGATACAAATAAAATACAAATGTATGTTAATTATACTAACTTTGTTTATGTTGTGTATCATCAGTTGTCAAGAAATTTATATTTTTGATTGAGTTGTTTGTTGAATATCGAAGCCATGGATAAAAAGTGTTGGTTTGAATCAATAGTAGACACACAACGATCCCAACCAGATATAAGTAAAGCCGAAAACGAGACATTTGTAAATATTTAATCATCACATCTACAAAATAAAAGATTTTAATTTGACATTTATTAGATTAATTTTTTATTTATCTTAATTAATTAAAATTAATATCATTTACTTTTACATTATAATTGTGGATTGTTATGATTGTAAATGTTAAATTTATTAAGTATTTAATTATTTAACACAAAAATATTTAAAAATGTGCTAAAAATATATTATTTTTATACTATTATCTATCAATATTTATTTGTTGAACAAAATTTTTCCTCTAAATTTATTTATATATTTTTAGTATAAAAAACTATAAAATAATACAATCAATAGATAATACATATGGAAAATATTTATCACAATTCTATAGTAATATTAATTAAAACATTGTTATTATACAATTTTATTAGCAAAAAATACAAATAAATTTTAAATCAAACAAAATTTAATCACAAATAAAAACGAGGAAAATGTTGTTATAAAAAATGAGTGCAAGAGATGACTGACTGACTGACTGGTGAGGTAATGGTGGCGGAGATGTAATGTTATGTTTACTGACAAAATCAACTAATAAAACAAGTTTTCAGGTTTTTATATTTGCTTTTATTTTATGCAATAACCATCACTTAAACTGGCCTTCACTACACTAYTGACTATTACTGTATTTGTAAAAATACACTGACTTTTGATTTACCTGAGCTAATGATAATTTAAACAAATCTCTACCCAACAGCCCTATCAGTCATTTACTGAACAAATCAATTAATTTCAAATTCATTATTTAAAAATGTGTGTATATATTGTATTTTATAATATATATTTTTGTATCATTAAATTGAATAAAAATTATGCATTGTATTTGATAACTAATATTTTTGTTTGTGTTTAATATATTTTTAATGATTTTGTCTGATGTCATCAAAAGCATTAAATCTTAAATCACAATAATGACTATAATTAAACTTAAGAAAAAAAACTTTTTTAGTTAACTGAAATAATTAAATTTATAATTTTTATATTAGACAGTAAACCTAATACTAACTAATTATACATTATTAAATATGTTAAGTAAATTGATGTTTAAATAAATTATCCGTAAATAACATCATGTGTTTAGGATAACAGTGCAACTCCTGAATCCCAAAAGTTCAAAGTTTTGTTTATGGGTCAGTCTAGTGATGTGTCGTTTCCTTTAAATAATATTGTATTAGCTTTCAATTGATAACTGTTATCATCACAACATTATTTGTATTATTTATTTTATCAAATTAATATATTAGTGTAACAATAAATTAATTTCTTATTTAATTATGATTAAAATATAAAGCATTTATTTCATACATTATGAATAATTAGTTGACCAGAAAGTTAATAATCAACTTTAAAATAATAAAAATACTAATTTTAAATGTACTTAAACTATGAGGTAAAGCACATGCGTTAAACATATATTGTATTTATTAAAATATTTGCAATTTTTGTATTAATATTTTGTGCCAATATAAATATCAAAATCTAATTGATTAAAAAATATTAATAATTATAAAATTAATGCTAAAGTATAAAACGATTTTATTCTTTACTTCAAAAGATATATTCGCAGATACTTTATAAAACAATATATAATACCTGTTATTATTTGTATTAAGTGATAGTTTTGAGAGAGAGAGAGAGAGAGAGAGAGAGTGAGAGAAAAAGAGATTTATGATTTGGATTAAACACTCGTTAATTTGATATTTAAAAGAAATATTTAAAAACTATATCGTATATAAATATATAAATTTTGTAATTATATATTGATAAAAACAGCGAATTTACATTAAATATATTAATTAAAAATAATTTTAATATTTATTAATTTTTCAAAAAACGACATTTTAATAATTATGTGTTATTGAAAAATGATTGATGTAAATTTTTTATTAGTCATTTTTTATTAACAACACGTAATTATTAGTAAATTAAATATCATTTTTATTTTTTCTTGTTAGATAAATAATTTATAAAATAATTGACAATGGTGATTTATAATATAAATTTTATTTTGATGGCTTAGTGACGTGATGTTTGTTATAAATTTTTTTATAAGTATTTTAAATACTAAATCCAATGTATTGTAGATCAAAGATTCATTTGTCGTGTATTGTATTAGTCAATAGTGGCGTACTTACAATGGATGAGTGGTTACAACGATAATAATAAAATCAATGATAAAACTCCACAAAAAAGTATCTCAAAAATGATAGAAATATTACATTTTTTGGTTTCTTTATTTTTAATGTTATTTTATAATATTTTCAAATAATATTATTTATTATGCATTATATAAATTATAACCATTATTATATTTACTTGATTTTTTAAATTTAAATATTATTGTAATAACAACCATATTGTGTGTATTATATTTATTTTAACACAATTTATCAATATATAAAAAATGTAGACAACAGCTTAAATTGTATTATTATTTATTAAACAATTATTTRTGTAAATCTCTAAACACACGTAAWACGTCTAAACATATATCTGTCCGCTTAAGACCTGTATTACGGGTTACCATTGATGACAATTGATAACAACATATAGATAATTAACAAAATGATTAGTGTATGAGCTGTGATATCATAAAATACATAAAGTTTTAGGTTAGTAATTACTGTTAGAATTACAAAAATAAATATTAGTTTTAGCTAAATATTATTACTAATTTAATTATAATGATATGAGATTATTATTAAAATGTCAATATTATCTAAAAATAGGGTAAACTATAATATCATATATTATTTAACACTTGATTTTGTCGGCTAATTGTGTAAATTATGTAAGTTATTTAATTTGATAAGCTATCAGAAATGGCACAATATTTTTTTTAAGCATGGTCAATGTTTAACTTAATATGATTTTTGTATATATATATAGCAATTGAAATTTTTTGTTTTATCTTAAAATGATTATTAAATACTTTAAAAGATTAGATAAAGTTTTGCATTAAATGTCTATTGAAATATAACTCCAACCCTTAACTAATGGTTTATTTTACTAAACTACTGTACTGTACTGTACCGGTATAACATTATGTTGTATATACTGTCTTAAATATATACTGTTGTGTATCTCCAAAGATAATGCCATTTATGTGAATAGACTATTTCTACCGTATATATTGTACATAAATAATATTAATACAAAAATAATTAAATAAATGCCTAAAATAAGCTGACTTTTGATTTATAAATAACAAAATATTTGTTGTATAAAAGTCACGGGGTTTTAGTCTTCATAATGTTTGTCTAGTGTTGAAAAACTAAACAAAATCATACCATTGTTTGTAAATCTAGTTTTTTTCTATTAACAGCTGGATCTATAACTTTTAAAATAATTTATTTAATTATGTTTCAATCATTTGTGAAAAGTTGTAAGCTTTTATAATATAATTAAATTATATTTTATAATTATTAAATGGATAGAATGCGTTCATTAAGTCAAAGGTAAATGATTTCAATTTTGTTTAAATATATTTAATATTTAAAGTTTAAAAATATTTTAGTTATAACTGTAAGCATAAATTTAAAAATTARTAAAGCATATATAAATACTATATTTTAATAAATATATTATAAGTACTGTATAATACTGTATAAATAATTCTTWAAAGATACTTGATTTAAAAAAAATTGTCTAAAACATTATATAACAGTATAATCATCAAATTGTTATCAAATTATTTATAAATAAAATGAAAGATTCAGTATAACTCATTATATTGTTGTTTATATCAATATTTAGTAATTAATCAATTATTAATAACTGTATCTATTGTTGACTTTGTGGACACTAGTGTTTCGATGATTATTCATCAGCACTATTGAACTGATAGTCTTAGACTATAATAAGTCATAGAAATACATACGCTTTAAACCGGAAAACTATTATTTATTTGATGATATGATTTTGTAATATTTTAATATATGTAATATCTATTATATAATTTAGTTAATTTCAATTAATTTATATTAAACTATTTGTCATTATTAAACATTTAAATTATTTGTTATAAAAATAAATTTATTAATCTTTTGGTTGAGTTGATGTAAAAATATTTATCAACATAATTATTATAAATATATAATATTTAAAGTTTTATTTAATTTGTTTGACATATTTATTGTAATTGTCATACAGTATATGTTAATTAATCTATTCAATAAATAGATTTTATTGTAATGAGAATTATGTTTAGTTTATGTTTTATTATTTTTTGAAATCACATCAAAACTTTGTTTGTAATTTTATGAATTTTATTCAATCATGTGTTGATGTCTTCAAATATATAAATAAATAAATAAAGATAATATCACTTGGAGTTTACTGTATAACAAATTATTTTTAATTTTTTATTAATGTATTTAAATAGATTAGATAATATATTATTAATGTTTTCGATGTTTATAATTTATTTTAAATATTAAAGATAATAATTTTTGATAATTAAATTTAGCGCAATATAAAATAATGAAATTATTATTTAGATTATTTTTATTAGAATGCTTTAGATTAGAATCAGTAACTACTCTATACATTATAATTGTCTAAAATATTAATCTAACAAATCAATAGTATTTAACTGTTTAATCAATACTAAATAATAATTTAGTGATATATTAATAATAATATATTGCAAATTATATTATACAATGTAAATGATAATGTTTTTGACTTTAGATCCGAAAATTGTAGATTTGAAAACAATGAGAGGACAGCCCTAATCGGTCATTTAGACAGAGTTTACTCAATTGAATCGACATTCACTCGACAATCACTTGAATGTTCTGATGTTTGGCGATTCCGTAATCAATCTAATAGTGCCCAATATCTATCCGATTCAGCTCATGGATCCAGTTGGCTTACCGCAGCATTCATACTGGTCAATGCTGCACTGGGCGCCGGTCTACTCAACTATCCGGTTGCATACGATAGGTTGGGTGGTGTTGTCAGTGCCACTATCATACAATTTGTTATGTTAGTTATGCTGGCATCGACCATGCTCATTTTGATTTATTGTGCTGACTTCAATTGTGTCAATACCTATCATGAAGTGTTAGAGTATATGTGCGGTCATAAAGTGCGCCAATTGTCGGCGCTTTCTATAATCATAACATGTTTTGGTATTTGCATAACATTTTTGATCATAATTGGTGACCAATTTGACAGATTGTTTGCCACCTTTTTCGGACAATCATTTTGCTATCACTGGTATATGCATCGCATATTCACTATTGTGTTATCAGCTATAGTGACCATATGGCCCATGTCTTACTTCAAGAGACTAAACTTTTTGAAATATACAAACTTGTTAGGTATGAAATACAATATTATTAGTAATATATTTATTATCGTTAATAAAAACTTATACAATTTCTTGTATTTTTACTATATATCTGTAATAATTTAAATTTTGTTTACTTCTAAATTAGACTAAATTTTTAAATGCATTTTTGAAATTTATTGTTTATTATTGCATTAAATTAATTAAATTATTTTTATAACATAAAAAACTAAAAATTATTTAAATTTAGGTGTTTTCGCTACATTTTATATCATATTTTTAAATGTCTACGAATATTATTATCTGGATGTAACTCCCGGTCCCATTAAGACACGTCCGGCTGATATCATGAAGTTTTTAGCGGCTCTACCAGTCGTATGCTTTGCCTATCAAACACACGAAATAGTTGTTCCCGTTTACGCCTGTCTATCGACACGAAGCAGAGCTAACTTTACAAAGTCAACACTACTGGCTCTCAGCATATTGTTTGTTGTATATTGTTTGTCGGGAACCTACGGGTACTATACATTTGGTGCGATCGTTGCGCCCGATGTCATGCAAATGTATAATCCGGTCGATCCTGTAGTTAGCGCCGGTATTATAGCCCTGATTATCAAAATGATCAGCACATACCCACCCGTTATATTCTGTGGTCGGGACACATTAGTCGGTCTATTTTGTGGTGATCCAGGTTTGAAAACTATTATATCAATTAAAATATTTTTGAATCGCTAACCACTTGACGATCCCTTTCATTTCAATGCAGAACCGCTTCATTTTGATGAGTCCTACAATAAGTTAGAATACTGGCGTCGTGTCATAATTACAAGTGCCTGGAATCTACTGGCACTCATACTAGGGCTGGTAATACCTAACATTACTGTGGCTATCGGTTTCCTCGGCTCACTGGCTGCTTGTAATGTCTTTGTTTTTCCCGGGCTTTGTATGACATCTTTGGCTAAACGCCAATATTTGATTGTCTGGAGAGATATAGACCATTCAAGTGAAGCACCTGTGGGTCGAACTGATAATAGCATACATAAGTCAATGAGACACTGGTATCCCAGACTGTTGTTTATTTACGGAGTTTTTATCATAACAATCGGTGTTATCATGTTTTTTATAATCATCTATCAGGCGATCACTGACTTAAATTCCGACACAAATCATCATAATTTATGTCAATAATATTTTGATTTATTATTTATAAATAATAATAAGTAATAATTAGTGTATTGATTAATAATTTTTTATACTCTATGAAATAGTTATTATAATAGTTGCTAAAAAAAGTCAAATAGTTGTTAAAATAGTTATTTAAACTGTATTAAATAGTTGTATATAATTGCCAAAAAAGCCAAATAGTTATTGAAATAGTTATTTATTTTCTTATAAATATTTCAACTGATATATAATTCACTTGTTTTCAGTATATTTACAAAAATTATTTATACAAATAAACTAATTATTTCTATTGTTAAAAAAGTAATATGAGTTGATAACAGTTTATACATTTTATATAATTTATATAACTATTACTTTTTGTTTTTACATATATTTGTGCTTAATTTTACAATTTAATGCTTATATTTTTCAAAATAATTGAAATAGTTATTTATAAGTTTTTATAGTTGCTAACCCAACAAATAGTTATTTATAGTTATAATAAAATTTCGGAAATAGCGTCCACTGGTCAACTTCGGTGGACATATTAAGTCCCAGTTATAAGCGTTGAACCGACAAAATAATTTTTTTAGTTGGAAATCAAGACACTAGTAATAATTAAAATTTTAAAAATTATTTTTACCAATAATATTTGTAAATTAAATATTTATCTAACAACTGTATATATATATCAGAAATTAAGTAGGAAATACAGTAATAATATTTATTTATATATGTTAGTTTTTAAATTTTAAACATATGTATAGTAAATTAAAATAATTTAGATTAATATTTTATTAATTTATTAAAATTGGTATTTAAAATATAGTTTAAATTTACACTGTATGGGTGGCGCTATTATTTAAAGTACTTTACATTATTTTATTAAATAATTTGATGTAATAATAGTAAATTCTAATAATTTAATTTGATACACTTAATTTACTATATTAATACCATTGATAAATATGGCGGATATTTAATATATTAAATATCTGGTCAACAATACTTTAAATATAAAAATGGTATAATTGTAAATAATATTAAATTCATTAGTATTGTTCTTGGTCAATTTTTGCTTAATTATAAAATTGATTATTGCAGTATATAATTGCATTAGATTATTGTTTTTTTTAAATTGATTGCAATTATCTGGTCAATTGAACATTTTAATTATCAAGGATAATCTGTAAATTAAATTTATGAAAATTTATTATTTATATTTTTACAGACAAGAAAATTTATATTATACTAAATTAAAATTCTACTAATAATATATAATTCTGTAATTTTGTCGATAAGAGGTCAGACATAACAGGAATTTGTCAAAACATTTCTGTTAAGTCATGTCTTTAATTAACTTTTGGTATAAATTATAAGTTATATATATTATAATTACATTATGTTATTATATCTCTATTGTTTAATAACTAATTTATTCTTTTTTCTATTAATATACAGTACTATATAATATAGTGTATATACTGTACATAAATATTTATACTATATTATAATAGTAATAAATTACTATTAGTATAATAGTAATAGTACGGCATATTTAAATTGTTTGGTTAGAGTTTAGTATTTTATTGATTATGTGGTATAAGTAACTATGTATTAAAAATTAGATAATCATTAATAATAATTATTTTATTTAAACTAATTATCATAATTTAGGTTTTAATTTTAATTGCTAAGTAATATAGACAAAATTTATATTGTAGTTATTAATAATTATTTTTTTTTTAAATACAGTCATAATTTTACTTTACATAAATAAATAGTAAAATTCATAAATAATAAAAAAAATATAACAATTAAAATTAAAACAAGTAATCATTGGTAATAAATAATCTCAAATACTGTGGCAATGCTATGGGATAAATCTGATATAAATGAATTTACTGTATTTATACTGTAGTTTTATATTGTTTGCTAAACTGTTTAAAGATCGGTTATTATAAGAGATAAAATAAGGAATTAATAAAATAAATATAATATTTGTTTTGCAAAAAAATTATATAATTATATTTTGCTAATGAATATAATTCACAATAATTTTAATGCAAAATTATATCGTCTCAATAACCTATATTTTTGTCATTTTTATGCAAATTCTGATTATTTAAATATTTAGTATAATTATATTAATTAATTTATAATTTCCTACACATAATTTCAATTTATTTGAGTACATTTTGTAATACTATACATATTGAGGTTAAAATAATACTTCTAATAACTTATTTTAATAGACAGCTTAATCTAAAAGCCTTTTTTATCACTAAATACATATAAAGTTTTTCTCCTTTTATTTAACTACATATTTGATATATTTATTTATGATTTTATACGACAGCCTTAATATGAAAATATCTATAAATTTCAATGACATATACCGAGAATGAAAAAAACGAGAGAAAACATAYATATATTTTGAACTTAAATTAATGACCAAAAATATGTACATTTAGTAATAAAATATATGTCAAATATACAAAATGTTTAATATATTTACAGTATATTATATAAYTTATATTAGTTTTTATTGTTTTATATCAGTAAAAAGTTTACTTTATTATGTAATTGATATCAATAATTAATTTTGTAGTATAAATAATAATAATAAATGTAATATTATTGTATATGTTTCAGCATTTTTGAATGTTTTTAAATTTTCTATTTTGTTATTAATATAACTAATAAATAACAAATTTATTTTGCCTGGATACAAGTAAGTAAAAGTTACTATTTTTATTAAATTTATTGAAAATTCCACGTGGCAAATTTGGCATTATTTCATATATTCAATATTTAATAATTTATATTTTAAATAAATACAATAATTCAAGGGCAAAATGATATTTAATATATAACTTATGAGACTTACAATTAATTAAAATATTTTTAACTGTATTTTTAACATAAAATATAATATCTGTAAATTTTAAATAATAAACATTAAATACTTTATTTTTATAATAAATAATGATTAAAATTATCATAATTTTGAGAAAGTATTTTTAAATAAATATCTAAATATTGATAATTAGTTATAAAATATTAATAAAATAATATCAAAATTTTAAGAATATTGTAATTATAAAAAATTATTATTAGCTAAAACATTAAACTATGGGTGCCTGTGCTGGAAAACACTCTTATATTAAGAGTGAATTACGTGATGTTTATCTACCGGAGCCGATCAAGAATAACAATAATAACAATGATTTGATCGTAAAATTTCGTGAATCACAAAACCCCGGAAACAAGAATTTACCGAAAATATATCGCATGTCATACTTGAGCAGCGATTTTGATCCAAAAGCGTTTGACTTCAGCGATGACCTGTGCCAACATATATTGAGCTACTTGTGCTGGGAGGACAGGTTGAGGTTAGAGTGTGTTTGCACTCAATGGCGACGACTGATGTATAATAGCGTAAACACCATCGACTACCCGATTCCACGACAGGCTTTTCCCAACAGTGAAATCATTAGACAGGATAGGTATTGGCTTTTTGTGTCGCGACAAGTGCTCAGAAAATGTCATTTTCTAAGACACGTAAAACTATGGCCCGTTTGTGACAGTGAAGTGTTGATGATTTTGGCGAAAAACTGTCAAAACTTGGAAACAATTGAATGGCGTTTTCATAACATGAAACCCGTCCGTCGGGAACTGCTCAACAATATTACTGATAATTGTGGCCATTGTTTGACAAGTGTTAAACTCCGGGAGTTAGCCAATGATGAGTTTCATTCAGGTTTGCACTTAATTTAATTTTTTATTATTTCAAAAAACTGTCAAAATTTTAAGTATTTTTTAGATATTATTTTATTTGTCATTTAAAAATAATAATAATTTTTATTTCATTATAGAGTCCGGGCTATCAGTACTTATAGTTTACAGTGAGTTTCTGGTTAATGTCAACTCAGTCACAGTTTCTATTGATTCAGATAAATGTCTTAAATATTTCATACTATTAGCCGATATTTATAGAGATCGCATCACATCATTGACACTAAGACTTAAATTTAGCACTTTTTACACACAATTAGATGAAACATTTGAAACTATAGCACAGTTTCAAGGATTGAAATCTTTGCATTTAATTATTGAATCAGACAATGCACTTGATTTGGACTTAACATTAGGTGCAAACATATTGCACGAAAACTGTCCACAACTGATTCACTTATCACTGGAAATCAGGGACAGTATACGATGTCCATCAGCACCGGTACTTATAAGCATACAGTCATTGGTGAAACTGGAATCTCTTTATTTGACGCTCAGGTGCACTGACATAGAGTTGGGATCATTAAAATCGTTGCAATCACTGACACACTTAACACAACTAAGCATTTTATACACAAATCTAAGCGATGAACATATGAATGAGATTCACGACAACTGTCCATACCTTCAAAAATTAAAACTAATAACTCGACAAAACCTTTCTAATGAGTCGTTGTATAGCATATCACACCTGAAATTTCTAGTAGATCTCAGGATATATTGCACACCATATTGTGTATTGAATATAACCGATACGGGTGTCTGTCAAGTGCTAAATAATTGTCAACACATAAGAAATATTTTGTTTGAATGTGGAGTTCAAATATCACAACTAACTTTGCTTACACTCAACGCATTGGCCAACAGTATACCAAAAACTGCATTTAAGTTTAGCTTTTGTTGGCAACGATCGGTGGATATCGGCGACCGATATGATCAGTGGTCACGTCTACCAGCACACGAATTATGGCCAGAATTGTTGTGTTTACCCGAAAACTTGACAATTGTTTGCCGCGAGTATTTTGTAGGAAAATGCGGCACAAGTATGGCAAATGCCGTACAAAATTATGAGAAGTAATTTCAGTGGCCACCACTTGCTTTAAAGTTAGATAAAACATTAGAGAACCTGGAGATTCAATATAGTCCACAATTGCCGACACCTCCTGTTTTTTATCGRTTTGACTCATTTCCTGATGTTGTCAAACAAACTAATTGGTTTAAAAACTAATTATTTTTTAAAGATTTTATTAATATAACCATTTAATACAAAATTATGATACATAAATGTAATAATCTTTTTAATAACTACTTTTTAAAAAATATTATAATTATTTTTAAGATTTGTAATACTTAAAAACTACATTATAAATGTATTTATTTTTATTATTTGTTGTATATTAATTAATGATTAATAAATAAATATAAAATATTCATTAATATTGTAAATAGAAAAATATTTAGTATATAAATTATGTGTACTGTAAATTAGTGTAGTGTATAATGAATACTTTACAGTATTAAATTTATTAATATAGTATAATATTAGCTATAAATTTTTTAATTTTAAATTTTAAATTTATATATAAAGATCTCATATTTTAATAATAAAAGAAATTTTTTAAGACTAATCTATTATATTAGAAATTTCTATTTTCCATTAATATTAACAGTTTTTAAAACATAAACAAATTATTATCTTAATTATTTTTGATTAAATAAAATAATCGACTAATAGTTAATACAGGAATAAATAAATTAATTTAGTATATATTATATTTATAATAATTAAATAATTTTATTGATACTAAAAAAATAATTTAAAATTTATTCAAATAATTTAATTGTGTTTTAAGAAATACAATAAATTATATTTAAAGAATAATTTTGAAATAAAAATTTAGACATTTTTAAAYTTATAGGTTACAACAATAATCTTATTAATTAATAAAATCATATTTAACCAAATGCAGGTATGCCACCGGGTCCACCTACTCCGCCGGGAAATCCACCGAAACCGCCGCCAAAACGTCCGGGAAAACCACGTCTGAATCCACCACCGAATCCACCGCCACATCGCTCATCAGGTTTTTCATTGTTGTGTTCATCGCTTTCCAAATGATTGTCTGGCAGGACATGGGTTGACACCAAACCAACAATTAGGATCAGAGCAAACAATTTCAACATTTTTGTAATCAAATTGTATGTTTAGTTACTTTGCTATTAAACAGTAATTATTGTAACTTATAATTTCAAATTAATAATTGTCTCTCTATTTATATCATCTAAAATTATGCAATTGATTTCTATTATGTAATTTGTAAATTAAAATTAACTAGTTTAAATAAGTATGTTTAATGACATTTAAATATTTTATTGTTGATTGATTATCATATATGTCCTATTTAATACTTTATAATATATTTGTATATTAATTTTTAAAATTATTTTATTGTTATATTGAACATACTGTAATGTTATATCACATATTTAAAATTTATAGCATATTTTTTTGTAAAACAAATAAAAATTTATTTGCAATATTCATTAACTCTTTGATTAATTAAATTGATTTTCCAGGATATATCTAAAATTAAAATATATTGACGTAAAGCATAAATCACAAATAAAACATTTTTCATTGTGATATTTCTAAATATTAACTTAAATAAAAATAACCAATTAATTTTTGTAAATTAATTTATACTAATTTATTAATAAATACAACTTTTGTAATAATAATGTTTTGTATATATAACAAATAATTCAAAATTGCTGAGAAATATACATCAGGTCGTATTTTTAGCAAATTTTCTGCAATAATTACTACAATATGTAAAATATTTGTTTAATTGCTAATAAAACTGTGTAAATAATAAGTTAAACTTACAATTTTATTATTATGTCTAACAATGTTTTTTTAATATTAAGTACTAAATACAATAACAATAATCATATATATTAATAACATTAAAAAGAGATAATAATTTGTTATATATTATAATTTAATATCTTATTTAAAAAATACAATTACTTAATAAAATTATTAATTTTTAATTTTAATAATAATTTCAAAATCTTTAGAAAACTGAACAAATTTCTAAACACAACTTGAATTCAACATATGATCAGTTAGGCTATCGTTTGATAAGACAATGTAATAATCATTAGTTAATTGTATAAATCAGATCAAAACAACAAATAGATGATTGATATCCATATCCTCTCCGAGACAGACACATGACGTCCATAACTGCATTGGGTTTAGTGTTGATTAAACACTCCGTCATCATTGAGGAACAGCTCTGGTCTTAAAAGGTATGCATCTCTTTTCAACCATTAATATACAGTATTAATGTAACACTAAAATAGTATTTAAAGGAATTATATATTTTTCTAAATAACAAATTTTAATAATATTATGTAATTTAATTACTCAACTATAGATATATACAGTATTTAAATACAGTATAATTGAGAAAATGAGTGAAATACCTGTTTTTATATTAACCATTGCTTTCTGCAATTTAATCTATTGTATAATCAAGTTTTGTTTTGTGTAAAATAAATAACATTTTATTTTCTAATACTTTTATTTCTTCCCTTAATTATTGCTATATTTCCGAATAATAAGTCATAAATAAGACAATCAATTGAAAGGTTGTGCTCAATGTTTCGGTTCCCGCTATTAATATAAAAAATAATACACTATATAATCACAAATACAATATTATATTATATTTTAAATAAATATTAATTTGATACAAAATTAATACTGTATTTATTTTAATTACCAAAGAAAAAGATTAATCATAGAGACCGACAAATTATTGTCTGTAAATTAAAGAACCGTTTGTTTATTATCAGCAATGACTTCGTGTTTAAGACCAATAAGTATATCACAAAAATCTCGTTTTATAATCTTATTATACTTGCGATGATGTAATTGATATATAGTTTTTTATGTATTTCATAATATCGTTAAAATATTGTTGATATTTAGTCAATGAATGTTTAATATACAATTACAGTACAGGTATATTAATAAACTCATATAAGTATACATTGCTTCGCAAATCATTGTTGAAATCAGTGCTGCAATACTTGAATTGTTGTAATACTTTATTTTCAATATTGAAACTAAAAAATAATAACCTTTTTTCAATTAGAATATTATAACAAACAATATCATACTTTTACTGAATATAGTTGAACCCAGAATATTGGCAAATAAATTGTAAATATATAATCTTAGTTTAGGATTAAACGGTTGATCAATGCCTTCCCTTTYATTAATCAATATTAACATATTGTTAACTAATTGATTGCATAAAAGTGTCAATTTATCCGTATTTTTCGCGTATTTTCTATGTATTAAATAAGGAATTGAATTTAGTAAACACATCATAGATAACGTTATACTATACAAAGCAATATAAATACATTTTAGATAAATTTCATACAATTTAATAAAATAATTATTTATATCAGATTTTAGTGTCAAAGTTAGCATAAATGAAGATATTTTATAATTAAGATATAATACTTTATATATATAAATGTATTACTAAACATTTTATATCATAATATAGTCAATGTGTTATTTTGTTAATGTAAATATAATTACACAAAATTTATAGACACTTTTGATATGCAGACATAATTATCATTTTTTTATATTAATTAAGATTAATAAGAAAACGAATTTAAATTATGTTTAATGTTATAAATTTCAATTTTAGTTCAATTTTATTAATTCTAATTTTCTAATTATTTAGTATTATATTTTGTAAAGTTGAAGCAATACTGTAAAATAATTTATATTAACATCTATATACTAAATACTGCAATGATTTATATAAATGTGTGTATTATAAAAATTTAGAAATTAATAGTATTAAATMAAAAACAATATATAAGAATTACAAATTTAAATATTAGTTATTTGTATTGTTTTTTGCATTATATTGTATTTTTGATACAGTATGTACAGTATATTGAATTGTATATTTTATTAATAAGTACAGTATATTTTAATGTTGACAATTATAAAAACAGTTTATTAATTGACAGCTGTGTCCTCGTGTATATCAATAATAAATATAATGATAAGCATTTTTCAAAGTCAATAATTATATGCATTAGTTATACTTATTATGTTATAAATATTTTATTATAATATAAACAATTAGATTATACTATTCGAAAGTCTAATAAAAAAACTATTAATTATAGTATTTAAAACTTTATTACTGAACTTTAACCTGAAAGACAAACCGCTGGTTTTGCGGAATTAAGGCCACAATTATATAATAATTATTAATATAAGTTTATGTTTTCTCATATAATTTAATGTAAAATTATTTGTAATATTGATATTTAGTATTTTGAGTATAATGTTAATTTTGATATAAATAGTTGAATTACAACTATTTTTGATATATTAGTTTTAGGTTCAAAACCTGAGTATTGTTACTAGTTTTGTATCCGGATCTCAGTTTTGAACATCAGTCTTTTTGTAAGCCGACTAAAACAGTCGCATAATTATATGGTTGGGAAGCCGTAAATATAAGCCGTGTATAAACACGTGTTGGCTATAATGGCCCGTTGGCCTACAATTTAATTTAATTATAACCGTATAATATCTACTAATAATTTAATGTATATGTAAATAGTTTAAGTAATTAATAAAACACATTAAACCTATTGTTCGTGTATATCATAAGTGGCCACCAATTGCTGGGCAATTGGTTGAGTCTAACTATCTGTTGCCCGGGACATCACCTACAAAGATAGGTGTGTGCAATCGTAGGACTCGCACAGCTTGCTAGTGACACCATCGAGATAYCCCCCCCTGTAAGGCCTGATTGCGGTTTTCCTCCACAAACCGGCAGTCAGTGTGGATAAGGGCTCCGCGTAAGGCCGAAGTTCCGCAGCGACCCGAATCCCGTCTTACAAACCTAACATTTATTACTTATTAATAAAAAAACATTTGTATATTTAAAACTTGTTAAGTTTATTATATATTGATATTAAAGTTTTTTAAAAATCGATGATAATTAAATGATAAAGTTTATAGGCAAAATTATTATAAAAATTATTAAATAGCTGTAAATACATATATTATAATGTAAATTTTATAAGATATATAATTTTATATTATTTAGCATTTTTCTAATATCACTGATATATATAACTATAGAATATTAGAAATATTATATGGTTTTTGTTTTTAGCATAATTTCAAATGGTTTAGGAAGTTGTAACAAAAGTGTTTCCGGATTGGGATCTAAGTCATCATCAGTTGGATTATCATTGCATAAAACAATGTCATAATCTATAGTCAATTGTATAAATCTGACCAAAATAAGGAACAGATCATTAATAGCCAAATCCTCTCCGGGACAGACACGACGTCCATAACTGAATGGTATGAATGCATTGGGTTTAGTGTTGAGTAAAACTCCGTCATTATTGAGGAACCGCTCGGGTTTGAAAAGGTGTGGATCCGACCAACTCTTCTCATCCATTAATATACAGTATTGATGTAAAACAACATTTGTATTGACAGGAATTGTAAAACCACTGTCTATTTTATAAATAAATAAATAGTTTATATATAAATTTATCAYATGTTTAGCATTTTAAATGATAGATAATTGTTTGATTATCTATTTAATTTCATGGTCAGAGTAATATTTTAAATTAAACAAATTATTAACTATAAAATTAAAAATAACATTAATTGATATCTTATTTATGTTAWCTAATCAGTGTTATTATTGTTATAMTTTAGTTAAAATTAGTATATTAATTATTACGTTATTATATTGAATCCCAAAAGAAAGATAAATATATTTAATTCTATAGATGTTTTAAATAGCAATGTTTTTAAAAATATTTATATAATTTAATTAATATAAACAAATTAATCACAATAAACATTGAAAATTTTCTAATAATTATCTTTAAATTTTTTATAATAATATAATAATATACTATTATTGAAAGTACTATAAGTATTACTTGTAGTACTTCTTAAACAATAATAAAAATACTAAAAATTATATGATTTCTACAAAAACAGTTACAAAATCTATGACTATACTGTATATTAAAGTTAGTTAATTTGAGAAATTACATAAAATCATTAAGCATTATAAAGAATTGAGATAATAACTTATTTTATGTAAATATTGTAAATATTACTATATTTTTGAATAAATAGAGTTAAGTTTATATACAATTTGTTTAAATCTTCTTTGGGAATAATAAATATTAATAATAACTTTAGTCAATCATAATATTAATTAATCTAATATAAAAAATACCAATTTTCATGTTAACCATAGTTTTATGGAAAATTCCGAGAGGAACGGGATTTCTAAATCTTAACATTTCGTAAATATAAGCCATAGTGTAATTGAGTTTAGTTTTATCGGCAATAACTGGTACTTCATATCCTTGTAATTCAATTATTTCATTTCTTAGTTTTTCTAGTAATTCCGGATAATATGCCATAAATAATAGCATCCATTGACAGGTTGTAGCAGATGTCTCAGTGCCCGCTATTTTGTAAAGAAAATTATAATAATAAAAACATTTTATAATTAATTTACCCATAAATATCTCAATCATTGCCGTCGATAAGTTATTATCCGTAAAATAAGGAGCCGTTTGCTTGTCGTCATCAATTGCCTCGTGTTTAGCACCGATAAGTATATCACAAAAATCTCTTTTTACACTCTTATTGTAAGTGCTATGATGTGATTGATATACATTTTTTGCATAATTCATAATATCATTAAAATATTGTCGATATTTAATCAATGGATTTTTCATAAACAATCGCAGTACAGATATAAACTCATATAAATATAAATTGATTCCCAATTCAACGTTAAAATCTGTGGTACAATATTTAAATTTTTTTAACTCATTGTCTTCAATATTAAAACTAAAAAAAAAATAAAAGTGTAATTTATATATATTTTTTAATTAATCAAATAATACAAAAATGTACTTTTGACTAAAAACGGTTGCACCAATTATATTGGCAAACAAATTGTATAAATAGATACGCGGATCAAACGGTTTATTAATTCCCTCCCTTTCCTTAATTAGATTTATAGTATTATTAACAAAATGGTCGCATAAATGTTCCAAATGTTCGGTTCTCGCAAATTTCCTAAAAAAGTATAATAAAAATATAACATTTTTTAAAAAAAATCTCTTAATAACTATTGAATAGTTGACCTAATAGTTGCGTGCGATATTCTCCGTAGGCTTTCCCAACTCCGGCCGTAATCGTTGAAAATGATGTCCTGATGTTTATCATTGCAAAATATACTACCTATTATTGAATAGTATATTACTATTATATAATTCAATTATTTTATAATCTTAAATGTAAACCCAATTGAGATGGTGGTCGTCCACTAATTTCACTTTTATTGAAGGTATCCCTGGCTTCCACACCACCGATAAAGATAAACGGTATCGGACCGATCCATACGGTAATAACCGGACCGTATATTTTAATTAATTTAGTTATCTCTAAATTCCAGTGTTTCTTATAATTACGAAACACTTTAAAAGTAAGTAGTGTTTGAAAAAAAGTAATAAATATTTACAAATAACAATAATTTATAATCTAAATCATTAATTTAATTTTTATCTAATTAAGTGTAATATATTTACTAAAAAATTGTTTTACTACACAATTATAACACACACACACCTATAACAAAAAATTTACAATTTATTGTCTAATATTAGTATAAGTAATAAAATAATAAACTTACTCAAAACATTTCCTATGATTGGTAATGGTAATGGACCTGGAGGATAATTGTGTAAATTCATATAGAAATGKGTTATATAAAATACACAAATAGCCAYTATTATTGTCGTCCATATCCCATAACCACCAAAATTTTCCAAAATTAAACTAAAATTTAATAAATAATATCCATTAGAAATTATTATCATAATATTTTATTAAAATCTTATGTATAAATAATTGTAATAAATATCAAATATTACTTTATTTGATAATATATAAATAAATAATTTTTAAATAAAATTGGCTATTTTAGCAAGATTATTTAATATGCATAAAATAAAATAATATTTTATAATTACAAACTACTATAAATTATATTAAAAATTAGAATTTATTTATCAAATAATAAAAATAAAATTTTACATTTGGAAAAACATTTTCAATTATATCAATATAAGTAATGAATTTTTGTTAAAGTTTTATAAATTATTTAAAATATTATATTTTATACAAAATTAATTTTTATATGTATAAAATTATAATATAATAATCTCTTTAATTTATAGCTTAATAAATTATGATAAAAATTGTTTTTATCATCTAACAGCTTTTTAAAAACAATTTTTAAATAAACAAATCTTTTACTTAACTTTTTATATATTATTAAACATTATATGACTAATTAAAATAATTTAAACTAATGCTTATTGTATTAAGAGAATAAAACTATCGTAAAAATATAATTATAATTTTAAAAATTTATTGTTTAATAGTATTTTAGTTTATTTGTAAAATTATTGTTTATTTGAATTTAAATTAATATTATAAATAAAATAACTACTAACAAAAAATATGCAATGATTTAATTTATTATCTATTGTAAATATAAATTGATTACAACATAACATATTGTAATGAATAGATTTTTATCATTACTGTTATAACTATAATATATCATTCGCTATACTGTTTAATATTATATTCATAGCATTGCCATTAATAACTGGAAAGTATTGATTAATTAGATGTTTTATGAGTATTATGGGTATGAGTTAATCGTTTAGCTTTTCATGCAATGATTTCATGACTATAACCGGCACTATTAGCACAATACTCCTGTAGTGCTTAAGTTGTCTTAATTATAGAATTTTTGATTTATTCGATATTTGATTTTATTGTCACGTTTTGTATACATGATATGCTCACACAAACAACACTAACAACAGTGATGTCCAGGTGTGAGACATTGAACACAAATRCTTATAAAACATTTAACAAAAATATTACTTTTAAAAACACTTTCCACTTATTTGACAAAAACAGATAACAATTATACATAATATACTGTAACAAAAACAAACATTAAAAAAGATATAATTCATACAAAATCAGTCTAATTTTGTAAACACTATAAAACAGTACATAAACTAATTACATTAATTACCTAAACTTAGACCACTGGATATCCAGTAAATTTTAAATCTGAATAAAATATTGTATATAAATAATTATGTAAATAAACAATTATTAAAATTGTTACTGTTTTTAAAAAATTATAAAATATTTAATATCATTATTTGATTTATTTAAATTAAATATTAAGTACTACTTCATTTATTAAAAATAAATCACTTTAATTAGTGCAATATTATCAATAAAATAATAATATATATTATAATAGTTAAATTTAATTATTATTTGTTTTATTAATTTTAAAATATTTAATTTATATATTTTAAATATTGTATATATTTATTCAATTTATTTATTAAAAATTATTAAAATAAAATGCTTTGCAAGTCAGCCAAACAGTTAAAGTATGTAATTTTGCGTTCACTAGCAATACATTTAATAAAAAGTTTATAACTAATTATAATATAATTTATTTTATATGTATTCTCTATAAATCAATGTTTGCTTTATTTTGAGATTATTTTCATATAATAATTATTTATATGTATAGATATATGAAATAATATGAACATAAATTTATTTAACAACTTAGTCAAATGTAATTTTTACAATTATTAATACAATTTACTTTATTATACTGTATATTATAGTATAACTTATAAATTGATTACTTATATTTTATCAATTTTAAAAAATTATATCCTTAGTAATTGTTTGAAACAATTAATTAATAATAATATTATTATTTTTTGGTTTTAACATTACATGAAATTGTTTGGGAATTTGAATTAAAAGTGTTTCACAATTTGGTTCTAAATCTTCTTCAGTTGGGTTATCGTTGGATAAAACAATGTCATAATCATCAGTCAATTGCAAAAATCGGACCAAAATGAAGAACATGTCATTAATGGCCAAATCCTCTCCGGGACAGACACGACGTCCATAACTGAATGGTATGAATGCATTGGGTTTAGTGTTGAGTAAAACTCCGTCATTATTGAGGAACCGCTCGGGTTTGAAGAGATGTGGATCCGACCAACTCTTCTCATCCATTAATATACAGTATTGATGTAAAACAACATTTGTATTGACAGGAATTGGATATTTATCTCCTAAATAATTGATTTAATAAAAATATAATTATTTATTGTTAATCACATAATATTTTAAATAATTAATAAATTAAAACCAATTTTAGTGTCGACCAAAGCTTTATGAAAGACTCCAAGTGGTACAGTGTTTCTGAATCTCAATGTTTCGTATAAATAAGCGATTGTGTAATTGAGTTTAGATTTATCGGTGACAATTGGCATGTGGTTACTCTGCATTGACTTTATTTCATTTCTTAATTTTTGCTGTATTTTTGGATAATAAGCCATAAGCAATAGCATCCATGTAAACGTTGAAGTAGATGTCTCGGTGCCGGCTATATTATTCATCAATTAATTCAATAATTATATAATCAATAATAGTTTCAGTTTAATGACATTACCCATAAACAAGTCGACCAAAATAGCCGTTAGGTTATTGTCTGTAAAATACGGAGCCGTTTGCTTGTCTTCAGCAATGGCCTCGTGTTTAGCGGCTATAAGTATATCACAAAAATCTCGTTTTACACTCTTATCATAAGTTTTATTATGTGATTCATAGATATTTTTTGTATATTTTATAATATCCTTAAAATATTGTCTAAATTTAGTCAATGGATGTTTGATAAACAATCGCAGCGCAGGTATGAACTCATATAAGAAGAGTGTATTTCCACATTCAATGTTAACATCAGTACTACAATACTTAAACTTTTGAAGCTCTATGTGCTCGACATCATTGAAACTATTTAAAGCATTTTAATTATAAATATTAATATAATTTAATATAAATTTTAATATTTTTGTTTATTGTTATAAATACTATACTTTTGACTAAAAACTGTTGAACCGATAACATTAGCAAATATATTGTAGATATARTTTTTAGGATCAAATGGTTGATTAATTCCCTCTCTTTTCTTAATCGATTCCACACATCGTTTGACATTTTGATCACACAATTGTGACAATTGTTCAGTTTTGGCATATTTTCTGATAAATGTTTAGAAGATTTTTAAAAATACATTATAATATTTATTAATACAGTATMATAATAATACTGTAACATTGACAATAWATACRATTATGTAGATCCATGTACTTAATACATAATTACATAATTTTTGTAAATTATAACTTATTTACACGAGTAATATACTAATAATTATTAAACTTAAAATCATAYTAATTAATTACTATTTAGTTGTTTAGCTAAATATAGTTTTAAATATTTTAGTTTAATCCAAGTTTTGTTGTTAATATTTTCATTACTCTGTTTTAACAAATGCCATCAAACCTCAGGTTAGGTCATCACAACAAACTACTGATTCATATTTTGAATTAATTATTTATRTTTATATATTTAATGTGATTATTATATTCACAGTATTTCTACTATACTTTACAATAGATATACARTCATTATATGAATTATTGCATTTTATTTCTATCTAATTCTACCGTTATATTCAATATCACAATAACTGAAATTTATTTTTAGTTATAATTTATTTGTATAATTGTAATTATTTGAAATATATTATAATTTATAAATCAAATATGATATAAATCAAACCGAATGGTTCGGTGTGCTATTCTCCGTAGGCTTTCCCAACACCTGCCGTAATCACTGAACACAATGTCCTGATATATATCATTAGAAAAAGCATTGCCTATGCGGTGGAAATAATAATTAATTCAAAAACAAAATATTAAAATTTTATTAAAATACAAGAATACCGAAGTCAGACGGGGGTCGTCCAGATAATTCACTTTTATTAAACGCCTCCTTAGCCTCCACACCACCAATGAAAACAAACGGTTGTGGACCGATCCATAAAGTAATAACCGGACCGTAAATTTTATATAATTTAATTAACTCAATATTCCAGTGTCTTTTATAATTGCGAAATACTTATAAAAAATATTTGTTCATAAATTTGTGGATACTTTTATAGTATTTTTAAAATATTATTAATATTTACATAAAAGATTGCCCAATAATGGTAATGGTAATGGACCCGGGGGGTATTTGTGTAAATTCATATAAAAACGCGTTATATAAAACACAAATATCGCTACTATTGGTGTAGTAAACATCCCAWAAATACCAAACCGATCAACAATTAAGCTTAAATTAAATTGTGATAATTTTTATAATTTTAAAAATAGATAATTAATAATTATTGCAATAATAATTGATAGTTTATTTCAAATTATAATATTTAAAAATTATTTTAGAAACTTAATTTGATTATAGTCTTTAAGTAAATAATAAAAAATCTTAATAAAATTAATCTTTAATCAAAATTATTAAATTTATAATAAATTAATCAAATAAGATATTAATTATAAATAAATGTATAAAAATATAACAATTTAAATAATAATTAATAAATTACATTACCTTTGATAATTCATTTTTCTAATTACATAAAAGTTACTTTTATTAAAATTAATTAGAATTTATTTAATAAAATAACAAAATTTATTTATATTAATTATTTATATACTAAAATTATATGTTAAAAATAATTTGATTTCTTAATAATGATAAAATTTTGTTTATGTCAAAATGTTTTTTAAATATTTACATCATAACATCATAACATCATAACATCATTATAATACACTTAATTACAAAATAACAGTCTATACATTAATATTATATACATTGTATATAATTTTAAAGAACTCTTATTTATTATATATWTCATTAGACTATTAAAATAATTGATAATATTAATTATAAACTTATACTGTAAGTTAAATAATGATAAATTAATTATAGTATTTTTCCATTTTTTTATAGATTTTATTTAATTTGTAAAAATTATAATTATTGACTAATTTACTCAAGGRTTTTTTTATATAATATAGAGTACATTGATATAAAATTAAAAATATATTAGTTATAGTAAATTGTACTATACATTGGTATTTGTAATCTATAATTAGTATATTTCAATAATTTATAAATTATATTATATTAAAGTAAGTGAAAACTGTATATTTACACTACTGTCAAACTATAAAAAATTAGAAAATAATATATAAATTCTGATTCAATTTAATAATAAATAAATTTATTTTATAATATTATTCATTATTATTGCTAAAACAGTTATTATTAATAGTTAATATAAAAATAATATTAAAAACAAATCTAAATTTAAATATTAAATTTACTATTAAGAATTTATAAGTTATCAATTTAAKTAATTATTAAAAAATGTATAACTTAATGTTTTTTAAAAATAATTCTTATTTATTGATTATAATTATATCTAAAGAAAATTTTTATAGTAATTCAAATCAAAATATAGTATTTAGACTTTTATTATTTTAATATATTTTATTAATTTGATTTTCAATATTCTAAATATTTATTTTACAAATAAACTAAAAAATATTTTAAATTATACTTTCAAATAAAAAAATATTACCTTATTACAGACATTTGTGAAAAACGATAATTATTTTTTTTATTATTAATAAATTATATTTTTTACAAAACTAATAATCTTATATATATTTTATGCACTATAAAACTAAATAACTAAATAACAAATTAAAATTATATTCATATTCTCAGACTCAGAAAAACTAAAATATTGTATTTTAAAACTATTAGACAACTTTATTAATATATTAAATAAATGATAAATTATCTTTAAAATATATTTAATAACATTAATTGTATTTTAAACTCAGAATTAGCAGTTATTTATTTTGTGAATGCAAATATTTAAGTTTATTAACAATAATAAATTATTTCATATAACATATTATGAAATAAATAAATTGTTTAATTTAAAAAACAGCTTAAAGTAAATTATTTTGCAAACTAAAACTTGAATTAAATAATTTCATCAGTCAATCAAATAAATCAATCATTTATTGTAATAATAGTTTTGAATCTATGATTTATAATTAGTAAATATCTTTAATTTTAAGTGACATTAAGTTATATCTCATGTGATTTTTGAAGGCCACTTATATATATATACAATCAATTAGATATTAAAATAATTATGTTAGAAAATTTTACAAATAATATTTTTGTATGTTATTTATTTATTTAATGTATTAATTCAATTATAACATGTGTTTATATAATTTTAATATACTTTAAGTGTATAAATTTTATGCTTCATTAATGGTAAAAATTAATTATATGTTTTTATAAAAAGTAAATATTTAAAATTTAAGAATAATTATTAAAAGAAACGATTTAATTATTTAATATCATTAAATTTAAAAAATGTAAATTATAATTTTGAATATCAACAACATGAGATTATTTAAATAATATTTTTGACCATAAGATATATTATTATACAATAGTAATAAAGTGAAATTATTTTTTTTGTTAAACTTGAAATATTTAGTTTTGATGTCAATAATCATTAGTATAAAACACTAACACATAAAATAATAGCTAATACGTGACAAATATCGCATAATTTTGAGGCACAAAATGTAAATATCATAAAAAGTTCATTAAACGGATATATGTTAGCTATTATCCGGTTATTTTATAATATCAATATTATTATAATTGTTGTCATAATAATAAACCTTATGGACAATAATTGAAATCAGCAAACAATCAATTTTATGATACCTGAAAATATTTAACAAAAATTTCATTTTTTATACAATATTTACAAATTAGGTGTTCAGAAATGGGTGTACTTTTAGTTTCAATTAACTCAAAATCAATGATCTCTCACTTTTAATAACTAAAACTAAAATAGTATAAAAACATTGTGTGTTTTACAGGCTTTTTGAAAACTCAAATATTCTTAACCAAACTTTTTTTCGATAAACAAAATGTCACAATCAATAGCATCACAAATAACTAAATTATTTACAATTTTAATTTTATCATTATTATTATATGTACAATGTTTTCAATGTAAGTTTATATGCAATGAGACAGCACTGGAAATGGTAGACATAGCAATGGCCAAAGCGCTGAATGTTGGAAAATATTATCGCAAGTTTCCAGAAAAATTTGATGAAGTTGGACAATTTTGCGAGTAAGTTATTATTAACATATTATTATAATTATCATGAATTTTGTTTATTAAAAATATTAGTTTACAATAAAATAAAAGTTGATTTAATTTACTTAATATTATTCATTGTTTATTAAAATTCAATAAATCAGTGAAGAATTTGAATTAATTAAAGAGATTGAAGAATACAAGACTAAGTGTATGAAAGATTTGCCGAAACAGTTGACAGCAATCATAGTGTTTACCACAAAACAAATGATTAAAAGTCTTTGCCGTAAAGACTCTAAACGATTGCGACGATTACTTTATGGATCTCCCTGTGCTAACGCAGCACAGTTAGACTATGCCCGGTGTCAGTACAAGTATATCGATGCTCTTCAGGGCATTTATTATGATACGGAAAAACGTAAAATACCTCAAACCTGTTGGTATGTTATAAATAATTATTTATAAAAGACTTAAATTTATTATAATAAACATAAAAACTTTACATTTGATGGAATTCAGTGAATATTACAAAATTTATGGTTGTATGCGATCGTCAGCTAAAAAACATAGCATTTGTACCGATGAACGCATTGAAGCTAATGTTGAATACGTGAGCGATATATTCACTAATGTTATGAATACATTGTGTGGCGACTGGACTGACGGCAAGTTTTTTTTATAAATATYATATMAATATTATTAAATAATTGCAATTTATTTTATATGAATTATTACATATTATAATGTTTTAAATTTTAAATAATATGATAATTATTTTTGTTGTTTAGACTCTGATAAATGCTCTAAACTTCCGACACCTATAAAGAAACGAAAGTCTGACAAAAGGACCGTTTCTTTCTTATGGCCGTTCATTAAGGTTTTGGAAAGTTTTCCGGAAATATAATCAAAAGTTTTCAAACCTCTATTACAATTATACGATATATAGGATAGTTTTGAAGTATTTATTTAAATGCACAATTTTTTAAAGCACTTTCCATAATACTATAGATACAAAATATTTATATTTAAATAATTGAGTACATAATCTAACTGATAGATCTCCAATTTATCTATATTTCCTATTTTGTAATCAGTATTAATTTATTTAAGTAAAATAATTTATTATAACTCACTTTTAATATGATCTATATTTATGATCTTTAATTTTAGAAATAAGATTTATTAAAAATGTAATAATATTGTACTACTACTTTAGCAATTAATAAAATGTTTCAAATTGATATAAAWTATTAATTTTTATATATAAATATGAATTAAATGACAAACGTTTTTTATAACTTAAATAATAAAATGCACAAAATGCTAAAATTCTCACAATTACGGATGAGATAATAAAATATGATAATAATAAATATAAAAAATGTACATTTATTTTAGAGTTTATATTAATGAAACAAATAATCATACTATAAATTACAGTTTATTTGACATTTTACTATATTTYATATTATAATAATAAATTAAAGTTTTTTTAATTTAAAAGATTTTACCAATATTTCAATAATAATTATTTAGTTATTTTATTAAAATGAAAAATATTTTAATCGTCGTATTTCTAATAATTTTGTTCAACAATTATTCACTAAGCAATAAATCAAATAACCAATTGATCTTCAAGCCATTACCAGGGTCGTGTCAATATTTAAAAACATTTATTGTRAAATATTGTTGCAGTAAGTATTGTAATATTACTGCTGGATTTAAAAGTGTATTACTATTAATATTGTATTAATTTATATCAACTATTAGATCCACAATTAACTCTTGTATCAAATTGCAATTACTACAAACAAGTATGCATTGGACAGGGATGTGAAAAACATGACAATATTTGTAATATAAAATGCCCCACGTTATTTTATATCAACAAAAATTCAAGGAAAGAAAACTAAATTATTGTTTTAATATAATATAAATTTATTTGTGTATGAATAAGTTGACAATGTTTATATAAATAAATAAATTACTTTATTAAATAATTTTTACAGATTTTAATTTTGACTTTTATTTATAAATTATATATTAGTATAATATATTTAATCAAAAACTTGTTAATTTATTTATTTGCAATAATATTGATAATTGCATTCAATGAACGTCTTTTTATGTAATAGTCATCCAATGTATGTCCGTATTCCTGATTATTATTATTATTATTATTATTATCCATGTCTTGAAAAGYTGCTGTCATTAACTGTTTAAACAATTGTTGTTCACTCATCTGACCGCTCAATAACTTTGACTCCAACTCCCTGTTCTCAGGACTCAATTCACGGCATTTCGGTTCACATAACTTTGTCAGACATTTATTGTTCAAACACTGGGACTTATAAATCGGACAAAATTGTTGACTCTTTAAGCCGACAAACTTTTCAATGACTGTCAATACGGATTGAGAAGCTTTAGACAAAAAAAGTTAAAAAAAATTAACTCAAATACAATAATTTTAACAATAATTTTAATAATATTGATATCAAACCACAACAAAATGCAGTTAAATCGTGGTTTAGTTTATCACACGAGTCATGAGATATAATCTGAATAATTTCATCAGATATTGTTTCTTCGTCTATAATATCAATGGCGATAATATCATTGTATAAGTAATTAAAATATATTAATAAAACAATTGACAGTGTATTCATAATGAATTAAATTAATAGATTAATTAGTTTTTAAAATCAATAATTTTATTAACTGTTGAATAATTTTGAAAATAAATTTTGAAAATATTATACTGTATWTTATTTTTACTTTATTTAATTTATTTGTTTAAATTTAATAAAAACTGTTTTAGACAATTAGCTATGATTGACATAACAGAGTTTACATTTATTTATTATTGTTAAAACACATTGTATTTTTTGTATGCATTATACATTTAAAAAAAAGTTTCATTGAACTTATAGATTAATTTCGGCATTATAAAATACAAAAATTAAAAATATATAATTAAATATTTCTTATATTAATTATCTATTAATTAAAAAATTATGAATTAATATTTTTATTGTTATTTAATTGATTTTCATTATTTTCATATAATGTGAAGTTTAGCAATATATCCAACAATTCCTCATTACTTATACCACTATTTATATAATCTTCAATGAAAGACCACTCATCTAAAGTTTGTTTAAATGGACAGTCAGTTTGACATAACTGTGTATTATCCAAATTACATTTACGATTAATACATGTTTGATTGAATATATTACACAATGAAATGTTATAACCAACAAATTCTTTAAAACAAAATAATATATAATAAATAAATAAATGATTAGAATTATGGCAACAATTGTTAACATTAAATACTAACCATTTATAATATCTTCAATTTTTGTATCTACTATATAGTAAAATGTAATGCAATTTAATTAATATTTAGTTAACAATTAATTTAACAATTTCTTACAACAACAGTATAYGTCAATTGCCTCTTGAATGTCATCACATGTTTTATTTTGACTATCATTTGTAATTTGATTGACTAAATCAAACTCAATAATATCACTTGTATTAGTTTGACAATTAATTAAACGAAAGTTTATGGCATATAATATTATTAAATWAAGTTTTATCATTATTTTATAATAAATTATACCGGCTTCTAATTAAATAGCACTATTGAAATCCTAATAGATCTTATATGTTAAATAGCAACTATTTAATATATAACAAAATAATTATTTATTAAAATAAATATGAATAGTTCAAATACAACATATGGTACAATATAATTATAACAATAGTGGTTTGAAAAAATGAAAACTATTTCATAAAAATTATTACATCTGGAAAACATAATAATTTACAAAATTTTACATTTAATTGAATTGTTATGAAATATAGAATAAGTTAACTTAAAATAATTTAATTGAAAATAAAATATACATTAAAAAACTATTTCAAGAATATATATTTATATTTATTGAAAATTAAATGAATATTCTTAACAGAAATAATCTTAATATTTGAAATTAATGATTAAACTGTTGTAATAAAGACTTGATATCACTGTTAATCACTGTTAATATGTCTCTAATATTACTAATATTTTTATTGATATCAAACAAATCATTTTTGACATCAATCAAGTCGTCCTCCATTCGTGACTGTCTTTCCGTTACATTTGTAATCTCTTTCTCAATCAATGCCTTCATTGTGGCTAACATTCCGGTGATATGTTGTGTGTCTCTCCTGTTTTCAGACGATTCCTGTTTCAAATAATATAGTTTTTCGTTGATTTTATCGGTCCGATTGATAATTGATTGTATCATCTGTTCGGTAGACATAATAGATGTCATTGTTTTTGTTAGGTTTGTCGAAATGTCCTCCGGTTTAACACTACTTCGTTCATCAGTGGCTATGAATTCGGGACTATTATTATCCTTTAAGAAATTATACAAAATAATTGTAAAATATATTTAATTATTATTATTATATAATTTAAAAAATTAAAACATACCAATATATCCAACAAACTATTATGTTTAGTAGCAAACATAAATGTCCATGATATATAAATACTTAATATTGTAAATGAAATATAAACAAATATTAATAGTCGTTTAGTGGATCTATTGTCCAAATTTTCAATTTTATTTTGTGTTGATATATATGGGTCTATCGGGTGATCGCTATTATTGTAAAATTGATTATTAGTTTTAGTCATTGTTCAATATTATTAATAGTAATAATTTAATTTTAATAATATATCATAAATAATATTTTTAAAGCAAACATTAAACAAAAAAGCCTTTACTGTTTGCATACAATGGTTGCATTAACTTTTATTAAATAAAGTCTACTATAATATAAGTATCATATTATTAATGTTAAAATTTTATTATCGCAAAAAGTTTATGATTACACTATCAAAAATCTAAAGATTGCACTAACAAAAAATGTTTAATATTTATTTAAATATAATTTAATTAAATGTACAGTACACTTAGTTAATTATCGTTTTCTTAATACATAGTAATTTTTATATTTAATTTGATTATTAAAAAATTAATTATTAACATATAAAATACAAATTAATTAATTACATAAATTTTATTATTAATTAAGTTTTATRTTATTTTAATTGTCATTTAAACAGTAACATCAAAATTGACAAAACTGTTATTTACTTATTTTGCACACGATATCTAATTTTATAATATTAGATATGAGTTTGTAATATAAATAATAATATGAAACAAAAGAAGTCAAAGTTTGAAAATATTTATTAAAAATAATATGAGATAATGTTTGGTTATAAAAATAAGTAATACATAAATTTTTATATTTATTTAATTTTAATCACTGCGATACCAAGTATTACTATAAATTAATATTTATGATATCATACACAAAATTATTATTATAATCAATTTGTTTAATACAAATTAATATATATTAAAGATTACCCAATTGTTGTTTCTATAAATTAACGTGTATTAACCAATTGAAGTTTTTTTGTAAGTTTTATAAAAGTTTCGTAATWTTTATCAATATTATAATTATTTATTACTATCTTTACATATATAAAGTTGTATTATTTAATATAATAATTAAAGTTTTTTTTAATTAGTATATTTTGTGATACATCACATCTAAATATGAGCGACAGTACTATCAAAAAGTTGGTTGAAATCAGTGATGAACTGAGAGCTCARATCACTGACATACCGGAGCAACGCATGTTGAACACCACAGTCAGTGAGGTTGGCATTGAATTTAATATAATTATATTTTTTTATCAATAATAATATTATAACTAATAAAATAATTATTGTAACTTTTTTTATAAACAAAATCAAAATATAATTGTTTTCTATTGAACTAAATATGCTAGATCCATTATATGAATATGACCCGTCAAAAATCGCGAAATCTACACTTGCTAATAATGATGATATTGTTAATAACGTTTACCGTATTTGCACTGGTAGCCAAAAATGCCAGTCTCATTGCCGGATTTATTTGTTTTACTATTGTATTTATTTGTGGCCTATTGTTGTTGAAATATTTGGATTATTTGGATACCATTCACATTATGGATGCATTCACTAACATTACTAAAGGATTTAGAGCTAAAAAACAAGAAAAGCAATACATTGTTGACGAMAATATTAAACCTAAAAATCTATAAATGTTTTCCTATTTCTATACATTATTAATGTATTATTGTTGTTATTATTATCTAATTAAAAATATAAAAATACTTATTTATATAATACATAGGATTTTTTATTTTAATGTAAAAAATAATCTAATATGAATTTAATTCTAACTTATATTGCTTTAGTAAATGTAAGTTTAGACTAAACTGTTTAGTACTAATAAAATATTAATTATTAATAAATATTTTAATAATAGATTGATTACAAATATTGCACACTTTTTTGTTAATAATGTTATTTAAATTTTATATTGAATAAACTAATATAAATAAAAGTGAAATTTTATTTAATTATTTTCAAAATATTTATTACTAACAATGAGATTATTATTAAAAWTTAAATAACTAAATTTCTATGTAATCTACTCTAATTCCGGGTCATCGCCAATACTGATTGCAAGATTGATGAGTGGCATCATAAATGACTTATAAGTGGTCTGTCCTTTCGTAATATTAGGTGTGAGCCGAACCATTGCATCACATTTATCGCTGGGTTGTCCGTAATCACCGCATATTAAATTAAGCAACGGATCAATCATTTTATTTAGATATTTAAGGACAAAGTCGACGGTCTTTCGGGTACATTGCTTGACATTCTCGGCCTCATCTGTGAGACATTGGATCAGATGCTGAAAATTACTGTTTTAACAATAAAAAAGATTTAATTTGTTTTTTTAACATTATTAATAGTATTTTTTATCAAATATTTAATTTTCTTGATTAAATAGATAGTTATTTATAGTAAAATAAATAAATAATTTTATAATATTAATAGATAAAGAAAACATTGTATAGTATTTATAGAGAAATAATTAATAGTTATTTAATTTATTATATATATTATATTATATTACTAGTTATTATATTACATTTCATGACTTTTAAAATATATTTACATAATTATAGTTTTGTGAAATTATATAAAGTCGTCAAATATATAAACATCTATTGTGTTGTCAATAATATAATAATTCATTTTTGTATAATTTTGTATAATTCAAATAAAAACTATTTTAAATATCATATTTTAAATGAAAACCCATTAGTAGATTTTAAAAAATCTATAAATATTTTTAAACTTATTGTTAAATAAACAAAGAAAAATAAACTTAAAACATGTGATAATAAAATACTTTAAACTCTAATATTTATAACTTATAATATCTTTTGTTGAGTTATTTAATATTAGAAATCACTGAATATCAGTGAAAAAACTTAAGTAACAAAAGTATAATGAATACCAGGGTTGGAAAAATACAAGGTTTTGAATTTTGTCTTTGTATAATACAGTATAATACAATACTGCTTGTAAAGTATTATACAATTTTAAAAACTGATATATATAATACTATGTTAAAAAAATTAATTAAAAATATTTAGTAAAAATATAATTACTAGAAAATGCATTATTGTTATAATAATAGTTGTTTCTAAAATAATAATAATGAAATAGTTTAAAATAAATATAGAAATTCGATAAAAAAAATAATATTAAATCTATATTTATTATTAGTGACTTGATTTCCAACTAAAAAGTTTTTTTTATTGTTTTAACGCTTATAAGTTAATACTGTGTGTTAACCGAATAAGACCACTAATCCCGAAATTTTATAATAACTATAAATAACTATTTCGGATGATTTTGAAAAATATAAAAAAACTGTAAAATATTTTAAAATATATATTTAAAATACAAAATAATATTTACAAAAATTATATAAAATTGTATAATGTTTTTAATTCATATTTTTTGATAACAATAGAAATTTTAGTGTATTTGTATATCATTTTTGTTAATTTGCTGAAAACAAATAAATAATATATAATTTGCAAATATTAAAAAATAAATAACTATTTGAATTATTATTTGGGTTTTTGCAACTATTCTATAACTATTTAAATTTTTCTAAATTAAAAAATATTTTATCATTTAGTATAATCAAAATTATTATTTGAAAAATATAATTAAACCAGTTAAGAATGCTAGAAAGCATTATTAGAAAAAAAACTTGAATATCATAAATATGTTGAAACCAAATAGTTGGTATTATTATATAGTATTAATTTATATAGTAACAAAAAATAAAAAACTGGTAAAATATACATAATTTAAATAATGTTATGTAGGTTATCAAATGACTCGGAATGACAAAATAAACTCAACTATAGTCATGTATGGTATCAAATGATTCGGTATGACAAAATAAACAACCATAGTCATGTAGGGTATCAAATGACTCGGAATGACAAACAAAACTCAACTATAGTCATGTAGGGCATCAAATGACTCGGAATGACAAAATAAACTCAACCATAGTCATGTAGGGTATCAAATGACTCGGAATGACAAACAAAACTCAACTATAGTCATGTAGGGTATAAAATGACTCGGTATGACAAAATAAACTCAACTAGTCATGTATAGTATCAGATGATTAATATAATGAAATAAACAAATATAATCATGTTTGGTATTAAATGATTTAGTATAACAAAATAAACAGTTAAAATCATACTTTTCCTGCCATTTTTTGAAAAAATAATATAATTTTGATCTATTATATCTTATTTTTAATACTATATACAATTCTAAGCGCTAAAATTTACCTTAATTTTTTATACATTTGTCACCATTTTTTTTAAAAAATAATTTTAATTTATTATATCTTATTTTTGATGCTCTATACAATTCTAAACGTTAAAATTTTTACCTAAATTTTTTTACTTTGGCCGCCATTTTTAAAAAAATAAAAATAATTTTAATTTATTATATCTTATTTTTGATGCTTTATACAATTCTAAACGTTAAAATTTTTACCTAAATTTTTTTTTATTCTGGCCGCCATTTTCTCTATGTTCCTGAAGAGATATCAAAATTTTAATGCATATTTTTATGCTTGCTTTTGATGCTCTATTCAAATTTATACTTAAAATATTTTTTCTTAAAATTTTCTTTACTTTGGCCGCCATTTTCTATATGTTCCCGAAGAGATATCAAAATTTTAATGCAACTTTTCAATACATTATTAGTAGTCCTCTAACCGAATCTGAAGTCAGAATTTCAAAATTCGCAAAAAAAATGCTACACACACACACAAAAGGCTCGTATAGATTTCAGAAAACAAAACTTTTCAAGTTTTTTTTGAAAATAACTATTTCATTAACGATTTTGCCATTTATAGCAATTATTAAAACAACTAAATTTATTTGATACTGTTTAAATAATTATTAATCGATATTTTATTTATTATAAAGCATCGTTTACTTTACTTATATCAATGCTTTTAACTCTAGGTAGAGCTAAAGTTTATTTTGTATACAAAATTGGCCATGTATTATACATAGGATGTACTGTACAGTATAATATGCTTTGTATTATACAAACATTTTGTCTCTTCCAACTCATTATAATAATAAATATATACTGTATGTACTGTATATATATAGTACATCCTTAAGTAAATATTGTAATTGCAAATAAAATATAAATATTAAGAGACATACCAACAACCCATAGGTAATCGTTGTTTTGCCGGTGCGTTGACAATACCGGTAAACTTAGTGACAAGTATTTGATAGCATTTTTGCCAATTTTTGAGTCCCGCGTTAGCACAGGGAGCAGCAGTCAACAGTTCACGCGCGCGTTTAGTTAGACGACCCAACTTGCAAACGGCCCGCAACTCAGCGCTTATTGCATGCATTATAACACGGGCCGAGTCTCTGCCAAATTTAGGCAAACATTTATCATTATAGACGCCCACCTGATCTATTGTTTTGAATGCTAGGTTACAATATGGGCGCAATTGAATCTCATTTACAGGAAATTTCAAATTTTTTTGTCCTAAAATTAAAAATTATTAGAGTATTATTAATACAATTAATAAATATTTTATTAATTTATAAAAAAAAACTACACAAACATACCGACAACTATTAATTTGTTGATGTTTTTATCCATTGAAATACGTGTTTTATCATTGCATTTTATATCGATTGTTTGTTGGCTGACAATAATTGCCTAAAAATATATTTTTAAAAACTCAATTTATTAAAATCACATTTAAAAAAATTATTTACCATGTTGCTCAATAGAATAACCAAATTCAAATAACTATCCATTTATATGTTTTTTGTTTAAAATTTAGATTAATATATCACAATTTTGCTAATTATCAAATGGAAATAAATAGTGTTAAATAAATGCATTTATATGTCCTAGAACAATATAAAAACAAAAATATTATAGTTATTATTGGAAAAAATTACCTCAAAACTAGTAAAAGCTATTAGTTAATGAAATATAARTAATAATTTAAAAACTAGTTTTTTGTATAATAAGTATTTGCAATATATAAATGTTTATTCTGTTAAGATATATAATAATAAGTATTTGAAAGAAAAAAAATTAAATAATGATTTTCCAATAGTATATATTATGTATTATGTTATTAATATATAATTATTTTTATAGYYATACAATTTATAATGCAATACATGTACATTAATTAAAGTAAATAATTTAATAATTAAAGTTTTCTAATTTCTGTCATATATAATATTTATAACTTATATTAATATTATATTATAAAATATCAATAAACTATAATTTGCAACTAAAAAATTGTATTATTAATACTACAGTAAGTTATTATTAGTTTAATTATCGCAAATACAGTAATTGGCCTTCAATTAAGACTTTAGCTCAATTGATAATATGTTAATATTTTGTAATTAAGTGTAGGGAAAATATATTATATTAAAAAATTTCAAGATAAAGTGTGATAAAATAATAAACAAACAAAAAATGATTGCATGACTTTTATAAGTTAAAAAAATTAACAAAATATTTAAAACAAAAAAACAAATGTTTTTAAAAACTTTAATATAATAGTAACATCTTTTCTGTGATTTCTCCGAATTATTAAATAATATATAATTATTATAATATTTAATATTTTTTATATAAATATTCTTATTAATTATTAATTATTTTAAATTTAAATAATTTACTTTTAATAAAACTAATTTTTTTCACTCATCAATATTTAAATATTCAACTATTAAGCAATTGATAAAAAGAAAATTTTGTTATTCCATTATATAAAATTACATTTAAATATAAATATTTTATTTTTTTTCATCTAAAATAACATTTATAAACAAATAAAAAGTTAGTAAGTAAATGTCAACTGTAAAAATAAATTTATTACAAATATAAACATTAAAATTTAAAAAGGAATTGTCAGTATTTTATAATTTAGTTTAATAAAAAATAGTAAAGTTTATAATATTAAGCAAAGATAATAATCAAAATTTTATTTATTAATTTAACATTAAGATTTATATTTTGAAATAAAAAATGTATTAACTAATTTTATTTAATATTTTAAACTAATAATAATCTTTAATATCAATCAAATGTTAATTAAAAAATATACAATTAAATTTAAATTATTAATTTAAATTATTTATTAAATATTTTAAATGACTGTTTAAAACTAGACTATCAATAATAAAATTTATACATTTTTAATCAATAACTTAGATAAAATTTAAAAGTAAAATTAGAAAGATATGATTTAATGTTTATAATATTTTAAATTTAAAGCTATTGATATTATATACATAATATTTGTAGAATTTAAGATTATATTATTATCAAATAACTAACAATTAATATTATATTTTATAAATTCTATCCTAAAATTTTTAATTGTTATTAAAGCGATTTATATTTTGCAAAAAAAAATAAAATTATTAATATACTGTAATCTATGTATGTAATCTATTAATTATTATATAATTTAATTGTTTTTTATATTAATTTTAAACTAATTTTATATAAAATAATATTCAATACAAATAATTTATGACAATATCATTTTAGTAAAAGTACATACATTTAAAAATATCCTAATTATTTTTCAATAAAGTAAATGCTTTGTATTACAAGTATATTATAATATCATTATATATATATATATATATAAAACTTTTAACAATGTATAAACAACATTATATTTATAAACGAATAAAACTATTTATATATTTTTTATAATTTAATTTTATATAATTATATTATATATATAGCGTAATGATCTGCTAATGAATTATTATCCCGGTAGTAATAGTTTGTAAATGAATTTATTTTTAATATTAAAGTAAATAATTAGTATATAAAAACAAATTTTTAATTGTATTATTTGAAGCAAATGTACTAATGAACCAATATTATAAATTTTAAAATTCAGTATAAAATGTTATAATAATAGCCGACTTTTATTTAAAATATTTCTAATAAAATAAAAAATAATTTTAAAAATATAAAAATTAAAATGATTGATAATAGTAATAATAATATGAAATTATGTTTACCAGAATCATATTATATACCAGGGCGGCGTGTTATCAACTAAGATTCGTAACTTGCGTGCACTTAACTCCTCACTTAAGTGAAATCCTGTGTTATAAAACATTTTAGCAAGTTAGGTTTACGGGTAAGTTAGGAGAGGACTTAAGTATACAAAACTGGTTTTTAGGTGAAAAGTGTGTTAAGAAAACAAGTTAGTGCTAGAGTTAGGTGTAAAGTTAGGATAGCTTTAACCCAACTTTAGCTATACTTTAACATTGATAGTAATGTTTATTTTATAGTTTAAACTATTTATACTTATAAATTTAATAAAACACTGTATTATTATCACTACAAAAAAGAGTTACGTTTGCGTAAAACAAAATATTTTGTAGTAACGCTACTCTATACTTAACTTAAGGAAATCGCAAACGTAAACCTAAGTGTATTCCTTATGATAACACTCACCCCAGAAGCTCATTTAAAACTTTATAAAATAGGATTTCATATGAATGTTGATAATTATGCCAACAATGAACCTAAAATCAAAAGATCTAAATTTTGTGAACCAATATTTATAGTATTTATTATTTTTATGTTTGCATTCAATCCTTCGATAAGTTTTTTATTTCCCCGAGAAAATCGACAATTGTTTATATATTTTGGAAATTTTACGTATCTATTGGGTGTTACGTACCATTTGAACATTGTTTTAATATTATGGGGTCTATTAAATCTATTATTTCAAGCAATATTCTATTATAATTATACCCGTGGTATTCAAATTAATTTTATAAAGATATTTGAAATGTTAGGTCGTATTGTTACACCAAATCATATTGGCATCACTGACAARAAACTAATTGATAAGTTATTTAAACATTCAATAGTATTGTTTAAATTATGTGATATTATAATCAAAAGAGTGATGCCATGGATAAGTTGTGCCACATTATGTCCGTATATGTTCTACACTACACTCACTGAAACCTTGGTCTATGGTATACCCCATAGTATGGTCACTGGATTTTGTGCTTACTTTTCATTTGGTTTTAGTTTTTGGCTTTTAATATATTTTTATTTAATTTGTTTGTATCTAAAATTGAAAATCCGTGCCATTAATGATAGTTTAATAACAAGTATTAAAAACAGTCATAAAATTACGCCACGATTTATGATGAATCAAATAAATTCATTGAATGATATTTATGTTGAAATAAATGACTATAACGCAAGTTTTTGGTCAAAATATATGTTAGTTGTTTGGCTTTTATTGGGAACCGTTGTCCTAAATGGTATATATGTTATGCTGTTTAAGAAAATGGATTTATTTAGTATGACTTTTATTGGATTTCCAATATTTTCGTGTTTTATTATGTTTATGACTAACATTTCTATCGCATCGGCAGTCAATTATGAGGCAAATAAAAGTTATAATGTATTTAATACACTTATGGGCCGTAATTTAGTTAATCGTCAAATTAATAATATGTTTGCAAAATTTCGCTATAAGAATAAGGTAATGTTTTTATTAAATAAAATATTAATTATATTGTTTAATGTAATTATATTTAAATTTAAAATTAAAAGGTAATGTCATTTATTTGTCGTTTGAGTTGCAAAAAGGTTGGCTTTACGTGTTGGACACTATTCATACTCAATAGTATGCGTTGTTTTGAAGTAATAAAAAAAAGTTAAATAAGTTTTTGAAAAAATTAATTAATTAAATTTTTTTCAATTTTTTTACAGATAATCTTTATGTTATGCATTCAATTTCTAAAATTAATTGAAATCGAAGTTTAATTTTTATTTGTTTCTTTATTAATAAAAAATAGATATAAATCACATTTAAAATTACAATTAGTATTTTTAATTGTAATTTAATTAAGCATCAATTATATATTAATAATAATGTTAATATAACGAATGTTTCTTTAAAAGTATCAAATTTTAACATAATTTAAAAAAATACTATTACATGATCTGATATATAATTACCTGTAAAATTGTTATGAAATATTAATTATTTTATCACAAATCACATTATTATAAATGTAAAAATAAAAATTATTATTATTATTTACATAATTTGTGAGATAGATTTAGTTAATTTTTGTCATATATTTGGCAAAACAACTATTGCTGTGATTTATCCTCAATTAGAGCCGAAAACATAATTGTCTCAATTTAATATAAATAATGTAATTGTTTTTAATTTAATAAACAATAATGATTAGACACTAATGTGATAGTGTAGTCAACAATTTAAAACACTAAAAATATAATATATTATTAATAAAAATTATATAATTAATAATTGAAATAATCGTCAAATATTTTACGCATATTTGTCAAAACAGTTTTCAACAATTGATTACAACTCAATAAACTGTTGACTAATYAATGGATTAATTATTGGCGAGTATTTGTTTGCTTTGCCGACCAGATTCTCGGCAATACACGCGTCGACACTTCCGAATCCCATCTTATTTCCGGTCACTGCGTGAGCGTCGGCACAGTTGGTCGTTGCCGTCACGTACTCGTCATAAGTTTGCTTAAGAGCGTCGTCTCGACTAAATCTCAACTTAATTTTATGAGAATTACATAAATCAATGACCCGTTTGTTAGTATCAAAAAACGGTAGTTCAATGGCACCAATATGTTTGGGCTTTTGTTCTAACAATAATTTAAGGCCATCGAAGACGCCGTCAATGATTAGATTCTGTATGATGTCCTTAAAAATGTCGGCAAAATATCCGGCACCGTATTTGGTAAACTTAAAGTTAACCGTATCGTGAGTGCCATCAGCTTTCGGAYATTTGTCCACATAGTCGGCAATCGCCAAACCAGTCAGCAGTAYATCTTTGGCAACAAATCGTTTGTAAGCAAATGTATCGAAGTAGTCGTTGTAATACAATATATAACGACCCGTGCGATCATTAGTGACCTCTTTATATGACTTTTTTGGTTCTCCGACCACTCGTTCGTAAATCATGTCATCCAATAGGCCTTTAACAGGCTTTTCCGAGACTATTACCAGTCGCCCAGTATTACAATACTGTTGAAACTGTAGACCAATTAAGTCGGCCACATATACGTCCCGCTTCTGGGGCTCTCGTATTGTGTCGCGCGGATAACCGCCGTAATGTGTCGTCTCATTTTTGGCCAGAATTACGCACTGACGGCACAAATCCTTAACGGCTAGTATTACTTCTTTACGAAACGTATAGTTCTTAAAGTTTATAAAACCGTTGGTATTGTTTGGTTCATTGCGGGCTAACATAACTAAGTATTTCAATGACAACTTGTCGTCCGGCAAACGCAATATCCGATGATTATTGTATTGGTCGTACACATCAATCGGTGTMGACTTTGTTATCTCAGCGGACAAGTTGTCCAATGCTTTTTCCACCCATTTGGGCGCATATATCCTGACCGACTTATCCTCGTTTCTCTTATTATTTTTTGACGTCAATGACTGGTCATATCTGACAAACACTGTTAGCCTACCCGAGTCCTTCTGTTGTTTGTTTACCGCCGAACCCGAGTTCTGCTGTTGTCTRTTTGGCGCCGAACCCGAGCTCTGCTGTTGTCTGTTTGGCGCCGAACCCGAGCTCTGCTGTTGTCTGTTTGGCGCCGAACCCGAGCTCTGCTGTTGTCTGTTTGGCGCCGAACCCGAGCTCTGCTGTTGTCTGTTTGGCGCCGAACCCGAGCTCTGCTGTTGTCTGTTTGGCGCCGAACCCGAGCTCTGCTGTTGTCTGTTTGGCGCCGAACCCGAGCTCTGCTGTTGTCTGTTTGGCGCCGAACCCGAGCTCTGCTGTTGTCTGTTTGGCGCCGAACCCGAGCTCTGCTGTTGTCTGTTTGGCGCCGAACCCGAGCTCTGCTGTTGTCTGTTTGCCGCCGAACCCGAGCCCTGTTGTTGTCTGTTTGCCGCCGAACCCGAACCCCGTTTCCTGTGGCCAACATTTAGACTACAATTAACATATTATATCAAACCATGAAATAGTGAATAATTTGTTTGAATGTTATTATTAATACAATCTGAAGATATGGTTCCCTATGTATGACATGACATACCTTTTCTGTTGCGATGACATAACTGACTGATCAGTCGTTTGTTTGAATCACTGTTTTTTGTATTAATAGTTAAATCATAGAAAAGTAATGAATTCAATGAAATGTGTTTTTAGTATTAAATTAAAGTCTAATGCAATAGTTATGTTGTTTACATAATTTGTGTCATTATTACTGCCGTCTATTGTTTGACACATCTATTGAATTATTTTTTTATAAACTAAAAGATATCATATTTATTGTACAGTATATTAATGTATAATTTTTCAATAATTCAGTTATCCTTAAATCAATATTATAATGAATTTATCAAATTATTTTTATTACTTATTTTTGAGTATTAATGCATTATTTATTACAATTTATATATTAAAAATATAATGTATATTTACGATACAGTATTTGCATTAAATATTTATCAAAATTTAAAAGTTGATAAAAATTATAAAAATATTTTATATAAAAAATATTGCATGAATTTATTAACAATTTATACTTGTATATAAAATTGAAATTATTGTTTGGATGAATATATTTTTCAAATATTTTAAAATATATATATCACATATAAAATACATTTTTATAAAATGTGTTAATMAATGAAAAAAGTGTACCAATAAATATATTACATAATTAATAAATATTATGAATGTAAATTAATAATAAAAATTAATAATAAATTATAATAACATATATTTGTTTATATGATTATCAAGTAATCAAACCCTGTCTGACCCGAAAATTTTCAAACTCCAACTGATCGTTACTAATTTCATCGGCCGACCACTGCTGAGGCCACTCCTCCCGGCGACTCTTTGGCCAACACAGTCGATGAATTAATAGACCGGCAAAATAAAGTGTCAATAGATAAGCGCCCGAAGCGACAAATATTACAACCCTGTAGACTGTGGACCGGTTTCTGAATATACCGTAAACCCATATTTGCCGATAAAAGCCGAGATAACAAACCCAACCGACATATGAGCTCATGATTGCCATCAATAATGACATCTCGACCGCCAGTTTGTTGCGGCGGTGATATGTTATCACTGTTTCCAACATTATTATCACAACAATAATTGAGTGCTATTTTTAAGAAAAAGAAAATATCATAAAAACATATAAAAACAAGTTATAAGATAACTAGTAGTATAAAGTTTTTAATAATTTATGACATTGTAATTATAGTTGTCATATCGTATATGTAAGTAACTTAAATAATACAGTATAAAATGATAACAGCACATACATCTAAATGGGTCAACCACCAGGGATATCTACCAGTGCTATTGACCACCAATGACTTGTCTATAAAATATAAAGTCCAATACATAGTTGAGACCAACTGAAAATAAATATATTATACTATAGTTAGCAAACATTATTAAATATTTATAATAGTATTTATAACAATATTTTTTTTGAAATATATAGATGTATACTATTGTATAAAAAATATTTTAAATAGTTTATATGTTTTATAAAGTGTTAAAAGTAAAACTTATTGACTAAAATATTTAACATCTATCAATAATTAAGTCTGTTAACAAAAATTACAGTAAATATGTTATTCATTATTAAGTCATAGACTGTATACAATGTATACTATACTAAAGAAAAAAATATTTTTAGAGATAAATTTTTGTTATCTCTTACACAACACTTACTTAAGTTAAGTGTAAATGTGTTATAGTATTATCATTATATTTAATTAATATAATATAAGGGAATAGTTATGTTTTTGCTTATCTAGCTTAAATAAGTGACACATCCATTTCATTCAAATAATAATTATCATTAACACGCTAATGTATATAATTACTAACAATATCCATTAGTATTATTTAAGCTCAGGGAGCTCAACATTTCTAGAAATAAACATTATTTAGCTAAATGTTGCACAAATATAATGTATAATGTTTTAAAGTCAAAAAAATATACCGTAAATAAAAGTATCATTTTAACTAGTTTTTAAATTGACAAAAAATCAGTTAAAAATTACTAAAAAAATCATTATAATATTTACATTATTACATAAGCATAGTATGCTAAAACAACTAATATAATTAAATTTAGATATTTTTATACAAATAAAAAAGATAAGCCTAGAATAAATACAATAACTATATTAACATAAAATGGGTGATTGATTAACATTTAAATTGTGCTTTACTTAAATTAAGTGTTAGTCTAACAGTGTGTGTGTATAAAAAAAATTATAGACATGTTTAACGGGTTAATTAAAATGAGATCAACATAATAGTGATCATCGGCTACAACAGCACTGGTAAAACAATGATGACATACGACATACCCAACCAATGGGAAACACCAGTGAGTGGTGGAGTGTATCTCTAGTTTGCATCAAACGCTTCTTAATACTTCTTTCAATGGCTTTTGAAGGCATATAATTAACGCGAAAACAATCGCAAAATAAATATATAAGAAATACGATGAACTGTATGTGCTGTAAGAAAAATTAATACAATTAATAAAATTACGGTAATTATTKTTATTAATATTTTTAATTTTAATTTACCGGTAAATGAAAACAAAAAATGCATTAGCAAAATATTCATACATTACATCACATCATATATATATATATATGTATACTGTATATGGAAATGAATTGAAGATTATAAAATAAAAATATGCATAATATCCTGTTTTTAATCTAAATATAGCATTAATTAGATATTTTTGTTATTCAATTACTAAATTTTGAAAACAGCTTACGGTAGGTTTTTATTTATGATTTTTTAAAATTATAAAATATAATAAATATATTTAAATATAATCTAATGTAATATATATATATATATATATATATATATATATATATATATATACATGGTATATTATGTGTACAAATATTTATAAATTAATAAATTCTTTTAAATATCAAATATTAATTGATATTCACATATTTATATTTGTATTACTTCTACAATAGACACACATTTTAATACTAACACATTTATGTGTATATAAATATTAAACTTCTGTATATTTATATTCATATCCTTTATATATTTCATTACCATATATATAAACTGAGAAAAAATAAAATCTATATTATGATTCATAAGTACGATATAATATTATACAGTATTTTTATAGATAATTTAGTATAATATCATATTATTTAATTCATATATCATATGTGTGTATATATAAACAAACAAAAAATTAAAATAATAAAAATAATAAAAATAATAAAAATAATTAAAATAATTAAAATAATTAAAATAATTAACATACTAAATTCCAAAATGTTAAAAATTTATATTTCCAGCCAAATGTATAATCAATTGTAGTTGAATTGACATCAATTGATGCATTATGTTTGGGATCAGTTGATGATTGTTTGGGATAATAGCCATTGGGATAAACAAATTGAAAGACTAACGAAAATCCATACAACGAGACGGCAATTATATGTATTGTTACAGAAAAACCTCTCCATAAAAGCCAAAGACGAAAATTCATGGCTTAAAGAAAAAATATATTACATATCAATATTAATGTGTAAAATAGATTTAAACAGTATTATAGTTATTATTATTATTAATAATAATATTAATGCTATTTATAATATATTATATATTATGACTAAACATGTAAAATGTTTTAACATACTGTATAACGTACTTAACTGTATATACTTTTTATTATACAGAATATAATGCAAATAATACATTAGTTTTTATGGGCATATCGTTTAAGAGGAAGAGTTTATTATTACACTATTAAATGATATTTATATATTAATATTACATTTATTTTATAATGAAAAAAATTGCACAATTATTTCTCTTTTATAAAATTAATTTAATTTTAATAATTAAAATACATAAGCTAATTAAATTTTTAATAAATATTTGATCAAAAATACAATTTAGGAAAAAATAAAAATATTTGTTACTAAATTAAATTATACTTTTAAATTATTTTTATATGCCGGCAATTTTAATCAAAACATAATCAACATTATCATAATATTCAATAATATATCTATTGTGGTTAATATTTAAAATAATAAATCATCACAGATACAAAAAAACAAATTTGCATTTAAAAATTACAGTAAAATGATAAGGAAATATATGAATTGAAATACAAATGATTTTCTAAACAGTGAGCACTGGTATGTAAAAAATCTGGTTGTCTCTTGACTTTACTTACAAACTAATTAATTGAAATAAAATGACTACTTATTAAAAAAAATATTATTAATAACAATTTTCTACAATTTATCGTTGCTATGACTATGACTTCAATATAATTATAATTGTTGTAAAGTTTTTTTGTTGTTATTGTTGATAAACAGCATTATATAAAATTTAGATCAATGTCATGTCATACTTGTGATTGAATTTTTTAAATGACATATAAATTTATTTGCATTTTTTGTAGACAAAAATCCTCTAATTTTGGGTTAATTCAAAAGTTACTGCTTAGTAAACATTTCAATTATTTAAAAAAAAAATTATATTGAATAAATAATTACATAAAATTATTTTTTTRTTTTACATTTTGTTTAAACAACTTTATGCAAAATATTAATTGATAAAAAACTTTTTAATAAATTGATTAACAAATTTAGCAGATAATATCTATTAGTAATTAATTGGTTTTAAATTAATTAATTAATAATTATAAAAATCATAACTTTTGACACACATATCTCTCAATACAGTCATACCTCATAAATCTCTTTTATAATTATAACTATGATTCTAACAATTTCGAGATTTTGAATTATTTTTTAATCGAAAATTAAAAATTATTTATAATAATAATTAATTAAATAAATATATGGATTTTGTTTAGATTTTAAATGATTGAAATATTAGTCAAACATTTTTTAGTAAAGTATAGTTATATTTGAAAGTTTATGTCGTTATCAAAATATAGTAATCACAATGAAATCTACATAAAAAAATTTGTATAATATATTTATTAGTATAAAAAGTAAATTTAATTTAAACTCAAATATATCTATTTGAAGATATCATACAAACATGACTGAGGTATGGGAGCAATAAGCAAGGGGTAGGTTATCACTACATATGCGTCACTTAAAATTACTTATCAAATAAATAAAAAATTCAAAAAAAAAACAAAACAAATTTAAATATTGAAAACTACTACAGTATATACAATATTATGAAATTTTTGATTATTAAATTATACTAAACAAAACTTACTGTTTTTGATTGAAACCAACGGATTATTACTGTTGTGTTATTATTTTTACCAAACAAACTGTGTGTTTGACTATTGAATGAATGAATGACAAAATCATTTGATTGAATGGTTGAATCGGTTGTTGAGACGACCCTCCCCTCCACTTATATCAAACATTTCCTGTTATATCTTTAATTGTGGGCTTTATTTGTTGTATTCAAATTGTATTATAAATATTAATAGAAATTTAATATTATTTAAATATAATATAAGATAATTTTAATGTTTGGTTGTCTAAACTTTATAAAAAATACATATAATATTGAATATAATATTGTATAATATACAGGAAAATTATATGACACAAAATATTAAGTATTTAAACAAATAACTTTTAAAAATTGATAAATCACTATTAATAAGTAATTTTAATTAATAAGTAATTTTAATTTTATTTAAATGATCTAACAATTTTTATAACAAAATAATTTACATTTTTATCAAATAGTTTATATCAGGTTAACTAATATTAAATTTTATAATATATTTTTAGTGACAAAAAACTTGTTGGCAGACAAGTGTTAAATATAAATATGATTTTTTACTATAGTCTTAGTCACACAAAACACTACAAACACTGGTTTATGATTACTGAGTGTATGTAATGATAAAGTCTATGACCCTTCAAAAGTGTATATTATTGTTGTTGTTTAGCATTGACTTACTCTCAATGTTTCCAAACAACTTTATATGCATTAATATGTAGTAGTTTTTATGCCCTCCCAATGAATCTAATTTTAGGTCAGTTAACTTTGATTTTTAACCCATACATATGCCCTTAATTTATACATTCATATCTGTATAATATTATACTTATTGTATTTTATTATCTATTTATGATACCCCTAGGATTTACTGATATTATTATATATACAAATAAACTTTATTATTTAAAAAGATAATTTTCAATTAATTTTTATCAATTTGGGAATTCAATTTTATTAATTTTTACAATATAAAAAATAATTATAATATCCCATATGAAGTGATATTGATAAACCAAACATTTTATTGAACTTTATTTTTATTACAATTTATGTTACAGTTTAATTTGTATTAATTGTAAGCTTTAAATATATTTAATAATAACTTTTTAAATTTAAATATCTCTATAATTTAGAAAAATTAAATTTTAGTTTTTATTTTAATAATTAAATTAGAAAAAACATTAACAAATCGATTTTAGTAATCTTTGTCCAACAAATAGTATTATTTTATAATTAAATTTTGGCTATAAATCAAATAAGAAGTAATAATTAAAATGATTTGAAATTAAAATTAATTTATAGCTATTTTTGGACATTCAGTAACTAAAAGAAAAAAGTAAATTAAGTGAAATAATAGGAATATATAAGTGAAAAATAATAGGAATAATAATAATAATATTAATAGAGTAGTAAAGACAGTATTGTTTGTTTGGATCATTAGTTAAACAAATCGAGATCTGATGGCATTGTAGTCCATTGTCTGCCTGCGACAGCATATCTTACTTTAAGTAATTGTTTTTGTATCCTATAATTAGGTGCCGTCTCCTTCCACTTGCGATACGTTTGTGGCATTGACTGATGTGGTCGCAGACTGTGCTCATAATTGGCTAAAAAGTTGCAAAATAAGTGATAAAGTGAATGCTTTGATAGACGACTTATGTTCAATAGATGACCACTTTTGACACCCGTGTCAATGGCTTTACCGGTACGACAATCAATAGACTCTAAGTCTTCCTCTGTATTAATCCAATTGATGGCCACTGGAAAGGGAAATGCATTTTTCACTTGAAAGGCCATCAATTGCTTCACCATATTTGTGAACAATTGTTTTTCGCATTTCATTAGTTTTGGCTCTCGGGTATAGTTTTGGACAAAATGTTGATGAAATGATCGCTCATTTAAAGGCACACCAGTGATCACACTTGTAATATATATAGCATCAACAAAATGACTGAGCAATGATCCCTGAACTCCCACTTGACTCCATACACTCAGCTTATCGGTAGTTGACTTTAACCGAACTGACTGTCCATTGCTAACTTCACTATCATTAGCAGCGGTGCCTCTCATATGGAGACAACTGTCAATCGGTTCATTCAAATAAAGACTAAATTTGAAATTATTTTTCAATTGAAACCTATTTGACGCCGTAATAGATCTAAATATTGATTCATCCTCTGATATCTGATTGGTAACCAATTCAGTTAACTTATTGTACAGATATCTAATAAGTCCTCTCCGCGCCAATACTGGTGCTCTGCAGTCAACCACAACATACTCCGGCTCCAGATATTCAGTTTCTATTGTATCCGATCCGGTAGTTATGCACACAATTTCACACCAGTCCTTAATATGATCATCGGTTAAGACAATTGCTGCCAAATGCGGCACACAATCAAACAAATTGTTTGCATTTGTTATCTCATTACTTTCAGTGTTATTATTAAGAGGTAGTTCTTCACTACCTTTACTACTACTACTACTACTACTACTATGAAACCCATTGAAAGCATATCCATTAATATTAATATTATTATTATTGATTTGTGAGTCCAACTTCTCCACAGTTGTAGGTCTGTATATATAATCATTGAGTGAATGCTTATATAATTTATCAAACATTTTGTCATTTAATTGATTTTCTTGCTTTTGTTTGTCGTTTTCTTTACTTTTTTCTACAACTTCTCCATTCATTTCTTGTTGAATGTATTTGGACTGAACTTTGCACTCATTGACACTAATCTTATGAATTGATTCATTTGATCCCAATATGACATTATTATCATTAATAAATATATCAGAATCTTGATTCTTATGGTGATCATCAATCACTACAGTACTAACAGTGGTATCACTACTACTGTCATCATCGCTAAGCTGACCATTACTGTTGATATTATCATTACATTCTTGACTTTGATCACCACTATTGTCACATTCAGTAAATTTATTATTATTATAATTATAATTGTCGATCACATCTACAACACTGTCATTTATGGTACTGTAATGATCAACATTTGTCTCACTAATGATATCTTGTTTGCCATTATTTGCATCACAACTAAACGTTTGTTTGTCATTGTTTTCAGTTGATGCCCGAGATTTGTAGGACACGACAGACAACCACTTTTTGATGACATACACCACTGTTATGCCGGTTATAATTGTTGCTATAAATTCAATATAATAATCACTTAAAGTAATTGATTCTATCAATTCAATCATTTTTTATTAAATAAATATAATAATAAATCTAAATTTATAATAACTTATGTACTGTATATATATATATAATTAAATTATATAAATAAAAGTTAAATATTTAAATGTTAGAAATGACTATTTAACTAATTTTTAAAAATATAACAATTGTCTTTAATGGGGGAATGTCATTATTTTTGGCACAGGTATTTCAATGTTCCACATATAGATATATTATAAAAAATATAAATTATATATATATATATAAACAATACATCTGCTGATAAAAACAACATATATTAATCCATTTATAACACAATAATAATTAAAAATTTTGTCAAAACAATGTAAAAAATTATCAAAACAATTTTGTTTAATAAATTAAACAAAAATAAAAATAAAGTATTATTTTTAAACAATTAATTTATTTAAAAATGCTTTGAATAGCGATATCTTTTAAAAAATAGTACACAAAAGTATAAAATATTATCTTTTAATTGACAAAAACATAAATTTAAGATATGATGTCAAGTAATTTTCAAATATTAACAATATTTTAATTATTTTTAAAAATTATTGGAAACATATTTTTTTAGAAAAATAAATATTTTACACAAAATTATTTTATTACTAAACTTAAATTTTCTTGGAATCTATATTTCAACAAACCTTTTATTATTATTTTTTTTAAAAACTTGTAAAAGACATAAATCATGTTTAGAGATAAATTCTATTTAAATTAAAAATTTGTAACAATATTTGTTATTTATTAATTATTATTATTAATAAAACCTTTTTTATCACTATTTTCCCAAAATTAACAAAAAAATATAACCTTGAATTAATGAACTAAATATAACATACTTTAGACTACATTTTATATATTATCAAATATTTTATATATATAAATATTATTAATAATTATTATTTTGATAACAGTTAAAATAAAAACGTTTGTTTCAATAATTAAATAAATTAAATATACTGTATAAAATTTAACATTAATGTCCATTTTTCATAAATTTATTTTTGTAATTTTTAATTTAAAATATATCTAATAATTAAATCTAATATTATTTTTAGTATTAATGTCTAATATTGAAAAAAGTTAAATAGAAAGTACATTAAAATACTGTATATAACGTACATTAATACTTGTTTCATCTATTATAGTAGTTTAACCATAAAATTATAGATATATAGAGTATTGTAGTGTATTATTTAGAATTTCTACTATAGAATGTATTACATTATACTCTAATGTATAATATACAGTATTTTCTACATATAATGACACATAACTATATTAACATAAAAACTAATGAAAGCCTTTTTTTGCATGACTTACATGTTATCACGTATTTCTTCTTTAATATCATATTTCAATAAAACGAAAAAAAATTGTGTTTTGATAACAACATTACTTACACTACTAAACATAAGCAGTCATTTTGTATACAATTTTTTTCACAAATCATTAGTCAATAATTTTTCGAAAAACTACAATATATTATAATAAATATAAAAATATATTTACTACAATTAAATTATCTAAACAAAATAGTATCTACAAAAATAGTAAATAAATCAACTTATAATTAAAATTAACATTTAATTTTTTTATATATAGTATTATTGTTATGTTAGTATACATGTGCTATATTTTCATTTAAAGCAATTTAGTATAAAAAATTAATAATTTTATTTAATAAAATCAACATTTAATTTTAGTTATTCATAACAAGCATATTATTCATAATACGATTTATATATAATATAATGTATATATATATTATATACTTATATGACATATAAACAATAAAATAAAATAATTTTATTACTTAATTCATGTTATTATATTCAATATATGTCGTGTCTATAATTGTGTCTATAAAATTATATAATACTTTAGTGCAAAATCATTCAATTAAAATTCATTAATATAACAAATTAATGTATTTGTGAACATAATATTTCATAAACTAATTATATATATAATAAATTATATATACAAATAAAAATTATATAATTTAAAATATATAATACACTCAAATATATTTTTTGTATATCTCGACAAATACTGTAATAATAGATATAAACAAAATCATTAGACTATAAAAACTCTGTAAATATACATTAAATATTATAGAAATTTTAAAAAATAAACTTTTTGTTTAAGTTAAACATTTACTAATTTATTCAAATAAAGTAAATTAAAGATTTTATTCATTTTAAAAATATCTATAATAATTGTTAAAATAAATTAAAGTTAAGACTTTTAACATTAAAATAATTAAAAACCCTATTTAATAAAATTTAAGAATTGCATAATTTTATATATTTTGTCCTTAAAAGTAAAGATAAAATTGTTTATATTTATTATTTTATTTCTTCTATTTATTATTTAGTTATTAATTAATTATTTTATATTTATACATCGATAAATAATTATTGTATTTAGTGATTGGATTTATATAAAATTATCAATATTTAACAATTATTTTAAATATTAATCTTTAACATTATTACTATAATAAATAAATTTGAACGTATAATTATGTTATTATTGCTAGTATGATTTTTAAATAAAATATATAATATTTTCTTTAGATGTTATTTATTATAAAAAATTACTGAATTATGTTTTAAATATCTTATAACGGCATTTTTAATAAAAAAWTTTTAATAACCATACCACATTATCGTAATTATTTTAATGGTAAAAACAATTTTAATCTAATAAATTTATACAGTATTTATATTATATATATTTATGTATAAGTACAGTATTAATATTATTATATATTTATACAATATTTATATTTATATATATATATATATATATATATATATATATTAATGTATAGTAAATCATTAGTGCTATTAATTATACTAATTGAGTTATACTATTAATTGATGTATACAGTAGTATAACTTTTTTCATAAATCCCAGAAGATTTCCAAAAATTTTTATACGCTATAAATGTATTGATTAATATAATAGTTGTTATAAAATATATATAAATCAAAATATTTTATTTTATAAATAATATTTTCTAAATTTTTATAGATAAATATAAGCTTATAGTTCTTACCTTATAAATATATACATGTATATTATGTTTAAACTCATATTTATAAACAATATTTTCTAATTTTTTAAAATATTCAAATTAATATAAACTTGATAATATTCAAAAAAATATTTACTAAAAACTAACAAAATATTTATTTAATTTATTATATTTTTTATAAAAACATGTGTTTTGTGGAAATCTTAAAAATAATATTTTATAGTGTATTTTGCATAGTATTTAAAATATTATAAATTATCTTGATAATATTTCAAATTAATATAATAAAAAATAAATTTTTCATTGTTTAAAATGAGTATAAAATAGTTATCAACTCAAATAATCCTGAAATTAGTTATATTTATTTATTTATTTTTTGTAATAACATATTTTATAAAATTAAATTATTTTTACTGTATGTTAAAATACTATAACTAACAAATTGTTGAATTACTGTATATTTAGATAAAATGCTTATTATTTAATTAAAATTTATTTATTTAATTAAATATTTGTCATGCTTTAATTATTATTGTATAAATTTATGTATTAAATTGTCATTAACACATGTATTATTTTGTGAGGTAATAAACAAAGTAATTAAATTCATATAATTATTTTCATGTATTTTAATATTACTAAATTACAGCATTAATCAGATAAATTGTGGCAAACATTTACTATCGATAATAATTAATAAAATTTTATTATTCAAATTATATATTAATTTTTAGATGTAACCATTAAATAAATTTATTTCTAGTAGTTTATTTTATTTATTATTAAAAAACAATAATTGATATAATATCGAAAATAAAAATTATATTATAATAATAGATTTTTCGTTCAAAAAAAATATTTTAAATACTTAAATACTTGTAAAATATTTTAACTTAATTTTACGACAAATATATTATATGTTAGTACTTAAGACGTCTTTACATTTGATCTAAAATTTTAATCGTGAATTTGTACTTAATTTTTAAGTACATATTATATTTTTAATGTCTAAATAATTTGTTTATTTAGATTGTCTGTTAAATTTTTAGTCTAAATAATAATTAAGACATACCATATAAGTATCACTAATTATTTGTATTTTAAAATTTGATTTTTACAAATAATTGACTAATAACTATAAAATTCATTGTTACAATAATAAACCTTATAAATATTTATAGTACAATAATTATTAAATATTATATAATTTATAAGTGTATTAAATAATTTAATAAAACAATTAAAAATTCACAATTCAATATTAATTATGAGATAAGCGCTGAAATTAATTGTTAGTGAAAAATTAGAAATAACAAGTAATGTTTCATCTATACTGTATAGTAATATAAATAATTATATAATATATCAAATAATTCTAGCAATAGGTTAAATAAATGAATGCAATTTTCAGTCATTTGATAATTATATAGAAATTATACGATAAAATATAAAAATTCATTAATAAAAATATCTTTTAGTGAGCTATAAAACACAATTATAGCATATTTAGATTTATCGGATAATTTAGAATCTAATTAATATGTAAATGATTGTAATTATTATATTTTAACATTTTTAATTAACATTTTTCTCAATTTATATTAGATAATTTAATTTTTTTAAATGTACATAAAATTAATATCTGTTATATAAAAAATAAATAAATATTTATTTTGCAAATTTAATTCAATTTGAAAGAATGTAATAACAATAATATATATTTTATTTTTTTCAACAATTTATTAACACTTAACACATGTATAATTTAGTGCTGACTATATAACTGTACTTATAGTGTAAGAAAAATCTAATAAAATAACAAAAAATTTATTAGAACTTATATTATATATTGTGTTTAAATTTATGTTAGCAATAAATATGTAACAGAAGTAAATTATAGATTATAAAATAGTATCCAAAAAATACTGTTATTTACTACAATTAACATTTAAAAAAAATATTAAACACCATTTGTGTAGAAAATTAAATGCTTGTGTGAATTATGATTTTTTTATATAATTTTAGACGCATTTATTTTAAAAATACCTTTTACATTAATTTATTACTATAGCGTATAGATTGTAGAAAAATATCGATTTGAAATTCAATTTTGAGACAACATTTGTTTTTGAATAAAATATAATATAAAACATAATAGAGTTTAAATTGGATCTACTATTGTATATGTAGTTTGCTATGATATTTAAGCTAAAACTGTATAACATATTTGTATTTTTAGATTATAAATAAATTATTTATATTCATATGCTAAGTGTATTAACCACAAACATTTTAAATAACATTATTAATGCTCTCTACCTGAGCTCAAACAAAAATCTTTATTAATGTCAACAACTGATAGTTTGTTAGATAGAAAATAAAATTATTAAATAAATTTTTAAATGAAAATTTCTCATGAATAAATTCCTATAGAAATTTTACTTTATTATTATTCTATTGGATCCTCTATTGTGATTAGAGATGGGCAAATAGAAAGTTTCTAATAAATTTCCGTGAGAAAGTTTCTAGAAAATTTCTCATGAATAAATTTCTTTAGAAATTTAACTTTAATGTTATACTATGGGATCCCCATATCTATAGTTATTGTAATACCAGTATTTTAATAACATATAATACTATACATATAATATCATACAGTATACTACAGTACTATACAAATGGGATATAATAATAATAATTATTATAATTATTTAATAATAATAAGTTTTTATAAACTTTATTCAGTATTCATCATTATTATATATATATATGATAGTTTAATTATTTTTTACTCAAATTAATAATTAAAATACTAATAATAATATTTAATGTATTGTTATATGATAGCAAATAACGAGATAACAAAATTAACATGGGGATCCCATAGATAGAAATTTCTTTTAGAAACTTTCTAGAAATTTCTTTATTATTTTATAAATTTATCTTTTTTGCCAACACTAATTGTGATACTTCATTAATGATAGATAATAGATATTATATTAGTGTAGAACTAAGATTTTTTTTTATATAAATTTAATATAAGTATAGTATCAAAAATTTAGTTTTTGTAAAATTTAAGGTATATTTAATTGTTTTCAACAGATAAATTGCATTAATTTTGTTACTTTGAATATAAATAAAAAAAATAATAAGAATATCAAATACTATTAAAAATTGCATTAAACTAAATTGTTACAAAAAACAAATATTGAAAAAACAACATTTTCATTGTTATCCAATTTCAGAATTATTTTAGAAACTTTATATAAACTTAGTTTTTTTCCAACCCTATGGTCTTAATAATATGCAAATAAACTTTGTCGGGAATGTAATCATACAAACTATATAATTATAAATGACTATTAATATTTTTACAATATATATATATATATATACATTATTATTATTACATAATTTATACGATACTGTAGTATATCAAGATTAACATTTAAAATATAAATAACTTTTGTATAAAATTAAAAATTATTTTATCACTAAAAAATAGTCTTATAAATATTGAATACTAATTTATTACATATAAATTATTTATAATACAGTATTACTAATACATTTACATATATTTCATCCATTTATATACTTGAACTTAAAAGAAAATTTACGACAACTTATTTATAAATAAAATAAAACGTTTTATAGTTATAATTTATAAGAGTATATACCGTATAATAAATTATTTATATTTGATTTATATGCAATTTTATCAAAATTAAATTTTAATTATGCATATAAGTATGTTTTATAGTGCAACACGTGTTTGAATATTTTTGTATGTATAAATAAGAGTTGGTAGGGTTAGGTAAAACAATTTAACATTATTATAAAAGATTTAATAATTACAATTACGATTTAAATATAATTTTTAAATTAAAAAATATAGTAAAAATTACTATTTTAACATTTTAATAAAAAATTATATGCAAATGTATTTAAGTATAAATTAATTTTAATCATAATATTCTGAATAATAGAAATGTGAATTATATATCAATATTTTTTAAATCAACAAAAAAATATTTTATTAAAAAGAAATTATGAGGATTTCAATTAATGGAAAAAGTCAATAAATTTTATTATCTCATAGAATATACTAAAAATGTTATCATTATCACAATTATCTCATTTTTTGGGATTGGTTTTAAATTATAAAAAATAAGGATTTCTTTTATTAAACTACAACTTAATATAATTGTTTGTTTTCAATTTTATTTATTTATTATCTTTAATAACATACATATTTATTATTTACAATCAAATATTTTAATTTTGATTACATTAACAAAAAATTATATAATTTTAAAAATTACCTGTTATTACAATGGATCGTTTGTGTTGTGATAGTGAATCAAACATTGAGTTTATAACACATTCATTATTATTTAATGATAACTACAGTATTTATTTATTTATTAGCAAATAATAGTAAATGTTTTATATTTATTTAACAATATCTTTGAGATATATTTAAGTTATTTAATTTTAATATTAACAATATAATTTAGTACTCTTTAGTTACATTATAATAAATTATAATAAAATTATACACATTAATTGAATTGATTTTTTTTATTTTGATTATATTGACTAATGTTTTTGATTTTTAGCTCTAATATTGAATAATGTAGTCATTATAATGGTTTCATTGGTTATAATCTGATTAAACAATGTTTACGACAGTAAACTCATTATTGATTTATATATAATACCAATATATTGACATTTTTGTGAACTTTACAAAATTTTTGTTAAACTAATTTTGTGTTTTAATATTTATAGCCATACAGTACTATAACTTAGTATCAAATAACGTGATTATGTGGTCATATACTTACAGTATGTTATAAATAATAACAATTCGTTTTATTTATTGATACTTTATGTATATACTGTATATATATATATTAACTAATATAATGATAAAAAAATTCAGTGTATATTGTAGAATGTACTTTATATTAAAATAAAATATATGTTGATGATTATTTTAAAAATATATATAATTTCTTTTAATATGTTATTTTTGTTTGTAACTATTTATTTACAAATATAATATATTTATTATATTTATTACCCGTATATTTGTTATTTAGTCTTAAAAATTTATTCATATGTCTCACTAATTAAAATCAAATATCAAAACTATTGACTATAATGTCAATAACACATTACAATTAATTATTTAATTATTTTTTTAAAACTATATAGTCAAGAATGTGAATTTTATATTAAAATTACATTAATTAATATAATTATTAATGAATACTGTAATATGTTAGCAATATATTATATAACATACAAATAAAATTTATTTTCTTAAATATCTTAAATATTTAAAATAGTAAATATTTTTATAACAAAATAATTTAATATTTCAATTATTCCAAAAATTTTATTTATCTACAAGTAATTAAAATATTAAAATTTAATACAGTATAAAAGCTACTATAAAAACATTTTATTCGTTTTTGAACTAATTATTATATAACACAAAATATCAATATTATAATTTGTTGTTTTTGACAGTTGTTTAATTAAGCAATTTAATTTATAAATAATTTTGAATAAAGAAAATAATTAAAAAATCTCATACTATAATAATAACATTAATGTTTTTATTAATTACAAAAATAATTGCAGTAATTACAGCTTTGATATTGAAATTAATAGACACATAATAACTTTTTTGAATTTATATTTTTATTTCTAGTGATAGATACCAAACAAGATATATATATATATATATATTAATTTAGAAATAAATGTAAACAGCTTATCTTTTAATTTTAGCGATAAGTATTAAATATAATTAGAGATGAGCAAATAGGAAGTTTCTAAAAAATTTCTCATAAATAAATTTCTATTGAAATTTAACTTTTCTGTTATATGGAATCCCCATATCTATAGCTATTGTAATACTAGTGTATATTAATAAGACATAATACTATAAATGTAAATTAATATCTACTATACACTGTATACAGTATATTACAGTACTATACAAATTATACAAATGATACATATGTATAAATAATTATAATTATTTAATAATAATTAGTCTTGTAAAAATTTTATTCATCATTTTATTATATATATATATATAGATTAATATAGTTTAATTAATAATTAAAATACTAATAATAATATTTAATGTAGTTATAAGATATCAAATATCGAGATAACAAAATTAACATGAGAATCAGATAGATTGAATTTTTTTAGAAACTTTCTAGAAATTTTTCTATTATTTTATAAATTTTTCTTTTTTGCCAAACACTAAATATAATACACTTATTTGTATGAATGTTGTCATTTGAAATGTTGATAAAAATTTAGAATATGTGTTAATATAAAAATATTAGTAAATATTAATTATGACAATATTACTTAAATTAACCTACGGTAAATTATGTTATAAATAATAAATAAATTGCTTATAAAAATAATTAAATATTATTTAAATTGATAACTTAACATTAGCTTTAATATTTATATAAGTTTGATATTAATTTGTATTTTTCAATTATAAAATATATTATAACAGATTGATTAAGGTATTTTTGATATCTATAAAATCATTCAATATTTTTGTTTATTTAAAAAGACTTTTTTTTTAAATAGTTTGAATAAAATATTAACAAAAATATATCTTTACCAGGGTTGCTAAAGGGGGTAAGTCATCTTACTCCCATGCGATCATGAATTTTTGTGTCTTACCCAACACTGGTTTAAAGTCAAAAAGTTAGGAGTCCTTTATCAATATTTCGGCAAATTTTTTTTCAGTATTATATAATTTAATATTAAACAATAAAATTAATGCTAAGTAAGTTTTAATATAAATAAAACATGTAGCTTATGTATAGGAAATAAATTAAATAAAAGTAGTTAAATACTGAAAAAATAATTAAAATATAATAATTATCGAAATTAATTATTAGTTTTAGTTAAGTTGTATAATTAAAAATCACAATTTTATCAAAAATTAAATTTTTTATATTTGTATTTTTAGAGGAAATATTGTAGTTTAAATATTTTATAGTTGTTCACAAAATAAGAAAAACAGGTATAAGTGGTGTACAATTAATTTAAAATTATATAGATTATTACATTACAGTATTAAATTTTTTTAGGCATACATTTTTTATGTATACTTTAAAATATTTCTAATATTTTATTTTTTGCTTCGTATCTATAATTACAGTATAATATTATACAAAATGTAAGTAAGAATTTATATATATATATATATATTATTTAAACAAAATATATATTAGATTTTGTATATTAAAGTCTATTTAAAGAATATACTATTAATTATGATATACATATAATAATGATTTTTTTATTCAAATATATTTCTATAATTCATTGGTGTATGAAATTATTAGATGTGTGTGTGTTTTACTGTCATTTATTGTATGTGTGTTAGGAAATTAACATTTAGATCACCAAAAATATATTGCACTACTAATGATACATTTAAGCCTATTTTGACTTAAAATGTATTTTATTTTATATAAGTATTTATATAATATCATATATAAATATATAGTATATATTATTTGCTTTACTCTTAATTCATACAACTATTAACATCAAATTTAATACTTATATTTAAATGTTGAATTCATTTGTTTTAGCAAAATAAAAAGCATACGTTTTAATATACATATAAATATTAGTGAAACAAATGCAATGTTAAATACACTGCTTTAGGGAGCTTAGGTCCGGAGTATTTGAGTGCATCTCAATGAACATTCAAATAGAGAGAGAGAGAGAGAGAGAGAGAGAGAGAGAGAGAGAGAGAGAGAGAGAGAGAGAGAGAGAGAGAGAGAGAGAGAGAGAGAGAGAGAGAGAGAGAGAGAGAGAGAGAGAGAGAGAGAGAGAGAGAGAGAGAGAGAGAGAGAGAGAGAAATAGACACGAGATATATACCACCTATTATTGCATTAAACTTTTCCTTAAGTTTTATGTCTAGAAGGACTGGCATTAAGACTGTGTGTTTCCTATTTGTTTTTGATTCAGTCTCCGTCACATTTGGCTCACATCAATGCTGAACATACTGTTCCTTCAATACCATAGTATGTTATGGCACAGAGCGCTGTGCATTAAAAGACTGGCTTAACATTTGAAAGGATGTTCCCATCAGTAAAATCGATGGCACGACTGACTCTCCTCACGAGTCATACTCTACTAAGCGCTGGAAAACGCTATCATTAATAGTATGGCAAATATATCAGTGCAACCGTATATGTAAACTGTATATGACTTTACATTATGTATGCCTTTTGCAGGGAATATATAGTAAGTCAGTCATTGATGAGAGTGTGGAGAGACTGACTTTTCTTTAAGTGCTATCAAATGTTGGCCTCAAATATCAATATATAAACGACAAATAGCTTTTGTAAAAAGTTTTACAACAACTTATACAACAACTATTGAAAATTGTGTCACCAATTAATGTAATGATCTGAACACAACATTTTCTGTTTGACCATTAATGTTGAGGTTTTTATTAATAAAAAAATATAATTAAATGTATTATACAATTGAGAGTTGTTTTGTCGTTAACCACATATAAAGTTTTATTCAATTTAGTTTATAATTTAATTTATATATTTAATTGACAATTATCTCAACTACTATGGATGTTATGAGAACTACTGCAACCAGTCTTCAAGTGATTACAACCACTACCATAACAAACACCGAAATAAATGATACACTGATTAGTGGTGACAATAATAGCGGTGACGAGTATTATCTTAAAGACAACCAAACTTTCAATGAGGTCGAAGAGTTTGACTTATATCAAGTTCCTACAGAATTGGCAATATTTTTATCAATTTGTTACTGTTGTGTCTCTTTGTGCGCCGTTATCGGCAACTCAATGATCATATGGATAGTTCTTCGGTCGGTACGGATGCGGTCGGTGACCAACTATTTTATTGCAAACCTCGCGTTTGCCGATATACTGATCGGTGCCTTTGCCATACCGTTCCAGTTTCAGGCGGCACTTCTACAGCGATGGGATTTACCATACTTTATGTGCTCATTCTGTCCAACCGTACAGGTAGTGTCTGTCAATGTGTCGGTGTTTACGTTGACCGCCATAGCATTGGACAGGTATCGGGCAGTGCTCCATCCATTGCAGGCGCGCACCACAAAACTAAAGACCAAATTTATTATAATAACCATTTGGTTGTTCTCAATATTTGCTTCAATCCCGACACTCATAGCATTCAATGTTGAGCTCACATGGGATGAGACAACACAAGACTATACCCTTCCGTTTTGTCACAACACTGGTCTCAGTGCACAAGTGTTTCGCTATTACAACCACACTCTTGTGGCACTTCAATACTTAATACCACTGGTCATCATATCGTATGCCTACCTCCGTATGTGTGTCCATCTTTATCTGGACGACGAGGCGCCGGCCAACTCTAGGGTCGACGCAACGCACGTTAATCGCAACAAAAAACGAGTAAATATATTAAATTTTATTTAATTTCTATTTAATATAAATTTATATCACACTATAATATAATATAAAGAATTTATGTAAATATTATTTTTTAAATTATATATTTTGTAATATTAGTCGGCATATGAGTCTAAATATGTAATATTTATATTTTATAATATTATTATGTATTTAATAAGTTATATTCTAAAATATGAAAATTGTATTTTTTTAGTTTAACTTTTTAAAAATTTAAAAACGCTTTTATGGCACAAATCGTAACCAAATATCAAAACATTTTGCAAAATTATCTGTATTATAGAGTTTACGTCTTAATGTACAGTATATGATATAATGTTATAATCAATGAGTTGTGAAAAAAGTTGTAAAAATCAATTTTGAAACTGTATTTTTTGATTATCGATTTATTTTACAAACAACAATATAAAAGTAACTTCCAATACCTAATATCATAGCTATTTTAAATGGTATGTCAAGTACTGTATATAATTTATAGTATAAATATGCGATAATTCTCTTGAGGTGTTCTAACTATTTTGACATAATATCATCAATTATTTTTATAATATTATATAAGTTTTATTATATTGTTTTACAAAAAAAAATCTTCCTTTACTTATATAAACTTAAAATTATAAAAAATATTATGTCTATTATATGTTTTCATACTTTACAACTATAAAATTTTTTTTTTGTAAAAGATTTTTATATGTACAGTATATGTTAAGTATATACAGTTACTAATCAAATTATCATGTGCTATACAATGTATGCTCAAACTACCGTATTTATACGGTATGACAAACATATAAAGTATTGATAAAATATTATATTATATGATATGATACATAACGTTTCACATCAACATTAGGTTTATGAGTTGTGTATCAAACAATGAGAAACAAATCCTAAAATTTAGATTTTTTATTATACTGTATATTCTAGTTTATTATAGTTATTATTATTATTATTATTGCAATAATAACGGTTTAGAGATCGATAGAAAATTACTGTTAAAATAAAAGCTTTTGAAACAAAAAGAAAATAAGTTAGCAATAAGTCTAATATTTTGAGAACACAACAGACATTTTTACAGTACAAAAATGATTTATATTTTTATAACAAAATAATATATATTTTTTGAGAATTACTAGTATATAATACAAGTAAATGCAACATATATTTTACTTTACATTTATTTGTAATCATAAGTCATTTTATATATATTATTTTATTTGGATTTTCAAATAATCTACATCTAAGATTTTTATATTATAATATATGTTATATAATTTTTATATATCAAATGTATATAATTTAACTTTAAGATATCGTAACTTTTTAGGATATAATACAATAATTCTCAATTATTTAGTGCATAAGATTCTCAAATATATATAATTTGTTAGTATTTATAATATACAAATGATATAATATGTTTAGTATTTTATAATCAATATAATTTGAAGCAAATTTATTACTTAATGATACTAAAACATATAACTTAAATATCTTTTTAAAATAACAGTTAATAAAATCATTTCTTTATATTTAAGATTTATTTTTATAATAAAGTATTAAAATATATACTTTTTATTATTATTAGATAATTTTTATAATTGTTACACAAATATATAAAATATACTTAAAATTTTATAAAATAAAAATAAAGTAGAATAGCTGAACATATTTACATATAAAGAGAATAAAAATTAAGTAGAAATTATATTTTTTTATAAAAATAATTTAAATTTAGGGGAAAATTAAATATAATTATAATAAAAATGACAAAATATAAGTATAGTTCTTTATATAGATTATATTAAATAGATTTATTATTTAATTATTGTTGTTAATAATATATTATATATATATTTTTTTTTATTGATATCTCATATATATATTAAAATAATGAAAAGAAAGACTTACATATCATAACTGACAATATAATACAATACTTATTACAAATCACACGAGTTATGTGTGTTTGTATGTGTTTCATATGTCTGTAATATTAATAAGTTGTCATTTATTTTAATGAATTATTGGCTATAAATTACACTAATTTCATGAATTCTTGAGAGAATTGTAATCAAAATATGATATAAATATAAAAGTCTTAACAAAAAAATGCTATCATTTATTTAGTTTTACTTTTATAAGTCTCTCCTTTCTCTCTCTCTCTCTCTCTCTCTCTCTCTCTCTCTCTTTCTTTCCTTCTTTCTTTCTCTCTTTCTCTCTCTCTTTCTAATGTAATGTATGACCAAATTCTATATATATTAGACCATAACATGAAATGGCATTTATTAATAACATAAGTTACGGTCCATTGATGGCTATTTCATAACACTCATACATATAAAACAATAGAAAAACATAAAAAATAACAAAATTTTCATATTATTAAATAATTTTTAAAACAATCTTCAGCTATGTTTGCTATAATATATATTAAAAGACAATAATACTTTGAAATATATATATATATATATATTTAATAGTATTAGTGGACAAATTTTATTTATGATTGATGTATATAAAAAAAAAGTTTTCTGACACAACCATAATGTTGTTTTAAAATTATATAAAAATAATATAAAAATTCTAATATATTTTAAAGACCTCATACTATGAATGTAAATATACAGTATAATAAACAACGAGAATTGAAATAAATATTTTTAATATTTCTTAAAATTTACATATTATACAAACAATAGTTTAAATTTAATTTACATTAAAAATCAATATTATTTTTGTCAAAATGTAAATAATGTACAATGAAAGTAATTATAATTATAAATTTATTAGTTTTTAAATTTATATTATTTGTATTACAAAAATTTAAATTAGTTTTTTCGAGCATTAAAAATAAAAAAAATAATTTAATATAATTTTTATAATCTAGGGGTTAGTATAACTATAAAAAATAAAATAATTAAAAATCGTTAAAAATAATCAATATTATAATTTCTAATTATTTTTTAGAAAGCACTTGACTGTGATATACATATTCAAGTCTTTATAAATATTTAATTACTATATTTTCCAATTTATTTCATAATTTTTAATATATTTATTTATTAATATTTATATTGTATTTACATTTAGTGTACTAATGTATAAAGTATTAAAGATATCATTATCTATATATATTGTTTATAGTCATGCATAAATAAATTTAATATCTATTATAAAATTAATTAATGTTTTTTAGCACAGTTAATTGTCTTTTAATATTTATATATTTTAGATTACATAATAAAAACAAAATATTAATATGGATAATTATAACTTAAATGATTATAATAACCGATTAATAATTAAAATTTTGTGTGTACGTATGTATAGTATGTATGTGGTAAGTGTTAGTTTGAGCTTTATCTATTTTTTTTTTGCATTTTTCTTCAAATAAACCTATTTTTAGCACAATAAAAGTTTAATATTATTATATACTGTACGATTTATATAAAGTGCATAAAGATTATTATAACATTATCTTATTATATGATTTACTATAAAAAAGATTATATATTTTATTTGAATAACATTAGAATTGAGAAAATAAAAAAATAAATTTTAAATTTTAAATTTCGAATTTTGAATTTATCTATCAATTTAAATTGATTTACGTAATCTATCAATTTTATTTGTAACTATTATTTACAATTTTTAAAAATAATGTCTAATACATAGTATCTACAATATTACTTTTTTACTACTTTTATATTTTTTAAAAAATTTAAACTACTTATTGTAGTATATCTTATATTGTTGATAATCTATTCAAATGTGATGACTTAGAATATATATTTTTAAAACTTAATAATATACTATTAAATCTTTATGCTAAATTAATAATTATTAAGTATAAAATAAACATTATTTGTTGTACATTTATTGTACATATATTTTAAATTCAATATATTTTGTCGGCATTCAAATAAAATACAAAAACTACTGTATAATAGATAAGCATTACTATAAACATTAGTAAATAACACAATGTATTTATTTTCTAATTAATTTGAATAATATATTCTATAAATAAATAGATTAATTATTAGTATTTTTATAATTAACTAGACATTAACCAATATACAATAAATATAAACGTATATACAGTATATGATAATTATATATAAAATAATGTTGAACAAATTTTATAAATGAATTTAACTTTTTATATTGAGGATTAATGTAACTTTTCTTAATAAGGTATAGTTATATCAAAATAACATGTTGTCGTGTATTTGACATGCATTTAAATCAATTATGTGTGTAATATTAAGCTACTATGCATTACTACAATATTATACTATATATACTGTACGGTACAATACTATTCATTATACAAAATATACTGTATTACTGTATTATAAACAAAATTACTAATAAAATGTGATTTTAGTCAATTTAATTTTAATCAATTTTTATCGATAATAATATAACTTTTAAAACCACAATTTCCTTGAAATGGTCTTAAATTTCATTAAAACTAAAAGAAATCATTCAATAAATTTGATTATTTAGTTGACAGTTATAATGGTATTGAGTCCAACATTTTATTATAAGGTAAATATGTGATAGAGTAGATCAAGTGGTGCTTAAAATGAGGACATATGTGTCCAAAACATTGATTTTATTAATTTGTTGTTTACACATATAGTGTATTAACAACTAACAAAGTTTTATTATGGTATAATATAAAATTTATATTTATAATATATATGTCTAGAGTTTGGGAAGCTTTCCAAGGGAGGGAATTTCCTAATAAAATCTTCCCGGAAAATAGGGAAGATATTTTATTTTTCCTCCATAGCTCGTTAGAAAGGATAATATATTTATATTTTTAAAATAAATAATACGAAAACTTAATTATTTGCATAATTTGCAAAAATAAATTTAGTATTACTATTTAACAATAAAACTTAAAATACAGTTTAATACAACATCTTATAATAAAATTTGTTGTTTAGAGTTGAATAGATGGTGTAGCA